TTCCTACTGTGATCTAGTTATACCTTTGGTTTTGTCCCTGGTGCTTTCAGGGTGTGCATTCTCTGCCTGATTGCAACTTACTTCTCTTCTGTATCATAGCTGTTTGGGCTCTTTTATTCTCAGCTATGGGATATGGAAGTGTCTATCTTATTTCTATTGAAGTGAAACTTGGTTAGATTGCCTTTTATTAGCTATCTGACCTCAGGAAACTTATTGGTTTCACAAGTTTTATCTTGAGGGATAATAATAGAAGTGCCTTACACCTCTGAGCTCAGGGAAGGCCTAGTCATCACTCCAAGCACCTTGCCCACGTGTATCTTGATCTGGTCTAAATCCTTCCCCCTTTCCTTCCTTCCTTCCTTCCTTCCTTCCTTCCTTCCTTCCTTCCTTCCTTCCTTCCTTCCTTCCTTCCTTCCTTCCTTCCTTCCTTCCTTCCTTCTTCCCTCCCTCCTTCTCTCCCCCTCTCTTTTATTCCTTTCATTTACTTTCCTTTCTTCAATACTGGCATTTGAACTTAGGGCCTTTTGTTTACTAATAAGCAAGCTCTATACCAATTCAGTCATATTATCAGACTTCCTTCCTTCCTCCTCCTCCTCCTCCTCTTCTTCCTCCTCCTCCTTCATTCTTTCGTCTTTCTTTTCCCTCCTCCTTCTCATCCTTTTGTTTATTAATAAGCAAGCTCTATATCAATTCAGCCATATCATCAGCCCTCCTCCTCCTCCTCCTCCTTCTCTTCTTCTCCTTTTTCTTCTCCTCCTCCTCCTCCTCCTCCCCCTCCCCCTCCTCTCCCTCCCCCTCCTTTTCCTCCTCCTCCTCCTCTTTCTCCTCCTCCTCCTCCTTCTTCTTCTTCTTCTGTGTCCTCCTCCTTCCTCTTCTTCTTCTTCCTCCTCCTCTTCTCCTTCTCCTCCTCCTGCCCTTCTTCCCCTCTTCTCCTTCTAAGTTTTTTGGCTTGAGGCTAGTATTCTACCACTTGAGCCATAGCTCCACTTCTGGACAATTTGGTCAGTAAATGGAGATGAGTCTCATGGACTGATAGGGTAAATTAGACTTTGCCAGAGAACCACACAGACATCCAGGTACAGATACAAAGAAAGGTGTATTGCTGGGAAAGGGGGCTGTCAAGGCCCCTTCTCACAAGGGAGAAGTAAGAAGAAGCGCTGGCTATTATCCGAGGTCACCTATGTGACCTAGGAGGCTTTAGGAGGGGCTAGCAGGGCTAGGAGGCAGAGACCCCGGTCCATACCAGGGCCAGGGGCTTTATCGTGGTGGACTAGGATTTATGGCTGCTGTCCAAATAGTAGATAAGGGTCCTGCAGCTGTACAGACTTGAAGGTCACTCTAAGGGGCTCTTGTTGCCTTCTATGGTGGTAGCTGCCCCAGAGAAGGGCCATCTCAAGGTAAAGGGGGGTGGAGGCTTTACTGCCTTTACTACATCGGCCTAGTGTTGCTTAGGAAGGGAGCATGCTGAGCTGTGGAGAGGGGAAGGAGTGGACTAAGCTAGGGGAAGGGAGCTCATTTCGCTAACATGGACTTTCCTGCTTAGGCTGGCTTTGAACCTTGACCCTCAGATCTCAGCCTTCTGAGTAGCTAGAATTACAGGCACGAACCACCACCTCCTTTTTTAAACCAAAGATTTGGAGCTAAACCTTTACATTGCTCTCATTGGGCAGCATCAGCAATTGTCAGTATGCTATGCAAGGGCCATGGATACCAAAGTAGGGGCTCTGTCTCTTTCTTACACAGCAATGACCACCCACTATGCTAGGCCGGGAATCTCGAGGTAGAGCAGACTGAAAGGTTGATGTAGTTGAAGAAGCCTGGGATTGAGAGTCCAGGGTTTGGTTTCTAGTCACAACTGTGGCAGAGCATCAGTTAGAGTAATTCCATGGATGTTTACTGGATATTTTTTTGTAATACCAACTTGTATACTTGTATAATTTTGCTCATTTTATACATTTGTTGTATGGGTTCCATTGCTATCTTCATTTAAATTAAGAAAATAGCAGCTTACTTGCCTAAGAACGTCCAGGCTTTGAATTCAGGTCTGGATCTAATGTGATGGCCAAAGTGAGAAAAACAACAAGCAAGTGAAAAATTCAAAACATGATGCCGATTTTATCTGGGTTGTCAGAGTCAACAATAGCTCACTATGACATGACCAGGATGAGTTGGTGACTTTAGTTTTTCTAGATGACAAACACAACTGTCTATCTAGACTATTACTAGAGCTTATAGATATGACATTATGCTGATGTGTTGTAACAACACCTTCTCAGCACTTATTTTTGACTTCTATTCTTGTTTCCTTGAGGACTGGTGAGGCACGGATGTCTCGAGGCAGTGTGTGAGGAGGACTCTGTCCCATGTTGGCAAAGTCCACTTAGTGATGAGGCAGAATTCTTTTTTTTTTTTTTTGGATCAGGTCATGGGGCCTGAACTCTGGGCCTGGGCGCTGTCCCTCAGCTGTTCAGCTCAAGGCTAGCCTCTACCACTTGAGCCACAGCACCACTTCTGGCTTTTTTTTTCCTTTTTGCTTATGTGGTGCTGAGGAATCATGCATGCAGGGCCTCATGCATGCAAGGAAAGCGCTCTACCACTGAGCCACCTTCCCAGCCCCAAGGCAGCATTCTTAATCTGGGGTTACTGGATAGGATTCAGAAAGCCCTGTGAACTTGGGAGTGGGTATGTCGTAAAGTATGAAATATAATTGGTTTGCTTTGTACTTTTTTCTTAATATATATATATTTTTTTATTTGCCAGTCATGGGTCCTGAACTCTGGGTCTGGGTGCTGTACCTCAGCTCTTCAGCTCAAGGCTAGCGCTCTACCACTGGAGCCACAGCGCCATTTCCGGCTTTTTCTGTTTATGTGGTGCTGAGGAATCGAACCCAGGGCCTCATGCTTGCAAGGCATGCACTCTACCGTTGAGCTACCTTCCCAGCCCCTTAATATATATTTTTATTGTAAAGAGACTTTACAGAGAGGTTTTAGTTACATGAGCAAGGTTTCCTATGGAGCATTGTCATCTCCTTCTTTGTTTTTCCCCTACCATCCCTTTCCTCCCCACCTTCCCAACTCCTCCCTCCTTCCCACAAAGTTGTAAAGTTCGTTTTCAACATAGTGTCTTGTACATCTCATTGTTACAATGGATGCATTCTGTATCCTTACTTCAGCATTTTGGTATTTCCCTTCCCCTCCCCAAATTAGAAAAATGTATATACAAGATGTAGGACACCAGAATCAAATAGAGTGACAACAGAGGTTGTACCATGGGGGAAGAACATACAAAGAAACAAACAAAAAATCACATAGTACATTATAAGTACAATAAAGCCTCTTGTGTCTCTATCTTGAGGTTCATTTCACTTAGCAACAACAGATGCTGGAGGGGATGTGGCTAGAAGGGAACCCTACTGCATTGGTGGGAGTGTAAACTTGTTCAACCACTTTGGAAAGCAATATGGAGGTTCCTCAAAAGACTCTACATAGAGCTCCCCTATGACCCAGCAATCCCACTTTTAGGCATTTACCCAAATGATCACAAACAAGGCCACATAAAAGCTACCAGCACAACTGTTTATCACAGAATTATTCACCATAGCTAAGATATGGAACCAACCCAGATGCCTCTCTGTACATGAAAGGATCAAGAAAATGTGATTTTATATATATATATATATATACATATATATATATATATTTATGAATTTTATGCCTCCAGCAGAAAGAATGACACTGTCCCATTTGTTAGGAAATGGGAAGACTTGGAAAAAATTATATTAAGTGAAGTAAGCCAGCCTCAAAGAAACATAGATCCCATGGTTTCCCTTATCTGCAATAACTAGTATATGTCTAGGATAAGCAGAAGAAGTCAGAAGGTATGTACATATAACCATGTAACCTGATGCTTTGTATTGTTGTAAGGTAAGAAAACAGAGAAACCACATTTCGAGAGGTTGAATCTTGGAGTTTTTATTAAAAGACCAGCTAGTTGCACAGTGGACTTCTGTCCCAAGGACCAGCAGCCCTGAACAGAGCATGCACCGAGCTTTTAAAGACAACAGCCATGTGCTTGGGTCAAGACCAAGCCTTAACAAAAGCAGATCTTATGTGGGCATATTCAGGTACAAGCTCAGGTACCAGCAGAATTTTTCCACCTAGGGAAGTAAGGCCTCAAACCTTCCACACAGGGAAATCTTAAAGGTTACTCAGAGGCTGCTGATTCAAGCCATTTGGGGAGTTAATCAAGGCAGAATCAGAGCATTCTCTATGAAAAGCTTTCCTAAGTCTATGACATCTGCATTTCTCTGAAGCAGAGCTCTCCAGCTCACCTAGAGCTAGGAGCTGCCTTCAGTGCCTGGCCTCTCTCACCTCTAGGCTTAGGCTCTCCTCCTTACATCATTATCATTATTTTTTTCTCATGCATTTAAAAACTTACTTCTAAGCATATCCATATTGCCAAAGAATCTTCTTCAGCATGAACCAGTTTAAAGGCACCTTTTGTCATGGCAAGGAAAAGCCAGAATGATTTGGAAAAACGGTTTCAAATCCATGTCCCTCAATCACAAATCTGCAGATGGTGCTACTAAAAGTGAAGGGAGTCCTGAGCTATAAAGATGTCTCTGGGGGAAAGATCAGAGTTCTACCAGGACATTTATTATTTACTTATTTTTTTAATCGTTCTTGTTTTTGTCTACAAATGGCACCAGTCCTCTGATGTCTTAGCAGACACGTGGGCTGTCCTCACAGCAGGGTCTGGAAGTGGTGGTGTGAGTGCTTGGTGGAGTGCTGGTGATTTCTCACTGGGGCCATAGGATGTTCTCCAAAGAGGAAGACAGTGATTACTAATTAACTCACAATTCTGATCTTGGGCTGGAAAGCTGGCAGTGATTTGTACCTGAAAGTAATTAGCATACTCTTGTTAGAGCAATAAACAGTGACCAGAGCATAGGTTGCTTTCTGGCCTAGCGCACTTCTGCTTTTATTATAGGTTGTCCCGCAAGAGTCCAGAAGCCCAGCAGGAAGCAATGAGGTATGTTTGTGAACTGTATATTTACCTCTAAGGTAGAACTTATTTACCTATAAGCTGCAGATGTATGTGTGTGTGTGTGTGTGTGTGTGTGTGTGTGTGTGTGTGTGTATGTGTGTATTAGAGAGCCAATCTGTGTTTCCCTTTAGTAAGAATGTCATTATTAACTTATCATGGACAAAAATAGATCCCAGTAAACCAGGAAGTTTGCAAATACACGTAAAATTCAACTCATTTCTCTCTTCTGTGTGTGTGTGTGTGTGTGTGTGTGTGTGTTCATACATGTATTCCTCTGGACCTAGGCTGAATCTACAAAGCCCGATTATAACTAAATTTGTGTGTTGGTGGTGAGCTGTGAAAAACTAATATTCAGGTGAAGTAACAGGTGGAAGTTCTTTCTAATTGTAGAAATGAGGTAGACTCGAGGAAAAGATGTAAGACTGGAACGTTTTGAGACCTTCTTTGGAAGAGGATTTGGAGCTGTGATTGAGGAGATGGTATTTAGAGATACCATTATAATAGGAGTTCTGGAAACCTATTACTATCCTTAAGAATTCAGTGGTTTTATTAGTCAAATATATAACTATTTTAGGGAAGAGTCATGTGCAAGCCTCTGTGTGTGTGTGTGTGTGTGTGTGTATGTGTGTGTGTGTGTGTGTGTGTGATGTTGTGATGCATGGATGTGTTGGTGAGTAGGGGAGATTTCACGAGAAATCTGGAAGGAGGTCAGGAGAGAAAGGGAAGGACAAATACCTGGCCTACTAGTTCTGTGTGACACACAATGAAAGGGAAGGCAAGGAATAGTTGTTGGTTCCTTCCCCTTCAATAGTAAAGAATTGGGTCCTTACTAATTGCTAGGCATCTCCATTCTTCCCCTGCACTGAGGTAGGGAGGGTGATTTATTAGGGACAGGGACAGAGGTGAAGGTCAATCCATGGGACTCACTGGCTACCAGAGGATACAACGCACGAACAGCAGCTTCTGTGGGCTCTGGTGATAACCAGTGGGCCAGGGGCCTGCACAGAGGGAGGGAGGGAGTCTTTGTTGTGCTGTGCTAGGTAGGAACCTAACGAAGTGGGATGACATTCTGTTCTCTACCCCTTATTTAAGAGTTCTATCACTATTTTGCACTCACTTGTCCCAGATGGCTATGAGGTTATTCCTTCACAAATGAATTTCAAGGAGCTAATACAATTACAAAGTACCAGATCAGCAGGAGAAACTAAAGAACACATAGCTCTAGATGAAGAAATTTTCCATTTAAAACTGGTTCAGATGGTTACTATGGGATGTAATGTGCTAAAGAAGATGGATCTTACTTCACTTAATATAATTTTTTCCAAGTCTTTCCATTTCCTAACAAATGGGCAATGTCATTCTTTCTGATGGAGGCATAGAATTCCATTGTGTATATATACCAAATTTTCTTGATCCATTCATCTACTGAGGGGCATCTGGGTTGGTTCCATATCTTAGCTATAGTAAATAAGACTGCAATAAACATAGTCATGTTGGTAGCTTTAGTATGGTCTTGTTTGTGAACTTTTGGGTAAATGCCCCAAAGATAGGTCCCATGGTTTCCCTTATTTGCAATAACTAGTATATGTCTGAATCAAGCAGAAAAGGTCAGATAAGTTGATGTTAGGGAAATGAACCCTAAGATATGTATTCAAATGTTTTTTTTTCTTTTATGGGATTGTTTCTAGCACATTTATAAGATTATTTATTTGTTGCTTTGTATGTCCCTCCCCCATGGTATAACCCCTGCTTTCACTGTATTTGATGTTGTTATAATTTGTGGAGGGGAAGGGAAAAAACAAATCATTTAAATAGGGATACAGGTGGACCCACTGCAACAATGAGACATATAAGTCGTTATGTTGAAAATGAACTTTACAACTTTGGTGGGGGGGAGGAGGAGGGTTAGGGGGGTGGGGGAAGGATGGGATGGGAAGGGGAAACAAAGGAGGAGGCTACAATGCTTGATAAGAAATGTACTCATTATCTTGCCCATGTAATTGTAACCCCTCTGTACAGTATTTTCACAATAAAAAAAAAGAAGATAGATCTTTGTATAACCTGGACCTGGGGTCACAGAAGGATATAGTTATCTTCAAGAGATGGTCCCACCCTTTTTTTTGTTCAGATGGGGAAACTGAAGCCCATAGAGGAGAATAAGACTTTTTATCAAGGTCACACAGCTGAAGAGGATTAGAACTGACTCTTAGAGCTCTATAGTTTTGGATATGATCAGACTTGATAAACAACAACAATAAAACCCATGTTTATCTAGGAGCTGTGGACAACCTTCTAAATAGGGCTCAGAATTTTGAGGAATATCCATGCTGCCAGGGATATCCCTTATAAGTAGGTATTGGGTCTCTGTAAAGCTAACCCTTCCTTTACATTAGCATTTTTACTCTATATTATCAAATAGTTTTCAATGGAGAGTTCTCTCTTCATGAATTAAGCACTATTGTAAATCAGAAGAGGAAAATCATCCAGTTTTTCCGAATTAACTTCCATAGTCATTTTAACAATTTGAGCCCTCAGGTGGTTTATCTCCTTTGGCTAAAATTCAAAAACAGTACCAGGAAAAGAACCTTTGGCAATTATTTGTATAACAATATAATTCAGGAAGAAAAAACTGCTGTTGAGGTCCCACAATTTATGTACAATAATAACTCTTATCTTTTGTGTAGATTTCCCATAGTCAACCTTTTTGACATTAAAATCCACCCTCATGTTCATCTTTTTCTTCTGCTCTGTTTTTCTCCACAGCTCTTGACATAGATCAGTGTGCTGTACATTGATTTATTTTTTATTATTGTCTCTCTTTTCTGTCTATAACAACATAAGTTCTAAGAGGCCAGGGTTCTTTTTTTTTTTTTTTTTTGGTCATAGGGCTTGAACTCTGGGCCTGGGTGCTGTCCCTTAGCTCTTCAGCTCCAGGCTAGTACTCTAACCACTTGAGCTACAGTACTACTTCTGATTTTCTGGTGTTTCATTGGAGATAAGAGTCTCACAGGCTTGGGCTGGCTTTGAACCGGAGATCCTCAGATCTCAGCCTCCTGAGTAACTAGGATTACAGGTGTGAGCCACCAGCGCCCGGCCCCAAGAGTTCTTTTTAAATCTGATTTTGTACAATGTTTCCAGGACAGCTTCTGGAAGAATGCTTGCAAGTTGTAGGAGCTTAATACAACACTGATGAATGAGCATGTAAACTTCAATCTGACTTCCTTTTCATCAGAGATGTAGTTTGGTTCACTGGTGATGAATAAATCTGAGAAAGGACACACATCAGTAGCTTGTTCCCTGTGGTCTCAAAGGGAATTTACAAGAGCGCTGTGAGCCATAAACTTAAAGCAAATGGATACTCCAGGTGCTTTGAGAACACTTTACTTCCACCCAGCTGCTATGGAGATGGAGGTGTTGCAGATTTTTTTTCTTCCTTTTGTTCCCATAGCCTTTTAGTTTGACAGTTGCCTCTGGATATGAGTGTCTCCCTTATATATCCTGCCTCCTTTAATTTAGAAACAATTATCTAGTATGGATACACAAGTTTTCTCCATTTGCATTGCACAGTAGTGGATGGTCTAACATCACTTTTAAGAGTGATGGCTTTGAGTTCAGGTTGCCTGTCTTGAGACCTTGACCTTGAGGAACCTAGACTCTGTAAGATTCGGTTAGTCCATTTGTAAAATGGGGATGATAATCTTGACTGTTTAATTGGTTGTGAAGATTAAATGTGGTAATGTTTGTAAATGTTTAGCCTCATTCTGTATTTATTTTTAGTTCTTGGTTAAAAAGCCAGATACTAGCCAATAAAACTCCAATCTCACAAAAACCTCTACTGATAAATGCACTGCTGTAGATGGTCATAAGCTCTGGAAGTGGAGTCCAAAGAACAAGGGTTTAAACAGTGGCCTTGCTCCTAATCTTGTTTGAGCCATTAAGTAGGTTATTAGAGCTGGCTAACGCTTAATTCCCTCCACTGAACACTGGTGATATTAGCAGAACTCCATGTGACAAATTATGGGGACCTCTTAGCACATCTGCTCAATCATTGTCAGTTAGGATTATCACTGTCATGAAAATGACATGTCACCTCTTCTTTCTTTAACTTTTATATGCATTAGCTTTATTTAAATTAGTTCCTTGGAATTTGTTTCCTTGTTTGATGTTGAGACAGGTCTTGCTCTGTAGCTCAGGCTGGCTTTGAACTCAAGATCCTCCTTCCTCAGTTTCCTGGTAGCAGATTGCTTCCCTGTTCCATTTCCCTCTTTAACTTCTCCTTCTCCCTCTTCTTCCTCTTCCTCTTCTATTTCAGGCTAGTCCTTCATCCCCTGGAGTTGAAGAGTTCTGAATGTTTCTGGGGCAACTTCCTTCCTTTTTGTCCCAATCTTCATTTGAATTTATTTCTGTTTCCATAGTAAGGCAGGGTAGATAGGTGAGGAGATAGTGGAATTATATTATTTTTAATAAATATAAAAAGGGCCAGACTCAAAAGTTGGAATGTGGAAGCAACTAACAAAGCAGTTAAGCTTCCCTTCGTTTAAATGCTAAATTAAAAGGTGAGATCTAAAGGGGACCGCCTACCTTCCACTTTGAAATAGTAGAAACTTTTCTCTGTAAATGGGCTAAGAAGCTTACTGGAGAAAAGGTAGCCCTGTAGATTCCCAGTTGTTTCTATGTTTTGGCCCAAAGATGCCTCCATAGTTTAGTATACTAATATGGCTACTTGGAACCACTCTTTAAGGTCTCTTGACTGTAGGGAGCAGTTGCACCTGTGGACTTCCGATACGTCTGCTGCATGTCCACCTGAACCTAGGAAGCAGGCTATGGGGCCCTTGGGAGTCCAGGTTCTGCATCCCTGAAGCCCTTTTCTCCTTTGGTTCCCCACAGTTTGTGAGACTGGAGGTGAGAATCTTAACTGCACTGTTCTGGACATGCAGAACTGATTTCCTGAAGTCTGATGAATGCACCCCTGATCTTAGTTTTTCTTAAGTAGCATTTAAGTGTGCTTCAAGATACTGTTGATTAATACAGAAAGAAAGGCAAATGGGAAATTCTGGAGAGGGATTTTGTTGTTTCTTTTACTTTTGAGGCTTAAGGAAGTATTTTTCTTGTATAGCTGGAAAATACAGATTTTTACTGTGTAGAGCAGATAACCCTATTTGAATACATGAAGCAAAAGGGCACTGACAGGAGGCAAGCAGATTTCAAAAAAACATGCCAATGGTATTTCATTTGATAAGAAATGTACTCATTACCTTGCTCATGTAATTGTAACCCCTCTGTACAGTATTTTCACAATAAAAAGACATTAATTAGAAAAGTCCTATGTAGCTGTGTGTATTAGTCATTGCTGGGTAACAAATAAAGGTTTTGTAGCTTAGAACAGCAAAAATTGCTGACAGCTTCTTTGGAGGGGCTTCTCTTGTGAGTACTTCCTCCTTACTTCCCACCATGGCAAGGACTGGGGTGCAGTGAAGGATGGCTGGGGATGAGGAACTGCTTTGGACACTCATGGGCATGGCTCTGTGGCTCAAGTGGTAGAGTGCTAGCCTTGAGCTGAAGAGTTGAGGGACAGCACCCAGGCCCAGAGTTCAAGCCCCATGACTGACATACATACATACATACATACATACATACATCGTTTCATTATGACTCTAATGACATTTTTCTCTCTGTTTTTTATTTGAAATAAGGAGTTCTTTTTCCGGCATCTTCCAAGGGGACTATTCAGTTGTTGCTATTGTTTTAAAACATCTCTTTATAAAATTATGGATCTCAATGTAATAATGCTTCTAATATAATTTCATCTTTGCCCAGAAGGAGTGTTTCCAAGTTTGGTCCTCTGTCCTGTATTATGTAACTATAACCCTTTCTGGCATCACATAATATTCATAACATGACAACACGATTCCTGCGCCCAGTCTGAAATCACACATCTATAAGGAGCCCTTGTTTTTTGGTGTTTATATTAGTATTTATTTAGAGTCATAGCCTAGATGAGAGCTGAGCAATTTAACACAGAATTCTAGAACCTTGTGTAACTTCTTAGCCCGTGGTTGCCTTCTAAGATTCTCTCTCTCTCTCTCTCTCTCTCTCTCTCTCTCTCTCTCTCTTCCTCTCTCACTCTCTATCTGCTCCTTCAAATCTACTTCTCTGATACAATACCCAGTGGTATTATAGCCTGCACTGCTAGGTGGAATGACTGCCACTCAGTGTTTGGTGATGTGGGCTGATGCACATTGTTAAGTGAGGTGTGATTGCCTGATATGACCTCCTTACAAGCCAAGTTCTTTATGGCTCCACGTGCTAATGCCTCGTCATGCATTGCCCCATGTGCACAAAGCAAGGAGGAAATCCTTGGGTGGCAGTCCTGCTCCCTCAAAGCCTACCTTCACCCCGACTCGCTCACTACTTTCCATGTCATCTTACAAATCACATTCCTTACTCAGAAAGAACATGCACTGCATGTCCTTCCATAACGATTAGTTATCTTCCATACTTGGTACAATTAACTAAGACAAAAACTGATCTCAAGTCACTAGCCAAGAGATGAGTTATCAGAACTATGTCTCTCTCTTTTTAGTGATGGCTGATAGTTATAAAGTGGGAGGTCATTATATTACAGTACTTTTATATATTCCCAACTGTTTATTAACATGCTATGTTAGAAACTATAAGGAAACATCCACCCACTGTTGGTCAATTTATAAACACCACAAACTCAATGGAATCTTGGCAAAACTATTAACATTACTCAGAGCTATACACTACCTATTTCATTTAGAGAAATTCATTCCATCACCAAATGTGAATCAATGTATGTATAGATTTTTTTTTTAAATTCTGCCAGGCACTGGGGACTCACACCTGAAATCCTAGCTACTTAGGAGGCTGAGATCTGATGATCGCGAGCCCCAGGCAGGAAGGTCTGTGAGACTCTTATCTCCAATAAACCACCAGAAAACCAGAAATGGCGCTATGGATCAAGTGGTAGGGTGCTAACCTTGAGCTGAAGGGCTCAGGGACAGCATGTAGGCACAGAGTTCAAGCACCATGACTGACAAAAAAACAAAATTCATCCTAGCATGACATGTATAAAAACACACAGAAGGCATCTGGGTAAATATGTGAACATAATTAAAATTTTAGATTAAGATTAATTAAACACACAATATGGCAAGTTTTTTAAGTCCACCAAAGCCCCTCTACCCCAACCCTTTGAGATAGGGCTAGACTTACTTCTAACATATAGAACATTCCAGAAGGGACAATATCAGGTTTTCAAGAATAGGTTATCAAAGATATTGTGGCTTTTTGCTGCTTTTTCTCTTGGGTAATTTATTTTTTAATTTTTTTTTTACTGTAAAGACACTGTACAGAATGGTTACAGTTACTACAGGAGTAAGGTAATGAGTATGTTCCCTATTGAGCATTGTTACCCCCTCCTTTGTTTTTCCCCTACTATCCTCTTGGGTAATTTCTTAAGGAAACCAGCTTCCATGACATCATAATACTCAGGGTAGGTCTTCTAAGAGCTTGAACTCTGGGCCTGGGCGCTGTCCCTCAGCTCTTCAGCTCAAGGCTAGCACTCTACCACTTGAGCCACAGAGCCTCTTCCAGTTTTCTGAGTGGTTTGTTGGAGATAAGAGTTTCATGGACTTTCCTGCCCGGGCTGGCTTTGAACCACGATCCTTAGATCTCAGCATCTTGAGTAGCTAGGATTACAAGTGTGAGCCACTGGTGCCCAGCTCATTTTAGTATATTTAATTTATTCTAATAAAATATTAAACTTGAATCATTTTATATTCTGTTTCATGCCATACTGGTGGTTGAACTCAGGACCTTATACTTGTTAGATGGGAGCTCTACCACTTGAGCTACATCTCCAGCTAGAGCATGACTTTAAACATGAACTAATTATAGAAATCTTACATTCTCATGAGAATAGAACAAGCACACTAGAAGTTTGTCACTTCATGGGATGAGGTAAATTTCACCACTGACTAGATAATAAAAAAAACACTTTTTTAGTGAAGTGCCGGCAGCCTAAGCCTATAATCCTAGCAACTCCGGAGGCTGAGATCTTTGGATTATAGTTTGAAGCCAGCCCAGTCAGGAAAGTCCACCATACTTTTATCTTCAAGTAATCACCAAAAAGCTGAAAGTGGAGCTGTGGCTTAAGTGATAGAGTGCTAGCCTTGAGCACAAAAGTTCAGGGACAGTGTCCATGCCCTGAGTTCAAGCCTCCAAGACCAGCATCAAAAACTCTAAATCTTTTTTATTATCTAATAAAATACTGTTTTATTATCTAATATTAGATAATAAAAATACTTTAGATAGAATGATGTTTGCTTCAGCTCAGGGACAGCGCCCAGGGCTTGAGTTCAAGTCTTAAGACCAGGACCATAAAACTCCCAAACTTTTTGTTATCTAATAAGATAAAATGCTTTTTATTATCTAATACTAGATCATAAAAATACTTTAGGTATGATGATAGCTTGCTTGTTTGTAAAATTTCTTACCTTTAATAAATATTTTTAGATTAAAATACATGAAATCTAAACTTTGCTGAAAATAAAACAGAATTAGGGAGACAAGTAAGTAGGCATAAAGCCAAAATGAAATTGGCTATGAATTGGTGAGTTTTTAAAGTTTAGATAATTGATGCCTGAATTTTATATGCATTTAAACTTTCCATAAAAATGTTTACGAGCAGGGCTGGAAGTATGGCTCAAGGAGGGTGAAGTAGGGTAGAAAGAAAAAGAGGAAGAGGGAGAAGAGGAAGAGGAGGAGGGACAGGAGGAAGGGGAGAGGGGTTCAGGGGAAGGAAGGAAAGGAAAGCAAGGGAGAGGGGTGTGGGAGGGGGCACAGGGTGTGAGGAGAGAGAGAGAGGGAGGGAAGAGAGACAGAGAGAAAGAGAGAGAATATGTGTCCCCGAGTTCAAACTCCAGTTCCCTGGGGAAAAATATATGACTAGTTATATGTTGAGAATTTGTTGTAACTTTTTTCTTCTCTGTCTGTTTCTTAGATGGCAAGAACAAGGCTAAAAAAGTTTACGACGCTGGAGCTTGTACTCAGTGCTCTTCTGCTTATAGTGTTTATCATTGCTGTTGTTCTCATTGTGCTTCTAGCCAATTCCACAGAAGTAATAGGTAACAAGTCATTCTGGGTCTCTCCTTCATCAGTGGTGGGGAAGTGGTGCTTTCAGATGCTTTCATATTCATATCTTATGGGTCTGAGTGCAGGTGTGTGCAGACAGATGTGGGATTGTCATGTTTTAGGGACCATGCATTCAAAACTGGGGAAGCTTGATATGTATTCCTCACACATTTAAATTAGGACACTCTCACTTCTCAATTCAATTAGTACACTGGCTTAAAATTTGAAATTGACACTTGAAATACATTTGCTGACTTTTTAAAAAATCAAGCGTAGAGCTTGAACTCAGGGTTTGGGCTCTGTTGCTGAGTTATTTTGCTCAAGGCTGGTGCTCTACCACTTTGAGCACTTCTGGTGGTTTCCTGGTGGATAATTGGAGATAAGAGTCTCAACAGACTTTCCTGCCCTGGGTAGCGATCCTCAGAGCTTAGCCTCCTGAGTAGCTAGGATTACAGGCGTGAGCCACCAATGCCTGGCTACATTTGCTGACTTGTATGGAATCATTCAAATTCTGTTAGTAATTGCATCGAACAGTATGTTTTTGTGAAAGGCCTAAGTTTAAAATCAGCTGAAGTATTTAAAGATTTTGGCTCTTAAGAAAACTACTCAGGTTGTTTTATTAGAAATTTATTCGTTAAATCCCCAAAGATGGGCTGGCCTATTGAATCATCTAGCATTTCATATCTCATTCACTCAGGAGCAACTTTGTAGGGAAAGCAGGCAATTTTACATCATCGCTAGGTATAGAATTTCTACATTTTATAGAAAGTTAGCTTAGAATTTTTGAGAGTCCCCAAAGTTATAATTAAAACTTTTATGTACCAACTGGTACAAATAGCGAGTTTGTCTCATCCACCACGTTTGAACTGGAAATCCCAGCTGAGAAACCCCAGGGGAGAAAGCTCACTAAAAGCCATGTTGCTTTGTCTTAGTGTCATTATTAATTTATTAAAGAATTCTCAATGAAAGTTTACTTTCTTACTTTAGAATTTAATATAAATTCTTTTTTTCTATCTTACTGATTTTCAAATCTGAAATCAAAGCTCTCTAGCCCTAGCACAGTTTCTAGACTGTGGAACTCATTTTACATTTTTTTGTCATATGACTTTACAGAAGAATATCCCTACTCAGAAGTGGACTTTGGTGTCTGAAAGACAATGAAATTCAGATTCTGGAGGACACTTAGTCTGTGTATGTTTCAAATCCAACCCCTGCTACTCAGGGTCCACAGACTTTTCTATAAAGTACCAGGGAGGAAGTAGTTTAGATTTTGTGGATCATATGATCATATGGTCATCCCTATTTAATACTGCCATTGAACAGAAGATCTGCTATCATCAAATGGGTGTGTTGGTATTATAGCAATTCTTGGTTTAGAAAATAAGATCTGACTTGATTTGGTTTGAAGGCTATAGTTTTCTGATCCCAGAATTAAAGTGGGTCCCTATTTCATGAGCTTCTAACCTAATGATGAAGGTCCTTTTTTTATAGATGGTTAGGGGTAGAAAGAGATCCTATGGGCTTAATAGAGATAAATATAGTCAGCTAAAACAAAAAGAAGTTTCGGCTTAAATTTTGAGGACTTAAAGTAAAGCCCCATCAGTGTTATATAATTATAGTATAATTTTAAATATTGAGAATTTGGGGCTTAAAATACCTAAAATGTTAAATTCTGTCTAATAGTCATTTAATGTTTGCTTTTGGGATAGACACACATCCTGGGACAACTGGTACCCCAGGTCCTGGGACTACAAGTACTACTCCCAGTTCTGTTGAGTGCCCCGTGGTGAATGACTTGGAACGGATAAACTGCATTCCTGACCAGCCACCAACAAAGGTTTGAGCTATGTATCTTGTCTTCATTTAAGAGTTTATACCATTGGGAAGTTTTTCTTTCTTTCTTTCTTTCTTTCTTTCTTCTTTCTTTCTTTCTATCTTTTCTTTAAATTTCTGTTCCTCACTCTCAAAAGAGTTGGTAGTTTGGCAGCTATTACTGGCTCAGGAAAATTAATCCTGTATCCATTCTTGTATAGCAGTGCATCTCCTTGGATTCAGCAAATGAAAGGATGGATTTCGCAGTTAAATTTGAATTTGAAATAAACAGCGAGTAAACTTAATTGAAATGTCTATCTTTTCCCCAGCAGCACATGCTGATGACTAGTTCTATCACTGCCTCTACTTTTGCCTTCCCTATATGCCTCTTCTTCCTGTCAGTATTTCAGAAAGTTATCTAGGATACAATAAAAATATTCATGTGCACCAAGCATGATTATCCAAAGGACAAAGTTTCAAGGGTGTGCTATAGAGGAAGAAAGTAATTAATCCAAGAGTAAAGATAGTGCAGGGACAGGGAAAGTTGCTTTAGTCCAATGTTTCTTGGACAGCAGCTGAAATGATCATGATAATAAAGTCATAAATTACTTGTTACTTTTAGAACAAAATGATGTCTCAGTGAAAATGGAACACACTTACTGGCATGCAATGACAGATTAGCATCAAGTGCAGAATGGAGCTTGCTGCATGCATGGCTTGGAGGAGTGGCACTCCCACATTTATCTCTGAGGTCAACCTTAGATGATCTGGACTGCAGGAGTCTAAATAGAGTTTCTGTTTTTCTAAAGGACTTATATACCCAAAGATAGTTCTTTTGTATTAGAAGATAAATCTGTCCTGTTGTTGGGGGTTGAGGTAAGGTCAAAGTAGGAGTGAAGGAGTGGAGGGAGTTTCCTTGCTTATCTCACACAGACTAAAATAAAGCCAAAAAAAAAAAAATCAAGGAGGAATCAACTCTTAATCAGAAAGCAACACATCCGTAAAGCCAGAGGCTTGGTATTTTAGAGTCCAACTGCTGATAACTGAATTGGCCTCCCTTTCTATGAGCACTTTATTATCTGATCATGGAAGCAAGAGTAAGCTAGTAGGAATCTGATGAACAGAGATAGAAGGAATGGAATGTGAATTCCTGAGGGAAGAGATAGCAGAAATGAAGTTGTACAAGGAGACATTATGGAGCTACGTGAGAGATGGAATGGTCCCACACAGCTAAGATGTAGGTGAGTGTTGAAAGGAAGATGTGTAAGACTGTGAGGTAGGTTGGAACTTCATGGCAGATGGCTGTCAATGGGAAAGGGAAGTTGTGGCCTGGCTCATGTTGTTCCTAGAGGGATGTTTGGAGTGGTGGGTTTGAAGAAAATGGATGCATACTGATTAACTTGTCCCTTCATAGTATGCTAGAAAATGAGTTTCCTGGAAGCGCCCCAACAAGTCTGTCCCTTCTTAAGGTGTCTCCCCTGCACTAGCCCATCTTGTTCCTGAATTTTGGTGAATTTTACATGTCATTAGTGCCATACCAATGCTTTTTTGTTATCTTATTTTCCCCACCTCTTCCACCATGTGCGTGACTGCAGTTGGTCCCTGTAATTCACATTCTATCCAGTGCCAGTAGAACAATTGGGTCAAACTCAAACATATTAACAACATATTATTCTATTTAACCTTCTTTGTGTCTCTACAACTATACTTAGCCTATTTCCCCCTGCAGATGGCAGAGACAGTTCCTGATACTGATCTGAAACTATTAATACAAAAGCAACCCATTACTTTCCTTATCTTTTTTTCCATAATTCTTAATTTGAAAGATTCCATTGATGTTGAAGCAAGAAATGTATTTAGTCAAATTCTAGATATCCAGATACTATCTCAAGAAAGAGATGGTAGATAATACTTTTAAACATTTTGATGTTTTAGTGTTAGAATTACTGTGAGCATATGGGAGAGAAGATATACAGGCAGCTATTGCAGAATGATTAACCTGACAGAAATTTTCCATTGTTGTATTCATGGGCAGTAGTCATAAGCTTTCTGATATTTGTCAGGTTCACATTCTTTTTATTCTGAGAGTTTTTAATCTTTTATTATCTTTTTCTTTATAATATCCTTTTCCAAATTCCAGTTTCTTATCAGAGTATTTAAGGGACCAAGTTTTATAATATTTTAGCAAAGATGTTTTGTTTGCTTAGATAATTATAGGTCTCCACCTTAAGTTTATACAACATTATTTAAGAGGTATTAGTTGGTGCTAGGAAAATAGTGAGATTTAAGGTCCCAGAAATAGATGTGGATTTGTTCCACATGTTGAGTGGATGGTGCAGGCATTGGACCAGAACATGGTAGAGGAACCAGAATACTCAGTTCTCAACCTGGCTTTGCTTCTGAAAACCTGTACCCCTCAATTACTGTCCTATCTCCTTGTATATTGTCAAATCCTTATCAGTGAAAGGGGACTGTATATGCTCAAATATACTTATTCATTAAACAAAGGACTACTGAATACTGCCTAAAGAGATTTTAAAATAGTGATCTCTAAAGTCCTGGAAAATGTTCTCTGAAAATACACCAGAGTCTAACTTGGGGCAGTAGAAAGATTGGCAGAGGTGGCATAGTTCTTTAAAAACCTTTGCTATTGGATGTTGTCTTATGATGAGAGAAGTGGCAAGATTAATTTCCAAAAACTGTGTTGTGATATAATATATAGTTCAGATATTTGCCTGAGTTGAGATTAAGGTCATTCTTTCATTTTTTTCAAAGTTGTTACACCTCAAACTAACAAAGGACAATTTTCATGAGTAGAGTTGTATTGGAATTCTTTTCCTATCATGTGTTTTTACTTCTGAAGTGCCTGCCTCAGCTAGAAAATGAAATATTACCCTACTGCTCTCTCAGCATTAAGTTCTGGCATATTTTATTTGTGTTTTTGTCAATCTTGGGGCTTGAACTCAGGGCCTGGGAGCTGTCCCTGAGCTTTTGTGTTCAAAGCTAGCACTCTACCACTTTGAGCCAAAGCTCCACTTTTCGTTTTCTAGTGGTTAGAAGTAAGAGTCTCATGGTCTTTACTGCCTGGATTAGCTTTGAAGCACGATCCTCAGATCTCAGCCTCTTGTGTAGCTAGGATTACAGGTGTGAGCCACCCATGTCTGGCTTGGCATTTTATTTTATTTATCTTATTTTCTTTTCTTTTGGCAACTTTCTCCTTCCTTGTGGTCTCAGAGGCTCCCTGAGTGGTCTCTTCAGCAGGGTGGCTGGACTTCTTACAGACCAAGACTGCCAGAGCATACAGGGAAATTGTTTTCTAGCCAGGCCCAGAAGCAGCCCAGCATCACCTTCTCTGTCAAATCTGTCATGAGCCATCTCGGACTCATGAAGAAGGGTGACCAGAACAGAGTATGAAAATAAAAATCACAGTGAAAGCAACATTGATAAAGCTTTTGGAAATCGGACTGAGGAGTCCTGAGAAGAGGGATTTATGCAGGCTTCTCTCCTGGCTGGAATGTGGACTGTGGGTACCTTCACCTTTTGTCTGCTGGAATGTGGACTGTGGGTTCCTTTACCCTTTGTCTGCAGGCAGCTGGAACAGGTGGTTCTGTGGTGCCATGCACAGAAAGAGGCTATCAGACTGGGTTTTATAGCACTTTCATTAACATGGACATTCCTTTTTTAGTCTCCTGTCACCTTGCCCCTGTTTTCATAATAGACTTGTTGCTACTTTGCCATACGATGATATTGTTTGTTCTTATAATGTCTCACTTACCTCGTCTTCTTTAGCCTAGATTCAAAGCTATCTGAACCTGTGTCTGATGGACTGAAATTCTCAACACCAAATAAAGTTCCTTTACTTCTACACTTTCTCAATTTGAACTGACAGACAGCAGTAGAAGAACTAGTATCAGGCTTAGGGAGAGTGCAGAGTGGATTAACCCAGTCTAATATGGACTGGAAGGAGTCAGCCAATTCGTTCCAGTGGCAGAGATAGCTAATACTGCAGACTTGCTTAAACCAGCTCTTTCTGGGCCTCAGATCATATGCCTTTAGCTCTTCCCGTCTGCCCTGGCAACTGTCCTTACTCTTTTCTAAATGCAGTAATTGCTGAAGTCCTGATTTTAAAATATTCTTTGGTGCTGGGAAGGTGGCTCAGTGGTAGAGTGCTTGCCTTGTATGCATGAGGTCCTGGGTTGGATTCCTCAGCACCACATAAGCAGAAAAAAAAAGCCGGAAGTGGCGCTGTGGCTCAAGTGGTAGAGTGCTAGCCTTGAGCTGAAGAGCTGAGGGACAGCACCCAGGCCCAGAGTTCAGGCCCACGACCGCACCCCCCCCCCCCCAAAAAAAAAAAAGAAAGATTCTTTGGTCTGTTGCTTCCTACGGACATAAAATATTTATGCATTCCAAGGCACCAGTAATCTTAGCAGTAAATTATTTTAACCCACTGAAAAAGATATGAAATCATTAGTCAGTTATCTTGTTGATAGTGGATTTTTACCTCTGACATGTTTTTTGGGACATATAGAGAGACAATTTCTCTTTTTTATATTGAAAAATTTGAGACAGTGTTTTTGTTTTTGTTTTTTTGGTAAATTCTGATTACTTACTTTCTTTTTTTTTTGTGTGTGTGAAAATGCCATACAGAGGGGTTACAATTACATGGGCAAGATAATGAGTACATTTCTTATCAAGCATTGTTGCCTCCTCCTTTGTTTCCCCTTCCCATCCCTTTCCATCTCTGCCCCTTCACCTCCTGCCAAAGTTGTAGAGTTTGTGTTTTCGACATAACATCTTGTACATCTCATTGTTGCAATGGGTCCACCTGTATCCCTGTTTAAACGATTTGTTTTTTTTTCCCCTTCCCCTCCACAAATAAAAATATGGAATGCTTCACGAATTTGCGTGTCATCTTTGCGTAGGGGCCATGCTAATCTTCTCTATATCGTTCCAATTTTAGTATATGTGCTGCCAAAGCACACATGAGACAGTGTTTTTAAAATAGGAAGGCATACATACCTACTAGGGAAAATATTAGAATGTTAGGAGAGAGGGGTTGTGATAGATCCCTTCATATTTTTTCCAGTTCTCTTCTGCATCTTCCATACTAATCAATACCATAAAGACCTGGGAGCTCCCTTCCTTTTTTCCAATAACAGTCTGAGTCACAGATGCCATTTTCATCTTTCTCCTTTTCCTTTCTGCCATCGTTAGTGGGCATTGCAGGTGTTATGGTGCTGTTTTTCTTTTTTTTTTTTTTTTTTTCTTTTTTGGGTCCAGTTGTGGGGCCTGAACTCTGGGCCTGGGCGCTGTCCCTCAGCTCTTCAGCTCAAGGCTAGTGCTCTACCACTTGAGCCACAGCACCACTTCCAGCTTTTTTCTTTTTGCTTATGTGGTGCTGAGGAATTGAACCCAGGGCCTCAGGCATGCAAGGCAAGCACTCTACCACGGAGCCACCTTCCCAGCCCCTGGGAGCTGTTTTTCTTGAGCCGTGGTTCAGTCTTAGCTCTCCATCAAAATTAGGTGAAAAGATTTAAAGACACCCATTCCTTGGGCTCACCCAGAAATTCTAATTTAATTCACAAGAAAACAGCTCAGATGTGATTATTCTTGGAATATTTACCAAGTGACCCACACATGATCTAAAATGACAGTGTCGAGAGCCATGGGCCTCAAACATTGATCAATATGAGAATGACTATAAACTATAGTATATATTATAAATTTCATTCTATATGAAAATTACTTTTACAAGTTTTTCTATTTATGTGTCCCTTGAGTATATATCTTCAAATTGTTCTCCAAAGTGGCTGTGCTAACTAACGATCTTATTATCAATCTCTGTAACCTTAATAGTATATGGAATTGACAGTCTTTTTAAACTTTTCCATTTTGAGGAAGTGATTATCTTCATTTCTTACATTTTTTTTATTTTTTATGTTTTGGTCGGTCATGGGGCTTGAACTCTGGGCCTGGGCGCTGTCCCTGTACTCTTCAGCTCAAGGCAAGCGTTCTACTGCTTGAGCCACAGCGCCACTTCCAGTTTTCTAGTGGTTTATTGGAAATAAGAGTCTCATGGACTTTTCCTGCTTGGGCTGGTTTTGAACTGTGATTCTCAAGATCTCAGCCTCCTCAGTAGCTAGGATTACAGGCGTGAGCCACTGGCGCCAGGCTTTTGTTGGACTTTGTTTGCTATTCTGTCCCCTGCCTTGAACTGAGGGTTCATGTTACAATCCTAAAATCTCCCTCAGCACTGCATTGGTAGTTGTATATTCTATTCTGTCTCAGCAGTGTCCTGTCATTGTCACTTCAAGCCTAAAGTGCTAGTTCGTGTGTTGGATCTGATTCTTTGCATCTTGACAGGTCGCTCTAAAGCTGCTTTCCAGAGTTTCACATCTGTCTTACTTTCTTGTCCTCTAGGTCTTGTTCAGCATCTTCCACTTTCACTGGTAGTTTCAAGTTAGTTAACAGGGGCTGTTTATAACCTTGCTGCTTTAGCCAGTCTGATCTTTGCCCTTTCCAGCTCAGTGAAAACATGATTAATCTCTGGAGAGTGTACTGAAGCCATCCTATTTGACACTTTTACAACACCTTTCTCATGTTCACTAAGACTGAAGTTTCTTCTGATGAGGTTTGAGAGGAAAGTACAAGGGGGCTCAGAAAGTGGCTCAGTGGTAGAGTGCTTGCCTCACATGTATGAGACCCTGGGTTCGATTTCTTAGCACCAAATAAACAGAAAAAGCCGGAAGGGGTGCTGTGGGTCAAGTGATAGAGCACTCGCCTTGAGCTGAAGAGCTGAGGGTCAGTGCCCAGGCCCAGAGTTCAAGCCCCATGATTGACCAAAAAAAAAAAATAAAAATAAAAAAAATAAAAAAAGGAAAGAACAAGATACTGGCAGCTGATTAAAGTTGTGTTCACAGTACAATGTGATTCCATGGCAAGGAAGGCCGCTTATAGAACTTGTTTTCCACCTTTCAGGCAGAATCCAGATCATAAAGTTAGAGGTTGTGGGCTATTCCTTGCTAGGCTCCAGGGTGTCACAGTGTATTTCTATCTTCTCAGGAGACTGAGAGTGGGAGGAATGTGGTTTGAGGCCAGCCCTGGGCAGAAAAATTCTCATGATTCTATCCTGAAAATATCCAGTAAAAAGCAGGGCTAGATGTATGGCTTAAGTGATAGTGTACCAACCTAGCAAGAAAGTAAGCTTAGCCAGCAAGCTAATCAAGTGCGAGGCCCTAAGCTCAAACCCAGTACTTCTCCTACCAGAATACATCTCATCACGTACAGATCAATGTTCCAAAATCTGAAAAAATATCTGCAATCTGAACTAGTGTCAACCATTTTGGATAAAGAATGCACAATCACCTGACTTTCAGTATAAAAATTAGTTTTTGATTAAATGCAATAATTCGTATGGCTCAGCAAGATACTAACCATCCTTATCATTTGTGAGAGATTGTCTTATGGTTCTGAAAAATGTGTGTAGCTGTGTCCATTCCAGAACAGAAAGGGAATCATGAGGGAACTAAGCTTGTTTTCATCCTCAGCAGCTAGTGACTTTCAGCTTATTGCTTCATGGCTGTGGGCCTCGTGGGCTTCATCTGCAAAATGAGATGTAAAAGAGTCTTTTCTTATTTGATTGGAAATTAAAACCAGGGCCTCTTGCTAGCTAAGGAAGTGCTTTGCCACTGAGCTACCCCTGAACCTACATTATCCCAACGCTTGATGGCTTAATATCACAGACCTTATTTTCTTGGTTCATAGAGTTGAAAATCTGGCCTTGTTGAGCTGGGTGCCTCTATTTCCGAGTCTCTTATCTGAGTTTCTTGCTGGCTACTGGCTGGAGACCTCCTTTCAGCATCTTGGCATGTGATAGGAGGACTTGCTTTGTCCACGCTGAGGCCTCCAACCAAGAAAGCGGAAGAGAGCAAGCAAGAAATCACTGTCTTTCTGAGGTCTAATCTAGAAAGTATTGTCCTACTTTCTATTAGTTGCAAGTCTCCACCTGTGGCTCACACTCAAGAAAGAGATTTCTCTTTATTTATCTTAAATAGAGCAAATGTGTCAGTAAAAGATCACTTTTTTTGTCTTGAAAGGAGTTGAAAAACATGTACATGCCACCTATTTATAATCTACGCAATGCAGTATTTTAAAAAATTATTTTGATTTGAAGGCCTCTGGATAAAGGTGGTTGCAAGTCTCTGCAAGAGGTTTTACAAAGGGATTTATTTCAATTCAGCATGTCAGTTTGTGAATACAGTACATTTTGTCCTGGTCACCTCTTCCATCACCCCCCCCCCCCCTTTAAAAAAGTCAAAGCAAGTATACATGAAATTCCATTTGTAAATTTGTAAATATACTGGTGATATAACTATATTAAAGTTTAGAATTTTTAGGTGTATTAATTGGTTTTAGTGTGAAAGATAGAGGATGCAATGTGTCCCCTATACTGTTACATAGAAAGACACAAGCTAGTAAAATTGCGAGTGAACACTGCTCCTTTGGTTGAATTCCCTCATTTGTAAAACGAAGTTATTCCTATGAAGATCTGAAATTAGATGACTTGTTCTTCTCCAGATGGATTAATCTATCATTTCAGGACATATGTGACCAGCGTGGCTGTTGTTGGAACCCTCATGGAACCACAGACATCCCCTGGTGCTACTATTCCAAGAATCATGGCTACAACATAGAGGGTGATCTTGCAAACACAAATGCAGGTACGTGAGACTCTGCGGGCAGGCAGGAGCCCAGACCCTCTGCAGGATCTGGTATCTGTGCAAGGCTCTGTGGCAGCATGCATGGGCCACTCTGCAGCCATGCTGCTATGGTGACAAGTGTGAGCACTGCTCTTAGCGAAGACCCATTTTGGCATCGAGCAATAGTCACCTTCTGCTGGGAGTTTGGAAACCACATTCTGTTTCTTGCTTCACCTCTCTCCATACCTTTGTGACCTTGTATAATTGTCATGTCTGTTTTTGTTCTTAAGGTTATAACTATTGCATGAGATAGGGATTTGAACTCATGCAACTCTGATATTACTTTTGACTTTAGTGGGATATAACTTGTATGAGTGAGAAACAATTCCAGTTTTACAAGCTTGTTACAAAATGTGCCTGGTCAATGTTAGCATTTATTAACAGATTGTCTGCTCTTCATTTTCCTATCCTAAATGGAGGGCCTCATCATGAACAATTTGGGGGGTGGGAGGTAGGAGCAGGTGAGTACTCTGGGGGAACTTCCTAGTATAAAGGAAGAAGTATAGTCCTTTGGAGATGCTCTGGGCTTGATGGGTTCTTCTACAAGGCCTTAACTCTCACTTGATTTCCATTTCATTAGGGAGATGGCATCAATGTGTGTGATGTAATATTAAAATAACTAAGAAGGGGTAATGTGTGCATATATATATATACATATGCATATATGTATGCATATATGTGTGCATATATATACATATATATGTAAAGAGCATAAAAAGTATTTGATCAATACAGAAAGACTGATGAGCTGGTAACATGAGTCCTCGTGAGGGCAGTTTTCAATCAGATTTTGTAGAAAAGAACCATAGATTTTTAGATAAGATAGTAATACTAACTAGTTTCCAGATTGGGACCAGGATGCAGTGCATACAGTGGGATAGATATTTATCTCCTCCCTTCTTTGTCCTCTTTTTTCTCTCCCTTTCATTAGTCCCATTGACCTGAAGGTTAAGTTTTATGTAGCTATTATTTGAGAATTTACAGAACCAACTATGAAATCCTTTTCTTCTCTACATGTTAGGATTCACAGCCCAGTTGAAAAGTCTGCCATCATCATCCCTGTTTGGAAATAACATCGACAACATCCTCCTGACAGCAGAATACCAGACATCTAACCGTTTCCACTTTAAGGTTGTAATTTGGTTCTTTTCAAAAAATCTTTTTAAGATGCTCTGTTCTCTTCTTGATGACGATGGTTCCTGCAAAGTAGAAAATGGTGCTACTGGGGGTGGTGGTGGTGTCATTTTTTTCTACTCATTATTATTTAGCACTTGTATGCTGAAATCTTCTATAGACTTTCTTTTGCATGATAACTTTCTAAATCCACATCTAGAATTTATTGAGTAGCCTTTAGCTTTCATTTATTTGGCCTCAATATCTTGTGAAATTTGTAGGGCACAAAAATTATCACAGCTCTGAGTATTCGGAGGATAATCTATCTCTGCAGACTTTCACTATGTGTTTCTACATAAAGAGTAACATGTCCCATGGTTGAATCTTTGAAGTTGATGGCATGATGAGTCCATATCCTAAGATAGTACAAGTTTAACCAGTATCTGACTGCTTTTTCCAACCATGCAGATTTTGCGAAGAATAGGTGTTAGTAGGGGACATTTCTAATGTTTGAAAATCAGGATAGTTTTCATTTTGACTCAGTTTTTATTCATCTCTTGTGGCAGTTGACTGACCAATCCAAAGACAGGTATGAAGTACCCCATGAACACGTGCAACCCTTCCGTGGAAATGCTGCTTCCTCCTTGAACTACGAGGTTGAGGTCTCCAAACAGCCATTTAGCATCAAAGTGACCAGAAGAAGCAACAGCCGTGTCCTGTGAGTTTGAGAAACGTCTCTGGGGCTAGACAAGGGAGGTTATGGCGAAGGGAGGCCCGTGAGCTGGAGGAAGAGTGCATTTCAACAATGTTCCTGAGGACTGTTAGTCCGTTGGTGGTGGGCAGTCCTTCTCTGCTTCCATATGTGTATGACTGTCTCATTTTTCTTCTCTTTTGGCCTTCTGTTTGCACAATCAATGTTTTCTTCTTTATTTTTTTCCTTTCTCTCATCTGTCCAACTCATCAGTAAATATCAGTGATCATGAAAGTATAGCATCTGGTCTTATGGTAGATTATTAGGGTGGGAGGGGACAAATAGAAGAAACTGTGCCTTATCTTCTCTGCTGTGCAGGAGTCGTGAACTCTTTGTATCCATGGTTAAATGTCATAGGAGGGCAAATGGGACTGACTAAACCAAATGACTGCTATGGAGGAAGTGAGATCTGAAGGTCCATTCTCCATTCTCACTTGTCACTCATTCCTGTGTTTTGCACTGTGTCTAGGTTTGACTCGGGCATTGGGCCTCTCCTGTTTGCAGACCAGTTTCTTCAGCTTTCCATTCGCTTGCCCAGTGCTAATGTGTATGGTCTGGGAGAACACGTGCACCGGCAGTACCGGCACCACATGAACTGGGAGACGTGGCCCATATTTGCCAGGGACACAACCCCCAACGGGGTAAGCATATTTGTCTGGTGGGGGTAGGCCTGAACTTGGGGTCTTTGGTGTAAACTTTCAGGTTGGGCCTGCTTCCAAAGGATATTATAGCCTCAATCTTGTTGGCCACTTCTGATATCACAATAAGATAGTTGTGTAGGAATTTTGGCTCTGCTTCTTACCAGTTATGTGGTTCTGGGTAAGTTAGTTACTTAGTTCTCTGTTTTTATTTTGGTTTGTTTGTTTGTTTCTCACCTGTGAAATGGGTATCTTCTCTTCACACTGATTGTGGAGGAAAGGTTGCTTCTATCTATATTTTGAATAATAGTTGATTATGACCTCCATAATTTAGGTTGACCTTGAGTATATCAAATCATTCTTGTGGAAAGAATGATCAAAGCAATAAAAGAATAGATAATGTTCTCTTGTTACTATTTTGTTTTATTTTTGTTTTATTTTTATTGTTTTTATTTTTTTGCTTTGGCTGCTAAGATTTGAGGCAACATTTTTCTCTATGAAGAGCAATACTCCATAATTCAGGAATTTTCCTGAGTAAACAAAACTAACGCTGGATGAAAGAAGGTCATAGCAATATTTTATAAACAACCACGCTTGTATTTCCTTCCTCCCTTCCTTCCTTCTTTCCTTCCTTCCTTCCTTCCTTCCTTCCTTCCTTCCTTCCTTCCTTCCTTCCTTCCTTCCTTCCTTCCTTCCTTCCTTCCTTCTTTCCTTCCTTCCTTCCTTCCTTCCTTCCTCCTTTTACCCCATTTTTTGAAACAGGGTATTGCCTATATAGTTCAGGCTTGCTTTGAACTTGTGACTCTCCTGTGTTAGCTTCTAACTGCTGGGGTTACAGGAGTGCATCACCACTCTATTGTCTGGCTTTGTATATTATTTCTTTCTTTTCTTTTCTTTTTCTTTTGGTCATGGGGCTTGAACTCTGGGCCTGGGTACTGTCCTTGTGCTCTTCAGCTCAAGGCTAGCGCTCTACCACTTGAGCCACAGTGTCACTTCCGGTTTTCTAGTGATTAATTGGAGATGAGTCTCATGGACTTTCCTGCCTGGGCTGGCTTTGAACCACAGTCCTCAGGTCTTAGCCTCCTGAGTAGCTAGGATTACAGGCATGAGCCACCAGTACCCAGCTTTTTATATTATTTCTATGTAGTAAAATGACCTAAGACAGAATAAGAAATAATATCTCATTTAACAGAGCCTAAGGTGAAAGAGTTTGTAAGAAGCAGCCACAGGATCTGATCCCCACACGGTCCTACCTAATGCCTGTGCTCTCTGCTACTCAAGCCTGTCAGCAAAGCAGAGAAGCTGCAGAACCCATAGCCTGTATAGGAGTAGCTAGTGATGGACATTGAACCAGGGATTGTAGACCTGCACACCAAGGTGGGAATCGTGTGCTTCTACTGCTTCTCTTCCCCCTCCTCCAGAGTCTCCTCCCACTTGCTAGACAAGTGCTCTGCCATTTGATTCACACCACCAGTTCCTTCTGCTTTAGTCATTTTTGGGATATTATCTCATTTCTGTTCCATTCCCATGTTGCTTAGACTGAGAACAATGGGTGTGTTCCAACATGTCCAGCTATTGTTTGAGACAGGGGTCTGACTTTTTGCCCAGGCTAGCCTTGAACTGCAGTCCCCCAAATCTCTGCCTTCTGAGTGTTTGGGATTACAGGTGTGAGCCACGGCACCCAGGACCTCCCTTTGTACTGCATTTGAATTTACATTTAACACAGGCACCTGTACCAAAGGATGACAAGCAAGATAATAGAGCACTGATTTTCAAATGTGACTACCCAGTAGAATTGTCTAGAGAAAGTACACGACAACAACACAAACCCAAACCAACAAAGATGCATGTGCTTCTGCTCTCAGGGATTCTGTTTTAATTGTTCTTGGAAGCAGTTTGGGTAGAGAAGTCCTGTTCTGGAGTCTAAAAGATCTATTTAGGTTAGAGCTCGTCTAGTTGTTTATTCTTACTAAGATTCAGTAGAGCTCATATAAGATTGTCGGGAAAAGGCACAGCTCTAAGAAAACTTATGATTTATGGCTTCTGCATCTTCATCTTTTAGCAAATGTCACGACCTCCACATTCCTACTAGAGAAATGATCATCACTCCCTCATATAACCAAACTCTCATAAATCTGGTTGATATCAACCAAATGGTAACTCTATCTTTTAAAATTTGTGACTTCAGTGATCACGGGGTTCCTCATATGATTAAGGCTGATTCTGCAAATCAGCCTGGCAATATGTTATTTACATGACAGGACTTTGTAAGCTTATGGTTCAAATTGTCTTTCTGCAGGATGGAACTAACTTGTATGGTGCTCAGACATTCTTCCTGTGTCTTGAAGACGCTAGTGGATTATCCTTTGGGGTGTTTCTGATGAACAGCAATGCCATGGGTAAAAGATGAAAGGAATATTTATGAAAAGATGAACATGAAGAGTGAAAATTTTCCTTAGTTAAGCACTAGAATAAAAGAAACATGCCATTTAAGCCTGAGGGATTCTGGCCGAGGGGATTATTGTTTCACGCAGGGGTGAGGACAACAGGATCTCTGGTTCCTTGTGAGAAGGAAATGCCTTCCTTCTCCCCAATCAGATTTAATTCTAAGGAGCCTGAAAATTAAGCTGAGAGAATGATCAGCAAGGAATGCTTACATATAACTATGCTCTGGTGGGCTCATGATGAGTAACCGAAAGGGAGGATTCACATTCTGGGCTGGTATACTATGTTAATAGGCAAAACTGAAGGGATGAAAGAAATTTACAGGAAGACAATTGACTTGGGGAAATGTTAGTCTTGTGACAATGTCTGTTGGCACTTACTCTTTTCAGAGAAGATTAGAGTTGCTCATAGTTTTAATAACTGAATTATTCAAGAGATGACTCCTAGGCAGATCAGAAGTATCAATAACAAAATACCTTCTACACCAAGTATTTTTTATGCCAAACGGACCTATTCTGTACCCTTTCATGAGCCAGTTAGCTTTTAAAAAATATTTATCAGAGCCTAGGTCTTGGCAGAAGGAGCTATTAAAGTCTGTCATTGAACAAATGAGCTCATGTCCATGTGTATCCATTTGTCTATTTCTATGCAAAACTAGAGGCATGGAAATGTTATAAATGTTAAGGTGGTTAGTGATCCTCTGGTCTAAAACTTTGTAGTTACTATGGTAGAGTAATTCTTTTCTTTTTCATGTCTTTTAAGAGGTCAGCCTCCAGCCTGCTCCAGCTGTCACTTACCGCACCATTGGCGGTGTTCTGGATTTCTATGTGTTCTTGGGAAACACACCTGAGCAAGTGGTTCAAGAATATCTAGAGGTAAACTTACAATATCATAATTTATGGCCAAGGAAATCCTTTATAGAAAATACTTTACAAATATGCTTAATCTACTGTGACCCAGGTAAACCTACAATTACAGATTTAAAATATTAAAGGTAAATTACCTATGTTCCATGGGAATTGCTTTATAGCATATTACATTATACAAAGATTGGAGACTATATAGATGCCCAAGCAGAGCCTGCCCTTCATGAGGAAAGAGGGGCCAGATAAACACTAATATTCTGACATGAATGAATCCCTGTGTTGGAAAATGTAGTATGCTTTTCTCCCTAAACCTGCACATAATCTTTAATTGACAAAAATGTTGCTCACTTTTATTTCCTGTGTTTCTCCTAGCTCATTGGACGGCCATCCCTGCCTTCATACTGGACACTGGGATTTCACCTTAGTCGATATGATTATGGAACCCTAGAAAAAATGAAAGCAGTCGTAGACAGAAACCGTGCAGCACAACTCCCTTATGTAAGTAAAGCTTTAACAGTTCTCCACAAATAAAAATAAAGAAACTCTCTAGAAGTAAAAGAACAGACACTCATACTCATGCTTTCTCTCCTTTGTACTTTATTGGTACCAGGGTTTGAACTTAGGGCTTATTGTTTTCTTGGCTTGCTTGTTAGCTGATGCTTTACCACTTAAGCTATGCCTGCAGCTTGGCTTTTTGCTGGTTATTTTGGAGATGGAGTCTTATAGACTTTTTTTCATTAGGTGGACTTTGAACCACAGTCAGCCTCATGACATCCTTGGGTTGACATTGAACACAGGATCTCAGCCTCCTGAGGAGCTAGGGTTGTTGACATGAACCACCAGTGCTGGACTAAAAGAACTTGATGTATTTAAAATACTAGAGGTTTTTGTTGGGCTACAAGGCATTGTACTCATTTTCTTTTAGTGGTAAAAGTAAAGACCATACTTATGGATAAGAGGCAACTTGGTTATGTATCTATTTTTCTTTTCATGTTTTATTAGTAAAATTTCCTTATACTTACTGTTCTAACTTCACTTTATAATGCCATACAATATAGCCAACTGTGGGATAAAAAATTTAGATAAAATGGGGGAAAGATAGCACTTTCCTTCTAGTGACTGTGTATAGTGTGCAATTCATTTTGGTGGTTTGTCATAAATCGTGGGGTGAGCCTGATTGCATGGGTGGGGGCAAGCCTTAGAAAAAGAATGGGACATTTGTTTTTAAAACTCCCTTGATATAGGTGTACTTGGATACTAGACTGTTTAGCACTCTGTGTAGATCTCAGGATAGAGCTCACATATATCTTGTATAATAATACTGATAAATGATGCTTGCTGGTGGCTCATGCCAGTAACTCTAGCTTTTAGGAAGCTGAGATCTGAGGATCGTGGTTTGCAATCTATGAAACCTCTTCTCTAGTTAACCTGCAAAAAAGATGGACTGGAAACATGGATCAAATGATAGAGCACCAGCCATGAGCAAAAGAGCTGAGTGAGAGTTCTAGATTTTGAGTTTGAGCCCCAGACCTGGCACAAGAATTAAAATAATAAAATACAATAGTAAAGAATAAAATATAATAAAATACAATAAAACAATAATAAAATACAATAAACACTGATAAGGTGGACTTGTGTTTTCTTTCAGGATGTTCAGCATGGTGATATTGATTACATGGATGAGAGGAAGGACTTTACCTACAACCCAGTGGGTTTTAAAGGCCTCCCTGAATTTGTTAAGGAGCTACATGGAAATGGACAGAAATTTGTCATCATTGTGGTATGTGCTGCCTTTGTCATCTCTTGTGATATGTGGTGTGTTACCTCAGATCGTTTGCTCTTATCAATATATCTACCTCCACTTTCTTGCTTCCTGAATTCCCATTCTCTTTTCAGCGCTTCCAGTTTAAGGCTGGCTTCTTACGTGTGTTTTCCCCTTAGGATCCAGCCATCTCCAACAACTCTTCCCTAAGTCATCCTTATAGCCCATACGACAGGGGCTCAGCTCTGAAGATATGGGTGAATGATTCAGATGGAGTAAACCCACTCATTGGGGAGGTAACTTGATGGGGGAAACAGGTGTGTGTGTGGGTGGGGGGGGGGGAGAGAACAAAAGAGTGACAAAAAGAGAGACAGAGAAAGAGAGAAAGAGTATTACGCTGTACATTTTCAAATGCTATGTACATCCTGGGATAAACTTGCCTTTTATTCCCAGATACCTACCAACAATTCTACCTCTTACATGGCTCTAAACTATAGCTAACTCTCTGGGAGTCTACTTCCTCACCTCGTTCCCACTTCAGTGACTTTGGCCCCCATCACCCCACTAACTTTACATGGTACCAATGACATGCATGTGAAATCCAAGGGTAATACCCTGTGTCTTGTTCTTAGTTTTTCGACAGTATTTATCCACTTGACTGCTTCTTCCTCACATCTTTATTTGACCTGGCCTTTCAAGGTGTTACCTGGTGCTTCACTTTGGATAGCACTGATGACCTTTTCAGAGTATGGTGTGTGAGAGAATAGAGAGAATACGGAGAGAGTAGAGAAAGGGAAAGAATGTAAGAATCCACAGGTTCTAAGGGACGGTTGAAATTCACATAAAATACTCCCCTGTTACTCTTCGTAGGAATGACAATAAAGTCATAGGAAGGGTAACCCTGAGGCAAAATGAGAGATTCGAAAATGCTTTATCCATGCATTTGCTCATTAAGCATTAGCTAGTTTTTTTAAAGTAAATTTTTCTGCAAGTGATTAATTATTCCTAACATTTATTATCTGAAGTCTGAATTATTCACTTTTCTAACTAAAGGGCCTATGCCTGATACCTCTTTTCTCTACAATCATATTAGGAATGTCTATGCAAAGGTCTTTGCTTTGCTCTGTGGTCACTTAATTCACTCCTATTGGTGTTTCTTTTTTTTTTTTTTTAACCCTTTCAGGTCTGGCCTGGGAAAACTGTCTTCCCTGATTATTCTAATCCCAACTGTGCTGCTTGGTGGGCAAATGAATTTGAGCTTTTTCACAACCAAGTGGAGTTTGATGGAATTTGGATCGTGAGTACTTATCATGTTGATACGTAGGGATGAGTATTCAGTGTCTGTAGCTCTGTCTATGTCTTTGAGTCATGGAACATAAGAGGGGGAAGAGAGGAAAACAAATATAACCACAATTTCTAGTATGCCCTGTCTTACTACTCAAACAATCTTACCCCAAGTTCTTAAACCCATCTTTCTTTTACAAATGAATGAGCTGATGTCAAAATAGCTCTCATTGACATAAGGAAAGCAATTATCCAATTGCCTCTTTCATTTGGACATGTTGAACAGAACAGTTAAAGACAAAGTTCTCTGTGGCTGACATGAGGAAGGGGAAATATCTCATATAGTGAGAAATAAAAAACAAGTATAAAAATTAGTTGCTGCAGCCCAGCAAAATGCAGGGAGTTTTTGTGGGTTTCTTTTCCTATTCATAAGAGAACCATGTAAAATTTAAATAATACAGACAGCTAAAACAGGAAAAAAGCCAAATTGAAATAGAATGATAGCAGCCAAAGACATCTACCATGATCATTTTGGCATGCATTTTTCCAGACCTTTTATTTTCATAGCTTTGGAACATGCAAACCCTGTTCTCAGCCTCTCTTTTTCTGTGTATATTTATATGTGTGTTCTTCTATGTTTGTGAATTCATGGTTCTGTTTGTCTACATAGAGTATAAGTTGACATTTATTTTGCCTAATATATTTGGGGATTGCTCATTTGCTGTGATTATAGATATAGATCATTAGAAAGGATCCTAGGGATCTTCTCTGAGAAATTCTCCTTGATAATGCAATAATTAATATATGTCTAAGATATGAGCAGAAAAGCTCAAAAGCTATGTAAGATGATGCTAAGTGAAATGAACCCTAAGATATAGATACAAGAGGTTTTTCTTTGTTGTTGTTTTTAATGTACTATGTGATTTTCTTTTGTATGTTCTTCTTCCTATGGTATAGTCCCTGTTGTCACCGTATTTGATTTTGGCACCCTGCATCTTGTATATACATTTTTCTAATTTGGGAAGGGGAAGGGGAATAACAAAATGTTGAAATAAGGGTACAGGATGACCCATTGTAACAATGATACTCACAAGACACTATATTGGAAATGAACTTTACAACTTCGGGGGAGGAGGAGTGAGGGAGGGAGGGAGGGATGGAGGGAAGGAGGGAGGGAAGGGATAGTAGAAGAAAAACAAAGGAGGGGGTAGCAATGCTCAACAAGAAATGTACTCATTACCTTACTCATGTAACTGTGACCCCTCTGTACAGTATCTTTATAAGAAAAAAAATTTTCCTTGAGTAGGAAAGACAGGAATATCTATTATATTACTTGTATGTAAGGGACTCCTTTATGAATAAGCACATAGAATTATTTCTCTGATTCCACTTAATATTGTGTCATATATTACCTTACTTAATAGCTTTTACTATTTGTCTTGCAGGATATGAATGAAGTTTCCAACTTTGTTGATGGTTCCATTTCAGGATGTGCCACAAACAACCTCAATCATCCCCCATTCACTCCCAGTAAGTCTCTGTGGTCAGCTTGATTCCACATGGGATATTTCAAATTCAGAAGGATAGATCGGAACACACTGGAAAGGTAGTGTGTATGTAAGTGCACAAGATAAAGGGAATGCCCTCCCTATGGTTTTCTAAGGGGAAATCTAGTCCTTCCACCTGTAATCCATGCTATTTCTAGTGGAAGGATAGTCTAATGTTACAGTGGAGTGTGTGTCCCGCAAGCTGGGGCTTCCTAGAAAGGGACCTGATGAGTAGTCTTTGATCTTCAGGTGAGGAAGGCAGACATGAGCCACTGAATGAAAGACAGCCAGAGCTATGGCCTGGGAGGTCAGCAAATATGTCCTTCCCAAGCTTTAACTGAACTTTAGATACTTATCTCTCAGAGTATGGCCTTGGAACTATAATATAAAGAATGATACAGGCTATAGTACAAATTGTATCTTGATTGAGAAAAGGAGGATATGTCTAGACTCATAATAGTTTAGGCTGATTTCAGTTTGGTGTAAAAGAAAGAAATGGTACATGTAGATCAGAATCAAATACCCAGGGGCTTGGATAGGAGCCTAAACAGTTCATATGTCATTATTTCTTGTGGTAGAAGCTTTGTATGATTTATCTAGAGGGAAGTATGGTAGCCCAATAGTTTTGTAACTATCAATTTGTAATATGGATTAAATGTTAGAAGGAAATAATCCATTAAGAAGCTAGTAGAGGGATGGGATGTAGCTCAGTGGCAAAATGCTTGACTAGCAAGTGCAAATGTCCTGAATTCAATCCCTAGTACCAAAAAAAGAAAAGACAAAAAATACTGTTAAAAACCCAGACAAAGAAGCTTTGGATTAGTTAAGATCAGAAAAGTAATTTGGATCAGAACCAGAGTGGTACATGGAAGTAGAAAACAGATGAACAAACCCAACATTGAAAATCATCCCTCTTTCTGTGTGTGTGCCAGAACTAGGGATTGACTCAGGGCTTCCTACTCGCAGTTTGGCCTTTTCATTTATGGCTAATGTTTTACGATTGAGCTATACCTCCATTTCCTGCTTTTTGCTGGTTAATTAGAGATCAGACTTTTGCAGATTTGTTTGCCCAGGCTGGCTTTGAACCATGATCCTCAGATCTCAGCCTCCTCAGTGTAGGTAGACTTATAGGAGTTAGCCACCAAAAAAAGGAATCATTTTCTATTATGTATAATTAAGGCCAAAGAAGGAATCATAAATCAAACTTTCATCCAATATTTCTATTCTTGGATTGCTTAACTTATTTGAAAGGATTTAGATTGAAGCTGTTGTGTGACTGGCTTCTTTTGCTCTTGAATGCGTGCCCTGGTCACATGAGAAGCCAGGGGATGAGGTAGTGAGGGTCAGGACAAGTTCTGTATTAGAGGAACTACCTCAAGTATATACTGTAATGGCAAAACAGTACCATTGTTATTAGGTTGGCCACCGGAAATGGCTGCTCAGTGGGAGCCAGCTTTCCAGGGTGATGGGGGAGGTGAGGAAATGTGCTTTGAAGGGCCTCACTGATCCATGCCTCTTTTGTTTCAGGGGTCCTTGATGGATACCTGTTCGCCAAGACTCTCTGCATGGATGCAGTACAGCAGTGGGGCAAGCAGTACGACGTGCACAACCTGTATGGCTACTCCATGGCGATCGCCACTGAAGGGTGAGATCAATGTTCCTATATGTTGATCTGGATCAAATGATGGCTCACTAGAAACTGGGAGACTACTTCCCATGACAATTGTACCCGTCATAATTGAGTAAAGAAACTTCCTGGCATAGAAGGAAGAAGAAATCCAACAAAGATTTGTGGTGTCTGTAAAATGAAAGAACAAAATGAGTAAATGAAAGAATGACAAGTTAGATGGAAGAAAGTGAATTTCTTCCTTTGCCCAAGGTTAAACAGCGAATACATTGGAAAAGTAAAATCTGGGCTCTTTTCTCTGTGAGTCCAAAGCCATGTCTTTTCCTTTCTGCTTGTTGTGACAGCAGGAGACCAGACCTAAAATTCCTTCATTCATAATCAAGTTAGTGGGTATAATTGTAGACATTTTCAAAGGGGTTTTATTTATTCTGGTGCTGAGGATTAAACCCAGTACTTTCGCATTCTAGGAAAGTGCTCTATTGCAGACCTACATACCCAGCCCACAGAACTTTTTAATTATATGTACATGCATACTTAAAATTATGGTTAGTATGTACTTATATTTAGTTATAAATGTACATACATACAATTTAAAAGTCTTTTTTTAACTACAAAGTGATTTCCAAATTATATATATTTAAAAGTTGAACTTTCAGAAGGCTGGTAAGTAAGTCCATATTTATATTTGTATTTCTGGTATTATGAGAAGTCGATGCATATATATCTGCATAAAGTTAAATTTCATCTTTTTCTAGAAACCTTTTCAAAGTTACTTTTGAAAGTCTTTGAAATTATGGGGTTAATGATGTGCATGAAATACTTTAAAACCAAACCAAACCCAAAAAATACCGTTCATGATAGCCGTCTCCCAACAGCCATTTTGACCCTGTTGAAATGACAAAGATGAGATGAATGGGACATTTGAGAATTTCTTGGTATTGTGACTGTAGCCCAGGCCTAGACTGTCTGCAGTTACAGTTTCGCCCCCTCAACCTCTTTCCCTTCCAGAGCTGTTAAGACTGTGTTCCCTGGGAAGAGAAGCTTCATCTTAACACGTTCTACCTTTGCGGGGTCCGGCAAGTTCGCAGCCCATTGGCTAGGGGACAACTCGGCCACCTGGAGTGACCTTCAGTGGTCCATCCCTGGCATGCTTGAGTTCAACCTTTTTGGTATCCCAATGGTGAGTCCTTGTACTAAGTTTTCTTATTAATGTTCATTCCCAGAAAGACACATTCTGGTAAGATTTCAAACCATAAAGCCTCAACAACCATGCACTGACATGGCTCTGGTCCCATGCCGCCCTTCCCTATACTACCTTACAAAGACAGAATGTGAAACCTTGATATCCTCTGGAATATTCCTTTCTATTAATGTATAACTTACATACAGAAACCTGCCTAGATCCCTCAGTCTAAGGCCGATGGATATACAGAATATAAACCATGTACCTAGTATCTGTGTGGAGAAATATAACATTGATGAACCTTTGTAATTCAACAGAAACATTTATTGAACACTGTGTTCAAGGTGCTGTGTTAACTATGCAGGATTAGTGTGTAGTGAAGCATAAATGAACAGCGACCAAAATACCTTCATGGCCCCCACAGACCTTAAAGTTTAGAAAGAGGAGGCATATGTGAAAACAAATAATTATGACAAGATTGGGTAAAAGAGCCAATTGAGACCTATGTATTAGTGTTAAGGGAAATTCTGAGAAAGAGACTTAGTAAGTCTGGAAAGAGTATAAGGAACAGAAAGAGTCTGGAAAGTCAAAATTCTTAGTAAAGATAATGCTTGAGTTTAGCCTTGAAAAAAGGCTAATGAGGGCAGAAACTCATTTTTAAGATTAAGAAAAAAATCATGAGCAAAAAGGGAGGAAGGGAGAAACAGATGTATCTATTAGGATTGTTGTGTGGGACCAGAATGAGTGACAGTGCTAAGAAGATAGGTTGCAACTGGGGATTGAAGAGTTCATAGGATAAACGATAGTATAGAAATCCTGGAGGTTTTTTTTTGACTAGGTTAGTGACATACTCAAAGATAGGCTTTGAAAAAGTATGAAGTAAAACAATATCTTTAGCAATATTACCAGTGACTATTCATTTAAAAGCTGTCATATCCATTTTATAAATAGAGATACTGAGGTAAGGAAAGGGGTAGTAACTCAGTGTCATTCAGCAATAAAGACTGAACACAGAGCTGGGCACTAATGACTCATGCCTACCATTCTAGCTACTTGGGAGATGGAGATTATAGTTTGAGGCCAGCCCAGGCAGGCATGTGAGAAGCCCTCTCAACAAATAGCTGTGCACAATGGCTTAGGCATGTTATTTCAGCTCTGTTGGGAGGCTGGAATCAAGAGGATAGTGGTTTCAAGCCTTCCTATGCAGAAAAGTCCATGAGATTCCATCTCAATGGAAGAAGTCAGATGCTATGAAACTTTCCTGTCATTCTAGCTACAATGGGAAACAAAATAAGTGGATCATAATCCATGCAAATGCCTAGGCAAAATGTGAGACTCTGTCTCAAAATTACCAGTGCAGAAAAGGGTATGACTCGGTGGTAGAGGGCCTGCCTAGCAAGCAGAAAGCTGGATTCAAACCCCAGTTCTACCAAAAGTTAAAAAAAAAGAGTGACACAGAATATCTGCCAATTTTGACCACACTCTTTGAGCCCCTTCAGCACGAGGTTTCAGTGCAGTTCATTTGGGAGGTTCCTGGTAGAAAACAAAGGAGAGGGTGATGGAGGAGGAGAGGCACACTGCATGGCTGTGTCCTTTCAGGTGGGCGCAGATATATGTGGCTTTGCACTTGACACTTCTGAGGAGCTCTGCACGCGGTGGATGCAGCTGGGAGCCTTTTATCCATTTTCCAGGAATCACAATGGCCAAGGATTCAAGGTGAGACCCCAGGAAAGGACACTCAATCCCAATTTGGCCTATGTAGGACTAGATGTCTGCATCTTCCATAAGAAATCCACTAACCTGGTATCTGCCTTGGTGCTCTGATTTGTACCCTCATTTGCACTTACCAGCATCTGTGCTACAGCATAAACTTTCCCCTGTCAGTCTCTCATGTATTGCTGCCATTAGAAAATAGAGTCTGTGAAGGTTTCCTGTTCAATCTGTTCAGCCTTTCTCTGTATTGCTCCTTTTGCAATGAAAAGCATGTGGGCAAATATGAAAATATTTCAAGGACAGTCTCCCAGCAGTGCAGTTCTAAGGAGTGAAGTAGCTGTAATGTTGTAATGCCCAGCTGTAATGCTTAGAGGCAAAGTTTGCAACCTAGACTCCAGCTCATTCAGGAAGCAAATCCTTCACTGTAGGGAATGAGGTCACGAGTTCTCTGCGAATCCTTGCTTTCCCTCAGCCAACCCATGATTGTGAACTTTTATTCCCTCCCAGGACCAGGATCCTGCTTCCTTTGGAGCTGACTCCTTGCTGCTGAATTCCTCCAGGCACTACCTTAACATCCGTTATACACTGCTGCCTTACCTCTACACCCTCCTCTACCACGCGCACAGCCGGGGAGGCACCGTGGCAAGGCCCCTTGTGCACGAGTAAGTCCTTCCAACCCTGAGCATTCGGTGAATGAAACTGGGTGACACTGAGTAAGTCATAGGATAGCAGAGTAAATGCTGGAATAATTCAAGCACTTATTCAGGTGTGTGTGTGTGTATGTGTGTGTGTGTGCGTGTGTGCGTGTGTGTGTGTAACTGGAATATAAATACCCAGTTGGTACTTGTAAGGCTCTTGCTACCTAGATACTATTATAGGAATCAACTTTATTATTATAGCTTGTTTACTTTGGAGAAATAAATAACCTAGAAGTCACGAGACTTGGTGGCTTTCCTTTGTTCTTTCATTAATTGAACTGTTTATAACTCAGACAGCCAGATTAGTTGTTCAGATCTAATAGTTCATCCAGTTAATATCAATGTCTTTTTCTTCAGTGCTGGGGATTGAATTCATGATTATGCTCATGGTAGACAAGGGAGCTAAATCACAGCTCCCTTTATTTTTAAAAGACTTGATAGCTTGATGGATGGTCTCTTCTGTAATGAACAATGATGCTAACATTCTTGCAAGCAAGGAAGAATATCATACAACATCAGAAGTTTGTAATTCTTATTTGCCAGCCATGGAGCTACAAGAGGGACTGTGAGCTTTCCCTTGTTAAATAGAATTCACTCCCAAGTCTGTGATAGATGAGGCCCTCAGGCAAACATACATATTTGTATAAATTCATGTTGAAGTTAAGTCTCTGTCGTTGCCTAGAACTCAGATAAAAAGTAGGTGTCCTAGAAGATAAAAAAGTGAAGTTTTACATTATCTGATATGTTTGGCGATCAGACCCAATTCCTTCCTGAGTTGAAATGCTAAAATATATTAAACCCTAGTGCTTGGGCTTAAACTGGTACTGTGGTTTAGAGCCTTGTGTTGCTAAGCAAGAATTCTATTGGTTGAGCAATAGACCTTTGTTCCTGTTGTTTCTGAGATTGAGTCTTTCTTTTCGACCAAGCAGACCTGAACCTTGATCCTCCTGTTGATGTTTTTTCCCCCCATTTTCCCCTGGGATGACAGGCCTGTACCACTAATGCCAGTTTTCTCTTGAGATGGTCTTGTGGACATTTATATCCAACTGGTCCCAAGCTGAAGTCTTCTCAATCTTAGCCTCCCAAGTAGTGAGGATCTCAGTTGTAAGCTACCATGCCCCATTTATTTTTATTTATTTTGAGGAAGATATGATAAATAGAACTATAGTATGTAGCCTGCCTAACCTAAGTTCTGGGCTAGGATGTTCAGTCGTTTTTGAGGCTGTGTCTGGAGGGCAGTTGGACGTGTTTGGGAATGGAGGGAGGAGGGCAAGTCCAGGTACCACGGTTGATGGGTGATGTTTTCCTGGTCTTCCTGCATGCGTGCTTGGTTGCTCTCAGAACCCCCTGCCCACGTCTCAGTGACCTGTGTCTTTGCTTTCCAGGTTCTATGAGGACAGCAACACATGGGATGTGCATCGACAGTTCCTCTGGGGGCCGGCCTTCCTCATCACGCCTGTTCTAGAGGAGGCAAGTGTTCTCACAGAGGCCTCTGCTTCTCTCCCTGAACTGCTTCCCCAACTCTTATGTCTTCTTTTTTAAAATCAAACCACGTTCCAATATGTGTGGAAAGTACGAGGCAGCTGTGACCAGAGTGTCCTGGGATTTGGGCAGTGGAATATTGGAAACATGGTGTCCACTCTAGAAAGATGTTTTTTCCTAGGCAAAATTCCCAGCCAGTGATAAAGCACCTACTGGCAACTCTTGGTTTAGTAATGAGCATCTCTATGGGTTGTCAGGTTATCTTAGCTAACTACTATTCCTACCATGATACCTTGGATTGCCAAGTAATGGCTTCTCCTATCTGCATTAGAGACAGAAGTGGTTCAGTAACAGAAAAGAAAGGTCTGTGTCTGCCCTCTCTGAACAGTATTAGGGAATGGTGGGCAATCTATTTTTTTGTGGGGGGGAAGGGTCCAGTCATGGAGTCTGAACTCTGGGCCTGGGCGCTGTCCCTCAGCTCTTCAGTTCAAGGTTAGCGCTCTACCACTTGAGCCACAGCGCCACTTCCGGCTTTTTTCTTTTTGCTTATGTGGTGCTGAGGAATCGAACCCAGGGCTTCATGCAGGCAAGGCAAGTGCTCTACCACTGAGCCACTTTCCCAGCCCTGGTGGGCAATCTATTTTATCCACCCAGATAGTGAGTCAAAATGGATGACATTTTGTTTTGATTTTAGGGTGCAGATAGAGTGAAGGCATACGTGCCTGATGCTGTCTGGTATGACTATGAGACGGTGAGTACCTGGGACTTCTCTTACACATCTCAAGGCCACACCTGCAGTTGCTAGACAAGATGCCTCACACAGAGAAAAATACCCATTTCCACACAAAGTAGCATTTCCATCACATTTTCTACAACTCTGTAGCAGGGCATAGAGTGAGCCTGAGTCATTGAACCCCAGTTGTAATGAAATCTGGGAACAGTACTTTCACAACTTTATTCAGCAACAAGATGAAGACTCTAGTGGCATCTTTATGAGCAAACTTTGGAGGGAGTTGATTGGAGCTTGTTCAGGAACCAAATTAGTTGTTCAGATCTGATAGTGCGTGCAGTCAATATCAAACAGGTTCAGCATGGCATAACTGTTTTTCCAGACTTCAGCTGTCTGCAATCACACATTCTAAATGTTTACCTTCCCTTGTTTCATTGCCTGAGCAGACAGAAAGACAGCTGAGAGGAAAAGGGAGAGCCCTGGAGAGCACCTGCACATGGTAGTTAGTAGGGCCCATGGATGATCAGGATAACGTGTTTGGTTTGTCTGCCTACACCAGGGGGCCAAGTTGAGATGGAGGAAGCAAGAGGTAGAGATGGAACTTCCTAGGGACAAAATCGGACTTCACCTTCGAGGAGGCTACATCTTCCCCACACAGCAGCCAAGTACAACCACTATGGCCAGGTAGTGTGGTGTCCTGCAAGGGGAGGCTGACAGAGCAAGGCATTTCTATACTCATCTGATGACCATCGGTGCTCAATTACAATGAAGCATGTGGAGAGGCAGGGGTGTAGTGTGTGTGTGTGTGTGTGTGTGTGTGTGTGTGTGTGTGTGTGTGTGTGTATGTGTGTGTGTGTGTGTGTGTGTGTGTGTGTGTGCCCTTGGGTTTCCCTTGACCACTTCATAAGAATTATTTTTCTAGGGGCTGGGAAGTTGGCTCAGTGGTAACATGCTTGCTTCGCATGCATGAGGCCCTGGGTTCGATTCCTCAACACCACATAAGCAAAAAGAAAAAAGCCGGAAGTGGCACTGTGGCTCAAATGGTAGAGCGCTAGCCTTGAGCTGAAGAGCTGAGGGACAGCGCCCAGGCCCAGAGTTCAGACTCCATGACTGGACCCTTCCCCCCTGCCCCCAAAAAAGAATTGTTTTTCTATATCTGTAGATCTACTTAACATCTCAAAGGAAAAGGCAGATGTAGACAGCCCCTTTTACTCCCCTTATTTTTAAAACACATCTGAAAGAAGGAGATGGAAGGAATGAAACATGTGGAGAGGAAGGGGAGTGTGTGTGTGTGTGTGTGTGTGTGTGTGTGTGTGTGTGTGCGTGTGTGCGCGCGCCCTTGGGTTTCCCTTGACTACTTCATAAGAATTATTTTTCTAGATCTGTAGTTCTGCTTAACATTTCAAAGGAAAAGGCAGATGCAGACAGCCTCTTTTTATCCCCTTATTTTTAAAACACATCTGAAAGAAGGAGATGGAAGGGAGATACTTTTTTTGTAGTTGACTTCCGGGTTTTCATTTCTGAGTCTGGCTCTTATACTATTGATTTATTGACTTCCTGTCTATCCTGTCTCCAATTGACTAATTCTTATATGTAAATATATACCCAGAATTGGTGGCTAGATCACATGGAAATTGCAATTGTTAGATTTTAAGGATTTTATTCTAAATGATGACTAAATAAGTCCTGGTACATTATTATTATTATTATTATTAATAATTCTTTTATTGTTTTGGCAAAACTAGTGTTTGAATCTGCTAGAGTCATTTGCTACCTCTGCCCTAGCACATTTATAATGATTCAATTTAAACACAAATTCATCTACGAGACTCTCCAACTCCTCTGTTAGAGAGTGCTGCTGCTTCCCCATTTCTGGCCATTTAAAGAAAAATGCATATATTTAAATTCTTCTTAGTGGATTTTCTCTTTATTTCATTAATTTTTGTTACAGTCACAGTATTTGATTGAAGCATCTTGTGTTTGAAAATGCTATGATTTATAGTCCTTGGGGAACAAAAATCTATAAATAGCTGATTTTCTTTCATGATAATTTATTTTTAGGAATATTTACAGATTTTATTTTGTAAAACATAGTGATGATAAGAATTTAATGTGGGTCTTCTTGACTTTCAGAGGTGATTTGCTTTTACTTTTGTGGCAAGCCAGGGACTTGTGGCAATTTAGTATATGCAATCTCCTACCAGGATGCTGATTTTACATGGGAATTGAAGGTCATCTTCTCTAGCTTGCATGACAGACTCAGCACCTTACTTACAATCTTCTTAGCCATTTGTCTCTGGGATAACTCTCAAGTTTTCTTACTGGGCATTCTTTTAATTTTAGCTCACTGTTTAGTTTTTCTGTTGTCATTTTGTACTCCTGAATATATCCTTTATTTTCTTCCAATCCCACCAGTATTTTCTAAATTAGAATATTCATGTAGGATTAAGTAGTATTTTAATGGGTGTGACCTTCAGATGATCACACTCCTCCCACTTCTGGATGTATTATCTAATCTCTCATAGGATCTTCACTTCTGTGCCACTTTTCACTTGTGACTTTGATTATTTGTATCATGTGTCTAATTTCCTATATCATTTAAGTTTAGAGGTGTCAGGAGTTTTAATTTTCAGCATTTCTGTTCATCTTCGTATTTTGTTCATCTCTGGACTTCTTAGCATGGACAGCTCCATCCATGCACACGATGAGAGCCTGCAGTGGTCATAGTGGGGTCTGACCTGCATGTGGAAGGCTGAAATGAAGAAAGGACACTGGGGAACCTGAGAACAGCGGGGCACAGGAGGGTGGGGCAAGGGACATGGTGTGGAGGAGAGGGGAAACTAGAAGGTTCTAAGCGAACTTACTTGCTTTCTCTCCTTTATCCCACAGCTATCATCCACCATCTCTTTAAATTACAGTGCCGATTATGAGAATATTTAATTTTGTTGTCAAAACAAACTAATAACTAGCCAACTAAGACAAGTTTCTATAATAGAAGTGAGCTTTACTGTATGTGATGCAGTTTGAATCCAAATGTCCTTGGGGAAATGGTGTGTCTCCCTTACATCAGCTGACTCTTCTCCTCAGATGTTATCTCTGAAGAGAGCTGGCTATGCACCATTGTCTGGGATTTCCTTCTCTTCCAATAGTTCGTGATCTAAATTATAGTTGCAACCACAGCTGTGACTGCAGCCACTGCAGGGATTGTGATGCTCACACCCTGGCTTCCTCTGCACATGTTCAGTGGGAACTCATGGGATAGTCTGTGCTCTGTGTTCTGGTAGAGGAGTAGAATGTTCCTGACATTTTATCCTTGAAGAAAAGCAGTCCTGTCTGTGGGTGGGATAATTTCCCAATGAAACTTTAGGAAAACATTTGGTAAAATTCTTTGTGCTGCCATCTTTGTGTCTCTCACGTGAATCTTGTCTCCTACAGCCGCCAGAACCCTCTTGGTCTTATCATTGCCCTGGATGAGAACAATGAAGCCAGAGGTGAACTTTTCTGGGATGATGGGCAGTCAAAGGGTGAGTGTTGTTATGGGCATATTTCCTTTTCCTAACTTGTATGTTTGCCTTTGGCCCTTCCCTCTGCTGCCCCTTACCTGTGACAGGATTCTTACCAGGGATAGTAGTTCTTGAGAGAACTGTTTGGTTTCTAGTTGTAGTGTGCAGAGGCAGGGATAGGTGAACCAAAGACATTAGGAAAGCAGATTCTTCTCTCTCAGAATTCTCCATCGGTAGACATCTATAATAGGTACTCATTTTATTGTTAGTAGGAACCTACTAACAATAAACGATCATTCTTACAATTCATTTACATTGTAAATATTTTCCCCCCAAAACAAAGAACAAATGTCGAAGATGTGAAAAAGCCATACAAATTTCAATAAGGCACCAAGGACATACTTTCCTTTTGTGTGTGCATCTACCTGTGCCTCAGAACATGGCTCTGACTCAGGTGTTGTGGTGATTCTTGTAGCTCTACCTTAGGATATAAGACTTATGTCTGAAAGCACCTGGAAAAGAGATGTTTCAAGCTCATGGTGGAGGGACAGTCCAAAACAGTAATTTGGCCTTTAAGACATTCTTTGTAATAATGTCACCTTCAAGCATAATTTTTCAAAGGTTTTTTATTAAAAAATATTTAATTGACAAAGACTGATGATTGTCAAGATGAATAACATACATTCATATTGTGTAATGATAGCCCCCAATCACCACATTTATCCTTTCCCTTACTGTACCTTAGCTTCTGTAATGTTAGTTCTTATAACTGGAAGTTTATGTACTTTAAACAATATATTCCCATGTCCTCTGCCCTTTGCCTATGACTACAATTGCTTAAAGAAGTCTACTAATTTTAGATTCACATATAAATAAGACCTCAGAGTTCCTTTGTTGTCTGCCTTATTGCTCTTAGTTTAATGGGCTCCAGATTCATCCATGTATGTCAAGTTGCAGCATAATTCTGTTTTTTTTTTTTAATGGCTGATTAGTCATAAAATAGAACTATTGAGTATATATGCCACAATTTCTTTTCCCATTCATCTGACATATAAGTCATTTTAACATCTGTGAAAAGTGGGTTAGAGATTTAAGGTTAAAAGAATAAAGTTCTTAGAATAAAACATAAGGAGAAAGTTCTTTGACATTATTTTTGGTAGGAGTTTTTTGGATGTGATGTTAAAGTAGAAGTATGAAAAAGAAAAAGAAATCAACAAGTATCACTACAAGAAACTTTTGCTCAGCAAAAAGAAGCAATCTATCTGAAGTAAAATGAAAACCAAGAAAATAACAGAAAATCTGATATGTGATTATACAATCACATATCAGAAAAGAGAGTTATTAATATAAAAAATAGAAGGAAAAAATGGTGCAATGAACATGGTTGTGCTGGTAGCTTTAGTGTGGCCTTGTTTGTGTTCAATTGGATAAATGTCCAGGAGTGGAAGTTCTGGGTTGTGGGAAGTTCTATGTTTAGTCTTTTAAAGAACCTCCATACTGTTTTCCAGAGTGGTTGAAAAAGCTTACATTCCAGTTACTGCCAGCATTTGTTATTGTTGGTTTTCTTGATTATAGCCATTCTACTGGGGTGAGTTGAAATCTCAGTGTTGTTAACATGGCCACACTAAAGCTTTCAGCACAACCTGTTCATTGTTCTGTTGTTTACCATAGCCAAGATATTGAATCAACTCAGATGCTCCTCAGTGGATGAATAGATCAAGGGAATGTGGTATATACATACAATGGAATTCTACTCATTCATCAGAAAGAATGACATTTTACCATTCATAAGGAAATAAACAGACTTGGAAAAAATTATATTAAGTAAAGAAAGCCAGACCAAGAGAAAAAATAGGTTGCATGGTTTCCCTCATTTGTGATAGCTAGAATGTGCCTTAAACCTATATCTAAACATACTGGATGGTAAAAAATACACTGGTACATGCTAAATTATACAGTCTCTAGGCATTCACACAAAGTGAGACCAAAGGAGGACATTCTTTTTTTTGTATGATTTTATTGTAAAAATGCTGTACAGAGGGGTTACAGTTACATGAGCAAGGTAATGAATACATTTCCTATTGAGCATTGTTGCCTCCTCCTTTTTTTTCTCCCTACCATCCCTTCCCTCCCACCTCCACAACTACCTCAGCACTGAAGTTGTAAAGTTCGTTTTCAATGTCATCTTTTGTACATCTCATTGTTATAATGGGTCAACCTGTATCCTTATTCAAGCATTTTGTTTTTCCCCTTCCCCAATTAGAAAAATGCATATACAAGATGCAAGGAACCAACATCAAATACAGTGAAAACAGGGGTTATACCATGGGGGAAGAACATACCAAAGAAACAAAAAAAACACATGGTACATTATAAATATGTTAGAAACAATAACAAGAAAGAAAAAATATATTTGTGTCCCTATCTTAGGTTTCATTTCACTTAACATCATCTTATATGGTCATATGTACATAGCTTTTGGCCTTTTCTGCTTGTCCTACACATGTACTAGTTATTGCAAATAAGGGAAACCATGGGGCCTATGCTTCTTTGGGCCTGGCTTACTGCACTTAATATAATTTTTTTTCCAAGTCTTTCCATTTCCTAACAAATGGGGCAATGTCATTCTTTCTCATGGAGGCATAGAATTCCATTTTCTTGATCCATTCATCTACTGAAGGGCATCTGGGTTGGTTCCACATCTTAGCTATGGTAAATAATGCTGCAATAAACATAGTTGTACTGGTAATCTTAGTATGGCCTTGTTTGTGATTGTTTGAGTAAATGCCCAAAAGTGGGATTGCTGGGTCATAGGGGAGCTCTATGTGGAGTCGTTTGAGGAACGTCCATTAGGAGAGGATCACAAAGGCACAATAGCTATGTGCATCTGATCATATAAAATAATATTTATTGAAATGAACTCCAGAAAATGAAAGTGAGTTTTTTCCTTGTTGCTGCTTTTGTTTTCTTTTCTTTTTGTCTTATTTGTTCAATCAGTCTTTGGGAGGGTAAGAGGGGGAATAGAAATGGAGGGACAAAGGGAGAACAAATGTAGCAGCTGATACTCATGAGACGCTAGGACACTATATTGAACATGAGAACTATACAACTTGTCTGTGGGGATGGGAGAGAAAAACTGGGAGAGAGACAGGTTGACATTGGGTTGACATTGTTCAAGAAGAAATGTACTCTTTATCTAACTTACATAATTGGAACCCCTTTGTACATCACCTTTACAATAACAATAAAAATAGCAGTAAATATAAAAATAGAAGGAATTTTTACAAGTCAATAGATAGAGGTTTGGAAAATGGACAATGTATTTGAACAGATGTCTTTTCAAGGAAGACATACAGTTGCCCAAAAGGTATAGGGAAGATGCTGATTAAGACCAATCAGAAGAGAAATGCAAATATAAACTCACAATGACCTATCCCAGCACTGTTAGGATAGCCAATATGAAAAAGATAAAAGATAAGAATTGTGAGAGAGGATGTGGAGAAAATAGAATGAACCCTGACATACTATTGATGAGAAGGTAAAATGACATTTCCACTGTGGAAAACTATACAAAAAGTTTTCAAAACAAAAAACAAAAATATGATATGATCCAGCAATCTGAGGGCTTGTATCTAAAAGAATGCAAAGTGCATGGCATGGAGATATCTATAGTTTTGTGTTCTTTGTAGCATTATTTATTATAAAAAAAGTATGGATATAACCATTACTATACTTATAGATGAATGAGTAAAGAAGTTGAGGTATATAGATGAAATGGAATATATTTCATCACAAAAAAAGAAGGAAATTTTACTACTGTAGACTTCAAGAGTCAACTTTTAGGAAAAGCTGTGTTGGCAGACCAGTCTGATTTGTCTTTCTATTACTTTCAGATACTGTTGCCAATGATGTGTATGTTTTATGTGAGTTTTGGGCCAATCGGGTGAGTTGTACATTTTCATGAATCTTAGGTGTTAGAATTTAGCACATATTTATAAATACGTTTCTAATTTCATTTGTCTAAATGACTATAGGTAGGCATTTTTCCACTTATGATTTAATTTTCAATAATTGCATTGTCTGTGTTATCTAAAAGAGACAATAGGTAATAGATCAAAATAATAGTGTGTTCAGTATGGTTTCCTAAAATGTCTGTGCATATATTTATTTATTATCTAAAGAGCATTATTAAAATAAGTTTGCTGAACACACATAGGTAGAGAGCTCATGGGCATCAGAGTCTGAGGAGCATGTGGTCTCTGTTGGAGCTTTGGAGAGACAAGAGAATCTGAATACTGGAGATCCAACTTCGTGCCTAATTATGCTTCACTGTTTTGCAGACCCACCTGGATGTGACTATTTCCAAAGCAACCTACAAAGATCCCAATAACTTAGCATTTCAAGAGATTAAAATTCTTGGGACTCAGGTACTGAGCAGCGTCACAGTGAAACAGCATGGTGTCTTAACTCCAATGTCTCCCAACGTCACTTATGATGCTAACCTGAGGGTAAGAGCATTAAGCTGAAGTGGTCTTTCAAGAAATTTTTTAGCATCAGGTTCTGCCAAATTCTAGGTTTTCAGGGAGAACCAGAGTCCTGTATGAGGCAAGTGATAAGGCCTGTGTGCTGGGCAGGAAGGTGAAACTGAGGAGCTGGTCTGGGCCTGAAGACCTGGGGTGCGGCTGGGAGAACAGAGGGAAAGTCAAGAGAACTTCATGCTCACTTCCTTCTCTGCCCCTCTGTGTTCTCCTGTTCTCTCTGTTTTCCTCATTTCCGATGAAGTAGTTCTATGGGTGGAAGAACAGAGCCAGGATTCCTCAGGGGATCCTGGGAAGGTCTGATTACCCAGGCTGTGTTGGGTGTGGAGAGGTGGGTGGAGACCGGCAGGAAGTGCAGGATGATTTTCACTGGGAGAAGATGACAGTCCTGTCAATATGACAGTATGGCTCCAGGATACTTAGTTTGCTAACCATAGACAGTGTTATTTTAAAGAATAGTCAACTATATAACAATAGGCATTGAATAATTCATTGATGGTTGAGATTCAACTGAAAAATGGATTCCCGTTTTAGGCAGAGGGTTTTGGCATAGCAAAGAGGGTGTAATGTTAGAAATGAAAGGCAGACTGAGAATTCCAGCTCACCATTTTCCCAGTGTTACATCCAGGAGCCAAAGAATCAAAACTTTGTGCAAGATTACAGATGAAAATTTGGGAAGAGAAAGGAATGAGAACCAAGGCCATATGTGCTTATTATTCAGTTCTTTTTAGTAGCTAAACACTTTAGTTACACAGATTTGGAAGTGGAGAAGAAAAACAGATTGATTTTGAAAGAGTAACAGAGACTTTCTGAAAATAGCAACAAAAGAAAGCAAAACAACAACAACAACAAAAAACAAAACAGAATGGGGAGAGTGTTTAGAGAAACAACCAGAAGGGATATTATTTGACCTAATTCTTTCCACAATGTAATTTACAAGGTTCTGATACTTGAGTATTGATATTTGAGTACTGATAGTTGAGTACTGATACTACATCTTGTCAGTGAACCATCACCAACCTGGGTAATACATCTCCTTCTGTAATGTCTGGGAATATGTCTCTTGCATCAGTGGGAATCTGGTCTCATTTTAAAGATTCAGGACTCAAGCTTAGATCTGTCTGACAGACACTACTCAGTTTACGGAAGGCCTCTGTCCAGTGGACTTATTTCCATGTGCATTCCCATAGGTTGCTGTGATCACAGGAATCCATCTAGTCCTGGGAGAAGCATACACGGTGCAGTGGGACATGGGCATAAGGGACCAGGAGAAAATAGACTGTTATCCCGATCAACATGGAGCTACTGAGGCCAACTGCATGGCCCGAGGCTGCGTCTGGGAGGTAACTGCACTGAAAACTGCACTGTAACTTCCCCAAAAGCTCTGAACCTCATCTGTAATGCATGAGCTCTGCACCTCACCTGTAATGCATGAGCAAACACCAGTACCTCAGTATCCACTTAGAATCCATGTGAGGAAAGGGCTCCCCAAGACACCTCATCCAGATGTGAAGACAGGAAGAGAAAAGAGTGTGACATTTTAATAAGTATTTTCTTGTTATAGAAATTTAAATTCTTAGCACTATCCAATGGTCCAGGAATGATGGGATGGCCTTTCCTAGCCCTTGCTACTTGATACCTCCAGGCCCACATGCTGATGCACACTATTGACTTTCCTTCTCAGGCATCCAGTATCCCTGGGGTCCCACACTGCTACTTTGTGAACGATCTGTATTCAGTCAGCAATGTGCAGTATAACTCCCATGGGGCCACAGCTGACATCTCCTTGAAGTCTTCTCCTTATGTCACTGCCTTCCCCTCCACACCTGTGAGCCCCCTGCGCCTGCTCGTGACCTACCACAAGAATGAAATGCTGCAGTTCAAGGTAAACACAAGGCATGATAGTTCAATTACTCTTTGCTAATCAGGATTACGGAACCAAAATACTTTCACTTTGTAGAGTTCCATTTTTCAATAGACCAGATCATAATCTTAATCTAAAAGTGAGAAATCCTTGATAGGCCAGTGAGAGTTTCTTATTACAAGTCTTGAGGTGATTACTGTGGCTACAATGGGAATGTAAGAAATGTACTCATTATCTTGCCCATGTAAATGTAACCCCTTTGTACAGTATTTTTACAATAAAAAATAATAAGAAATGGAGAGATAAGGTAAGAGACTCTCAGGCTGGATGGTTGAGAGATTGAGGTGGTACTAGGTCCAAGAAAGAAGAGAAACAGATAGTTCAAGAATGGCAGGAGAGATGACAGCAAGACTTGGTAACTGATGCTATGTAACAGACGAGGGAGGACACAGTTTCAAGAATAATTACATATATCTAATGTGTATCTGTGTGGAAATTGCTGAAATTATCTGAAGTAAGGGAAATGGTTTGGGTTAGACAATATTAGAAGATGAATGTAGTTTAAGACACTGAATATATATAATATATAATACATATAGGAAATGACCACCAATGTACAATGGTTTCCTTGTTTCTATAACTTAATTACATCTAAGGATAGGAGTAGACTATCTTACAATAGTTTCACTACTAAGATGGAATATTATGTTTTGTATCTTCTTCTTAGCACTTTTGATCCAACACAGAAGCTAGCAGATACTAAATGTAAATAATAGTTTTAGTACTATAACAGAAATGTTTATTTGTAACAACTCTTTGTATAGCAAAACAACAAATTGTATACATCCTATCCACTCACCTAAATCCATTAATTTTGGTGTAGATTTTTGATCCCAACAACAAGCGATATGAAGTCCCAGTCCCTCTGAACATCCCCAGCACTCCATCCAGCTCTTCTGAGGCCCGACTCTATGAGGTTCTCATTAAGGAGAATCCATTTGGGATTGAAATTCGCCGCAAGAGTACAGGCACTGTCATGTAAGTGGCCCTGGTTGGATTGGGGACTGGAGGTTACATGGACATCTCTGCCAGGGCCTCCATGGTTGGAGATGCTCTGTCTGAGAGGTTCTCACTGTGCATTCTAGACCCAAGACTATCAAGGTTCTGTTAAGGTCTGTTCTTGTAGGCAATTTTGCTCCATGAGACAACTACTGAATCAGTAGTTGTATCTGAAAACTCCTTCAACAATTGTTTATTGGATGTTTTCTGTGTATAGGGTGCGCTTTAAGGTACTGTGGTTATATACAACATGGCATATCCATTGATGAATGAAAAGTTAGTTTACATTGTAACATAATTTGGAAGTTGAAACAGTGAAAACCATGCAGAACAGTTCCAGTTCAGGTTTATCAAAAGTTATTAGATGTTGGGGCTGGGAAGATGGCTCAGTGGTAGAGCGCTTGCCTTGCAATGCATGAGGCCCTGGGTTCGATTTCTCAGCACCACATAAGCAAAAAGAAAAAAGCTGGAAGTGGCACTGTGGCTCAAGTGGTAGAGCATTAGCCTTGAGCTGAAGAGCTGAGGGCAGAGTTCAGGCCCCACGACCGGACCCCTCTCCCCCCAAAAAAGTTATTAGATCTTGTTGCTTTTGTTGTTGTGGTCTAAATCATTCTCTCAACCATAAGACCTGGCTCTTGTTCTGAATGAACATTCTCATTAACACAAAATTTTATAGTATGGAAAGGTTTGGAAAATGAAGATATTTTTAATTTTGACCAAATTCGGAGAATGAAATTCTAATCTATCTTGACTATTGTCATAGTAATGTCACAAGTTACAAAAAATATCACACAATATCCACAAAGAATGCTTCCAGAGATAGATAGTCTTTCTATATGCACAAAGAATGCTTCCCTAGATAGCCTTTCTTCTGTTCTTAGGGCACCTGGGACTTGCCCTTCCTCACTCACACATGCAATTTTCTGGAGGAATCTTTATTGTTAGGGCTCAAGTTACATGAGGATGAGAGAACTGACCTAGGAGCTGGATGGGGAGAAGAAGTCACCACTTGAAGCTCCGGGGGAAAGGAAAGAACCTTTGTGGTAGAACAGCAAGTACCTAGGCCATGACAGGAAGGATCTTCACATACCCAGGGATGCCAGACATTCCCCTGTGGTGTGTGAGGAGAAGGTGGGAGGACAGCTGGGGTGGGAGGTGGATTTGGAAGAGGCAGAGCTGTGAAGGTGTCATGAGGTGTTTCTGTGACACACTAATGAGACAGTAAATAGAGGCACGTGAAGATGTGTGGTGTGTGTGAAACCTTCCTTGTAGATGTGTGCAGGCAGTGCGCCATCAGGAACAAGAGCAGGAGGCAGGGTGTGATGCTGTGTCAGCGGTGGAGAAAAATGAGGCAGTGATGGAGGTAACAAGAATAATGAAAGGTGACCACTGAGCTATTAGCAAGAGTCTCCATGCTTGTTTTGTCTAAATGGACTGTGTGCTTTTTTGGACGTGAGTGTGTTCTGTGAGGTGGGGGAGAGCACAGGTTCAGCTGTGCTGGAAGAGCAGCTGCCGGAAGGAAGTCCAGGGGAGCTCACTTCCTTGTCCACCTTGACCTTTGCCTTGCAGCTGGGACTCTCAGGTCCTGGGCTTCACCTTCAATGACATGTTCATCCGCATCTCCACCCGCCTCCCGTCCCAGTACATCTATGGCTTTGGGGAAACGGAGCACACGGCCTATAGGAGAGACTTGAACTGGCACACGTGGGGCATGTTCTCCAGAGATGAGCCCCCGGGGGTAAGGACAGAGCATTGGCAGAGTCTACACTCCCTTTTCTGCACCCACTCTGCATGTCTGTGAAGCCCTATGGGTGCCTCTGTGCTTCCTCTTCCCTGACTGCAGTGAATCATCCCCTTCTGCTTCTGTCCTGTGACCATTCCTCCAGCTCCTTTGATCTCATGTGTTGAAGTTAGTTGCAGGAGAATGTAGGCCCGTGAGTTTTAGTTGACTTTCCTTCTCAGATGCAATGCCTTCTCACTCTACCCACTTGTCCCCATGACTCTCAGTACAAGAAGAATTCCTATGGCGTCCACCCGTACTACATGGGTCTGGAGGAGGACGGCAGTGCCCACGGAGTGCTCCTGCTCAACAGCAACGCCATGGGTAGGCGGATGCTTGTGCGCCCTCTGTGTTTATATTAATTATTCTTGAGGTACATTAGATGTCCGTGACCATGCTGCTCATATAGGAATGTTATTGTAGCAGTGTTTTGTGCTCTTTCTTCTGTTTATTTTATTCTATACAAATGTGATTTAAAGATTAGCACAAGTATAATAGTTTTATCTCTTAAGGGATAGGAAAACCAAGCTGGGTTCTATTACTTGTGGGTGATAAAACTTACTTGAGCCATCAATATGTGAAGAAAAGTTGTCTAGAAAATGATTGGACAATACAGAGGCTAAAATAGCAGTTTGTCAGTGGAAGTTTCCCAAGTTTAACAATTTATAATATTTAAATATGGTATTATTCTTTGAGAAAACTGGGTCAAGTCTTCATGGGCACCATCATTCAAGTTTTGTGAGGTTTAAGCTATTGTTTTAGCCTCTTTCTTTCTTTGTTTCTTTCTTCCTCTCTTTCTCCTTCCTTCCTTCCTTCCTTCCTTCCTTCCTTCCTTCCTTCCTTCCTTCCTTCCTTCCTTCCTTCCTTCCTTCCTTCCTTCCTTCCTTCCTTCCCTCCCTCCCTCCCTCCCTCCCTCCCTCCCTTCCTTCCTTCCTTCCTTCCTTCCTTCCTTGCAAGCACTTTGCCACTGAGTTACATGCTAGCCCATTAAGCTATTATTTTAGTAACCAACAATGAGAATTTCATGGAGCAGATTTATAAAACATGGTAAGAAACTAAAGCAAATCAAAGTGTTCATGGATTAGACCCTTTCCCTTAATTTCTTCCAGTCCATGTGAGTTGAGTAGAGAAAATCATGTCTTAATAGCGTACAATGGAGGAGAGAAGGCAGAATTCTCAGGGCTGCTCTCTTCCCATGCTGAAGCTTTGCAGGCAACTCAGTTCACCTTTCCCTCTATTTTCAGATGTGACTTTCCAGCCCATGCCGGCCCTGACATACCGAACCACAGGAGGAGTCCTGGACTTTTATGTGTTCTTGGGGCCAACTCCAGAGCTTGTCACTCAGCAGTACACTGAGGTACGTGTAAATTCCCTTGTCTGTCAAGTGCTTATGCAGCAATACTGGGATTTGATTCCCACATTCATCTCTATACTTCTCATGTGACAATGAGAATTATTGGACATTTTAAAAGACAGGTGTATTATAAAATTAAAGAAAACACATAAATTCCAAAATTCATTAAATTGGTAGCTTAACCATCAATGGTAGGGAAGTAGAATCAGTCAAGGTAGTGATGGTGGAAGTGGTTGTAGAGGTAATGGTGGTGATGTTGCTAGTGCTGGTGCTGATGGTGATCGTGATGGTGGTGATTGTGGTGATGGCGGAAGTGGTCATTATGGTGTTAATGGTTGTCATAGTAGCTGTATGGGTGGTGATGATGATATTGATTACTAATTGTGTTGGTGGATGTCATGGTGGTAGAACTGATTGTGGGTGTGGTGATCATGAGGGTGGCGATCAAAATGGCATTGATATTGGTGATGATGTATTCTATAGCAATAGTTTTGAGAATGTTGATGGTTATGTGTCTGTTTTCTTAATGATGGCTGTGAGAGTTAAGGTGATGGCATAGTTGTTGACTGTTAAGTTGTGGTAGTGACAGAGTTGGTCGTAGTGGAAATAACAGTTGCTGAGTTAGAGGTAAAACAGTACTATGGGTCCTGGTTATGGCAGAAATACATTTGTACTATTACTGCATTTGTTAATCCATGTCAGAGCACTTTGGGAATAGTAATGCATTTAGACCTCATTAAAACACTATGAGACAGACACTAAGATTATCTCCAATTTACAGGGGAAAACGCAAAGAGATTCCTGAAGTTCCCAAGGGCACACAGCTGCTAAGTTGTGGAGTGTGTGTGTGTGTGTATGTGTGTGTGCGTGTATATGTATATGTGTGTGTGTGTGTGTGTGTGATCCTAAATTCTCAGCTTCTCACTGGTAAGAGAGACTACATCTAAGAATGAAGAGAAAAAAGGTATTTCCCCAGAATTCCTAAAGAATGAACTCGAGTCTAATAGGAGGGTTTCCACAAGACGATCTGTTAGTTCTTCATCTGGTATCTCCATTTGTGGCTGGAATTCATTGGATTTCTGGCTTGGAACATTGGGACAAGATTTTTCTTACTTTATAGATAACTTCAGTGTGGCTTCTTGTTTAAATGACTAGCATTTGCCTTTATTTAATGCCTATTTCCTAGGTCATTGGCCGGCCTGTCATGGTGCCTTACTGGTCCCTGGGGTTCCAGCTGTGTCGCTATGGATACGAGAATGATGCTGAGATCTCCAGTTTGTATGATGAGATGGTGGCCGCACAGATCCCCTATGTATGTATAGGCCATGGTGTACACCATACTCTGTATTCTCACAGGGAGCACTGTTGTTTCTGAATCTCAATGTGGTTGTTGGAGTTTTGTGAGGTTCTGTAGGCATACAAAGTGTTTTTTCAAATGATATTATTATCACAGAGATCCAGATGGGGTGATGCCTCCTCCAAACGCTGGGAGATCAAAGATTCACTGTGAGAAGAATGAGCTGGTTATAAGGAATGTGATGCTGTATAGTACATCCCAATGTTCAAGTTACATAACTTGAAGACATTTAGTGAATAAAGCCATGTTCCCATGAAAATAAAACAGTTCTTCCATTAGATTTTTTGGAGTAACACGACCCAAGATTCTCTTAGCCCATTATCGGTATGGGTCGGTCCCCAGGTCAGCTTCTGTAGGTACTGTATGGTCTGATCTGCCCCCACAGGAACTTTAATTGTTTGCTTCATTCCAGTTTTTATTCAACTGTCTTTAATAGTAACCAAACAGTACACAGCCATCCTATACCATCCTATACATATCCTCTGTAACTAGGAAGCTGTGTCTGATTACTACCTGTGTTAGTACTATAAGTGTTTGTGTTTCCTTGCTTTGTAGTAGACTTTGTATCTACTATACCTGGGGAGGGAACAGTTCTTTTCTCTTAACATGAACCATTGAATCCAAGGGTGGCTTTGTGGTGGAGGTATGGAGACTTACTCCTTATTTTAGCAGTTTACAAAGCACTTTCTCACCCAGTGTTTGTATTGATCTTCCTAATACCCCACCCTCTAAGTCTTATCTTCCATTTTTTTTTCCTGACTTAGATATTTTTCTTTATATTTTATGAGTGAAAAGTTGAACAAATATATATATATATATATATATATATATATATATATATATATATATATATTCACCCGTATCTATAACTGAGAAATGACAGAGCTGGGAGCTGAGTCAGAAGGAGGCACGGGGGGTGGAGAGTGGTTCTCCTGGGAACCTGGCCTTGAGGCCCCAGCTATCACTCAGCCCCCTGTGTCCTCCCCAGGACGTGCAGTACTCGGACATTGACTACATGGAGCGGCAGCTGGACTTCACCCTCAGCCCCAAGTTCTCTGGGTTGCCAGCCCTGATCAACCGCATGAAGGCCGCTGGCATGCGGGTCATCCTCATTCTGGTCAGAGCTCGTGGGAATCTGTGGTCTGGGAGGATGAAGGGGAATGGGTGGGGAAGGCCCGCACTGTGTTTCCTTCCATGGTACACAAGGAAAGGTTGAAGTTCGATGGAAAAGGCATTTAGCAGCATCTCAGACACTTAAAGTTCAAGTATAATGTAAGGAAGATGTTTTTGGAAGAGCTGTGTTGTGTCCCTGGCCATTCTCTGCATGTGTCTTTCTGTCTGATTTGTGCTTTGGTTTCAGGACCCAGCCATTTCTGGCAATGAGACAGAGCCCTATCCTGCCTTCACTCGTGGTGTGGAGGATGATGTCTTCATCAAGTTTCCCAATGATGGAGAAATTGTCTGGGGCAAGGTACAGTGGTAAACCACTCATCCTTAACTTGGGGTGGTTGCACAGTTGATACATTTGTTCATGCCGATTTTTGTCTTTTCTCATTTGGAGTCGCAATGTCAATAATTTCCATGTTTCAATCAAATTTTATTCATATATTTAAGGGCTTTGTGGGATTCGCCCTATATAATAAACCATGTATATTTCTCTAAAGAGCACAGTTAATGATTTCATAGGTATATGTGAGAAAATACTACTGTTGATATTGAACATTTTTTCTGCTTAGGTCTGGCCTGATTTTCCTAACATTGTGGTTAACAGCTCTCTGGACTGGGACAGTCAAGTGGAGGTAAGGATTTTATTTTGTTTGTTTTGTGTATATATATATATATATATATATATATATATATACACACACACAAAATATACATATACATATATATATACATATATATGTATGTATATATATATATACATACATATATTTGGTTGTGGGTATTGAACTCAGGGACTAGACACTGTTCCTGAGCTCTTTTTCTCAGGCTAGCACTCCAGCACTTTGAGACATAGCCCTACTTCGTGTGGTTAATTGGAGAGAAAAGCCTCATGGGTACTTTCCTGCCTGGGCTGGCCTCAAACCATGATTCTCAGATCTCAGCCTCCTGAGTAGCTAGGATTACAGGTGTGAGCCATTGTGTGTGTGTGTGTGTGTGTGCGAATTTTGAGTGGTTATGGTTACAAAGAAGGAACAGCCATGGCTAAAATTCCTGACATGGCATGGTGAGGGAAGTCATGAAGGAAAAACATCTTGTAAGTCAGTCTCTGTGCTGATGACTCTACATGCAGTAATGCTTTGCTTGCAACTGAGATATGAGTATTCTTGTCCTTGGGATAAGGCTCAGGAGACTTCAATGACTTGTCCACTGTGTCAGCAGTACAACAGTGATTTCAGATCCAAGGTTGGCAGATTTCAAAGGCCATTGATTTTGCGCTGCATGATACCTTCAAGAAGCCTTTTTTTTTCTCTTATTAAGTACAGCTCTTGTGGTTGCCTTGGAAACAATTTTAAAAGACGTGTCTAACCTGGTTTGGTTATTGTTTTTTTTTTTAAAAATCTATATTTATTAAATTTTGGACAGATATTTTCATCTTCATAATTATAAATTCTGCCCCCTACTTTCAATTAGTCTTATGTCTTATATTAAAAAATTTGTGCCCAGCGCTGGTGGCTCATGCCTGTAATCCTAGCTACTCAGGAAGCTGAGATCTCAGGATTGTGGTTCCAAGCCAGCCCAGACAGAAAAGTCTGTGAGACTTTTATCTTCAATAAAAACCACCGGAAAACTGGAAGTGGCTCTGTAGGTCAACTTGAGCTGAAGAGCTGAGGGACAGCACTGAGGCCCAGAGTTCAAGTCCCATGATCGAAAAAAAAAGAAAAAAGAAAAATGTCTTTCATGGATCCAGGTAGCCCAAGATTTTAGAACTCATTTTCCCTCCTATACAACTAAGGATTGGTTGCATGAAAAAAACATGTCATTCCTAAAGGGCCAGAATACCTTAGGCCTCATCATTTGGCTCAGAAGAGGACACAATAAACTGACAGCAGTCTGTTCTTATTTGCTATCAAATATTCTATTGGGAATTCTTCTGGAGAGCATGTACCGTGCCTTACTCTTTTGTCTTCTTCAACAATTGTTCGGTCTAGACAGGATTTCTATTAGAGAATGTGTTGTTTTTGTTACCTTGAGAGCAAAGCTGGGAAATGAAACAAAGGCCTATTTCCCAGGATACCTGCCATGGTTTGAAGTATTGAAGAAGCTGCCTTTTGGACAGCAAGGTGGCATAAGCTGGTTTTGTTTGTCTAAGAACTGTGATTTTCCAAGACCACGTGTTCTCTCTGAGATAGTATCAGCCCTCACCACAAGTATCCTTTAGCTTGCTGATGCTTCACAAATGATTCTTCACACAGTGATTCACAGAGAAGAGTATTCATCAAGGGCCATCATATTCTATAGGAAGAACCATGGAGGAGGAGAAAGAGTTTTGTACATTTGCTCTTGTGTAATGGCATGAATACATACCTGGACATTTCATAGTTATTATTGGCAAGATGATTTTGAGTATATAATTAATGTTTATTCTCATTTAATGATTAGTTGTCAGGTTCTAAGCTCAGCCTAGAAGGGAGATGAAGATTAAAGCATAAGAATATATGCCAATTGCTGATAGCCAATTCTGGAGTTAGAGATTTGAGAACCGATGTTCAGATCCAGCTGTAGCAGACAAATCCAACAGACTTTAATAATCTTCAGTCATCTAGCAAATAACTGGAAAAGGAGACATGGCTCTAGTCATGATAAAAATGCTAAGCAAGAGCTCAAGGCTCTGAGTTTAAGTTCAATAAGTACACCCACCCACCCACTCACCCACACCCCCCCCCCCCCCACAATACAAATAAGTAATTATTCCCCAAAATCTTTCTGTATAGTGAAGAGGTGAGGCCTTAGATCACTTTGATGTTAAGATGTAAACACTGCTTTTACTATTTGAGGGAAGATGAGGAGAAGAGAAGCTTTCCATTTCCTCCTTAGATACAACTGGAATTTTTGAAGGGTTTTGAAATGTAGACCCATGGAGTCCATAGATAAAAATGTGGTGTGAGCTAGACCATTATTGAGCCTCTAGCTGTGCAGTGCTAACGTCAGCCTATGACAGAGGTTTGTTGTACTGTGGATCCGATGTCTGGTGCTGGAAGGTGCAGTATCTCTCCTGCTTCATCTTTGTCTATGTGAAGTACTTAGGAAGTGGCAGGACAATTAAGGGTCAATTTTTAAGTTCTAGAAAGTGTGAGTTCAGTGCATAGGTTTTACCATTAAAATTTAAGCATGGGAAAGAAAAGACTCTTCTTCAGTGCTGTACAAGTATTTGCATGAGTTAATGTGCTTAGTATTCTCCTGTTTATTGTCTGGTGTACTGGTCTGGAACAAATGAATTGTGTTTTATTTTCATAGCAATACAGAGCTTATGTGGCCTTCCCAGACTTTTTCCGGAACTCAACTGTCCTGTGGTGGAAGAGGGAAATGGAAGAGCTCTATACCAATCCACAGAGTCCAGAGAAGAGCTTGAAGTTTGATGGCATGTGGATTGTGAGTGCAGGGTGCTTGTCTGGGTACACATGGTTAGCTGTTGTGTGAACCTTAACTTGTGGTAGCATAGAGATCACTATAAGCAAGATGACTTTAGTAAAGAAGCTTAAATACTCTTCCATTAAAACATTAGGTATCTCAGACCATACATTTTCCCACCAGCAGTGTGCCTGGTCATATCTCCATACTTCGTGCCAGGCCTGAGATCTGTGCTGTGCAATCTGTTGGGTGGTCATTAGTCTTTGCTTAGAACTTTGCTTGGCCTTCGGGAGAATATTTTTAACTCACCACACAGTCATCCTATGGGGTTCACTTGCTATTTCCTGCTAAGTGTCACCTTGGTGGTGATTCTCCCTGGGTGGCATCCACAGGAAGCATGAGTGGTGAATAATTTATCCATTGCTCTGTTTATCATTGAATTGATACAGTGTTATTGTCTTTACCATACACCATATGTGTGTGTGACATTTCTAGGATATGAATGAACCTTCGAGCTTCGTGAATGGGGCAGTTGCTCCTGGCTGCAGGGATACAGCACTGAACCACCCTCCATACATGCCACGTAAGGACCGAGGGCCTCCTTAATCTACCAAGACAGGGCTAGAAGGAAGATAACTGCCAGAATTCAGCAGCCCTGACTGCTGAAGGCTGGTCCTCATGGTGCTGGGGCTTACTCAGGGCCAGAGACACTAGCACATCAAGTATTTTTAATCAAGTATTTTAGGAAGTATGCAGTTTAGGAGAGAATTTCTGAAATTTGGCCTGAGGTCCTTTAGTAGTTTAATATTACCAAATGATTTTCACAGCTAGATTTCTTAATTCTTCAAGTTTATGATAACTTATTGTCAGGAATGTCATTTAATCCCAATTAGAATAATGAAGCTCAATGACTGGAATTAATATATATATATATATACATATATATATATATATACATATATATGTATATATATATATATATGTGCTGCTTGGGCTCATTGACATCAAAAGTCCTTTGTTTGATCAGTTATGGGGCTTGAACTCAGGGCCTGGGTGCTGTTGCTGAGCTTTTTTTGCTCAAGGCTAGCACTCTCCCACTTTGAGCCACGGTGCCAATTCTAGTTTTCTGGAGGTTAACTGGAGATAAGAGTCTCACAGACTTTCCTGCCCAGGCTAGCTTTGATTGCTGACACTCAGATTTCAGCCTCCTGAGTAGCTGGGATTACAGTCATGAGCCACCAGAGCCCAGCACAAGTCCTTTTTGTGCTTTTTTAAAGTGATATGACCTTCCATTGATTTTGTTTTATTTCCAAATATCATCTAGATCTGAAAGACACAGACAACTCTTTATACTTTGTACAATTATTGTAAGAATTAAATGAGGTAATTGATGTATGAGAGGCTTAGATCAGGGTCTGCCTGAAAACTGTGGGTCATTTCTGACATCTGGTTTCTCCAGTTGTGTTGGTGAGGAAAGCATGTGCAGGCACTAATGCAGCTCAGACACTTACGAGCCAGGTGAGACAGTGCCGCCCATTCAGAGATGAAGCCTAAGATCCAGCGTTCAATCTTATACAGAGAGGCCAGGGACCCCGCCTATCAGGGCTGTTTTTGCACATCCTTCAATTTTCTCTTCAGACGTGGATGGCAGGGACAGAGGCCTGAGCAGCAAGACCCTGTGCATGGAGAGCGAGCAGATCCTCCCAGACGGCTCGCGGGTGCGGCACTACGACGTCCACAGCCTGTATGGCTGGTCCCAGACCAGACCCACCTACGAGTGAGTTGTGTCTTCTCTACCCGACATCACCAGGTGCCTAGCAATGCACTCGGAAGACATCAGTGTAGTCATTTTTGTTTATTTAGTAAGTACTCTGAGGTTCGTGTGATTATATTTGGAACAACAAAGTGAAGGCATGGTCCCAACACACATGCATAGTGATAACAGAAGTTAGATCTTTATTTATGTCATTATTTTTACAGATAGATATCAATTACTATCATTTCATTACATGTGAAGGTATCTGATGGGTTGCTCACTCTCTTCATTATTCCAGTAGTCAATCCTCTCTATTGGTTTTTTTTCTCTCTTGTTGGCTAGTCAATTATTCTTAGTTTGAGATAGGGTAGTTGTACTTTGTGAGCTCAGTGAACAATAAAAACAATAAAAAAATTACCCTAAGTTCAATCTGAAGAGGAAACTGATCTTCTATGACTTTGACTGGTGGAATGCCTGGGCAGTTCCTGGTGGCCAGGGAGGGGGGCCTCTACTGAAGCCTCACATGAGAAAGAATTCTTGACTCCTCCACCAAAATGAATTCACTGACCTGTCAGGCCTGATTAAAGAGTTTCATTACACAGCTAGAAAAGTACATATGTAAGTGTCAGTGGGCAGTTATGTAGAAGACATGGTGGTCTGACTTCAGAGAGTCATGTATGTGTTTTTGGGCTATACTGTATTGCAGTCTTTTTTTTTTTTTAATAAATGGATGCTCTGGCTATTTAGTTACTAATTGCTTTCTATACCAACAGTCTTTCCTGAGGATCCTGTTGTTAGATTGTCATTTGAAGGTTCATGTCCTTAGGCTGTGTTTTCTCTTGTTTTTATTTTTATTTTTCAGTCTTAGGGCTTGAACTCAGGGCCTTAGTACCATCCCTCAGCTCTTTTGCTCAAGGCTAGCACTATGAGTCACAGTACCACTTCTAGTTTTCTGGTAGTTAGTGGAGATAAGAGTCTCATGGACTTTCCTGCCTGGGCTGGCTTTGAATCACAATCCTCAGATCTTAGCCTCCTAGATAGCTAGGACTACAGGCATGAGCCACCTGGCAGGCTGTGTGTTTTCAAATGGGGAAAGAGGTTCAAACTAGGGAACACATAGTCGTGAACTACTGCCTCTATTGGAACAAGGTGGGCATTGTTAGGAACACTATTTTTTTTTCTTTTTTAATTTGGTACCTTCAGAGTAATGTCTGCCCTTCTCTGTTGAGTTGCTTTTGTTGGAAAGAGAATAAAGATAGAGTTCCTAGTCAGTAGTGAGGAAGGAGGATGGCAGGTGCTCTAGAGCCTTCCGAGACCTGCCCCGGCCTCAGTTCTCCGCCTGCTTCCTCCAACCAGGGCCGTGCAGGAGGTGACAGGGCAGAGAGGCATCGTCATCACCCGCTCCACATTCCCTTCTTCTGGACGCTGGGCAGGACACTGGCTGGGAGACAACACCGCTGCCTGGGACCAGCTGAAGAAATCTATCATTGGTGTGTGGCTTTGCTCCCAGGGCTCTGCCCCTCCCCCAGGGCAGGGGTTAGGAGCCTGGTGAGGGAGGAGGAGGAGGAGGCAGGTCAGGAGAGCCTGGCCTGACCCAGCTGTGCTTCTCCTTGCAGGCATGATGGAGTTCAGCCTCTTTGGCATATCCTATGTAAGTGACCTTGGCTCCTCTTGATGGACATGGAGATGGCACATCTCTGAGAACTGTGCAGGAGGCTCGTTGTGTTGTGTCTTGTTTCAGACAGGGGCAGACATCTGTGGGTTCTTTCAAGATGCGGAGCATGAGATGTGTGCTCGCTGGATGCAGCTGGGGGCCTTCTACCCCTTCTCCAGGAACCACAACACCATCGGGACCAGGGTAGGACGTCTGCTCTCCTCTCCCTGCTTTGTGGCACATGAGCCTCCAGGGGCAGCTCATGCAGTGTGTATTCTCTGGGGACATCCTCCAAGTCCTCTAGCCTCATCTCAGGAATCATAGTCCTCAGTATTGAAAGGATGATTCCTTCCTTTAGAAGAAATCATCTCCCGCATTCTCCAAGAATCCATTATGGGGAAGTTTTTCCTTTTGTAGACAGAGCTTTGGTGAGCCTTGAGCTATTAATAATGTCCACTTAAGAAGTGTCATACCTATCTATCTTTAGTTTAGTTGTGTGTGATTGATAGGAAATGAATTCCAGCAATGATTTCACTAAGTCCCATTGGTTTCCCACAGCAAGTACAGAACATTCTTCTCTTTGTTCTTTAGAGACAAGACCCTGTGTCCTGGGATGCTGCCTTTGTGGATCTTTCCAGAAGTGTCATAGAGACCAGATACACCCTGCTGCCATATCTCTACACGTTGATGCACAAGGCCAACACGGAGGGCGTCACTGTGGTGCGGCCTCTCCTCCATGAGTGAGTGTCTAGAGGGAATCCTGCTGAGCACTGGGCAATGCCTGTCATTCTGTAGGGAGGTAGTTGCTGCAATCCATTTCTCAAATGGGGAAATGTGATTTCCTTGTTGTTAAGACTTCCAGGCAGAAACCATACTACACTTGGCATTAGAAGACAGTGTGATACTCAACAATGCTCATGGATGAGAAACTGTTGGTTGAGTGTAGACATTTTGAAACAATATAGGAAAGCATAATTTCTTTCTTTTATATTTGGTCTTGCAAGGACATCCTTACTGTTTATGGCAGCTGGTTATGTGGGCACAGGCCAAGTGTGCTCAGGTGATGGAAGAGCGCATTCCAGGGGAGAAGAGAGGGCTGAGAGCAGCCTTCCACTGACAATGTGCCATGCTGAGGAACTGTGGAGGTGTTTCCTGGAAGAAAAATGTATCTACAGCATTTCTGAAGTTTGGGGTCTGACCTGTGAATATTGGAGATTATCTCTTTCTCATTAAAGTCAGTAATGTGTAAAGATAGCCACTGGGTTTCTGACTTGGTATATTCTTGAGTTGTTCTCAGGGCCTTGGGCAGTGCTCTTCCGGGGCTCTGACTGTGACACTTCATTTCCTTTTCCAGGTTTGTGTCTGACCGGGAGACCTGGGCTATTGACAGTCAGTTCCTGCTGGGTGCAGCCTTCCTGGTCAGCCCTGTCCTGGAGCCTGTGAGTGTGGAGGACTGGGATGGGTGGAGGCTCCCAGCTGTGAGGCTGGGTGACAAGGGGAGGAGAGGCTGTCCCTTGTGTAGGGTGTTCCTGAGACATGATTTCTTATTTTCTCTTCATGTTTTTTCTCTCCTTCTATGCAGTAGTAGTTATCCTTGGGTGAAATTTTGAATTTTGGCCTAATAGTTTGATTTACAGGATGGTCAAGAGCAAACATGACCTCACATAATTGAGGAAGGTGATCAGATTTTCACTAAGTAAAATAAGGAGCACAGTGTCACGTACTGAATGAGTGAATTCAGCACGTTCCCATGTCACCATTGAAGCACAGCTCCCAGAACAGCTTGAAGCAATGGGGTTATGTTGCAGCTGCTGGCCAACCCCTTTCTTCTTTCTATGACATGGTGTGGCAGGCAGGAAAAGCTATTTCTTTTCTTCATCTGTGAATGATTAGTATGTTTATTAAAATGCCCCAATGACACCTTGCTCAAGCTTTTTGTATCTGTATAATTTTATTTTTTACTCTAGAGCCACTTTAAGTGTCTGCCTCTTTAGAGAGGGGATTGGTAGATCTGTTAGCAATGGCAAGATTTTCCCCTCTCCTGTTTGAGAAGAGGGAGGGGAAGGAGGCTTCCCCAACCTTGCTGGTCTCAGGAGACCTGCGGCCCATGATCCCATTCCAGCAGTGCTGTAGCGCCCCTTCTGTATGCAGATTGCTTGATCTGTATGGCACCCAAGCCCACCTTCTATTTGTGTTTAATTTCAGAATGCCAGAAATGTGACAGCATATTTCCCTAAAGCCCACTGGTATGACTACTACACGGTAAGCTTTGATAAAAGTTTACACAGCCTGGGGAAAGTCAAGTATAGAGGTTTGACTTGAAAGCCCTCAGGTCAAAGGGGGCCAATTCATTTTGGACAAGTCCCTGCAGCCCCGGAGCCTCAAGTGTTTTTACTTCAACTGAGGTTTCAGACTCACTGTAAAGAAGTGTCTGGAAGTGACATGTGAAGCATCTCTCTAAGTGTGAAGTGTAAACTTGGTCCTATATTTGCCTGGAATGGCTGGTTTTACGCATGCTTTGATTTATATAATGGATGAGGGAAAGCATTAATTTAGGTGTGATTTAAAAATTTCAAACACTTTAATTAGGAGAAACTCATTATGAAAATGAACTATATAAACTATTTAATGACTTACCATGTTAACACAAGACTGTCAATTGAAGGAAGCTATGGTAGTGGAAGACTAGACTAAATCACACAGAAAGCTGAATGTTAATAGAGCAGGGAAGTCAGTGAAAAACATTTGCATTGGAAACTAAAATGAAGACTAGAGGGTTCGAATTAGTTAATAGGTAAATGGGCCATTAATTAGTATTCATAAGTTATGGGATATCTAGGATATCTGGTCTTTAGGTTAGAGTAGAGATTAGTAAAGAATGGTCCATAGGAAAGCATGTTACACAGAATGTTTTAATGGAATACAGCCATGTACATTTGTATATTTGTCGGTAGCAATTCTTTCTTACCTCTAAGGAACATTTTTTTTAAAAGTTGGGCATTTTGTTTATTTAGATACTTGTCAGTGAGTGGAGATTCTTACAGTGATCACAATTTGATCAGGGGAAGGGATGCTACTGATGTGGATATTTAGCTATGGAGGAGGCTGCTCAAATTTAAGGAAAAAAGGCATGGGTCAGCCTCCCAACAAAGACCTGTGTGACCCCAGGCATCTAGTGTTCCAAGAGAAGGTCTCGTAGTTCTTTATGGGGAATGTGTTAGGAAAGGAAGGAAAGATTTTCTGACTGCTGAGCAGTGCTCTGTGACTTAGATACTGGTTGTAGAGGTAGTGTTGGTTGGTATCTATGAGAGTAGTTCATGTTGCACATGCTGTAATAATCCTAAATGGGCCAGGGATTCTTACAAGACATTTAGAAGCCAAACAAGATTTCAATCAATAGCAGGTGAATGGAAGAGTATAGTCCTAGGTGTGTGCCAGCAGGTAATGGACAGGTGTCAAAGACAGAGAGACAGCTAAGACGTCAAGTACCTGCGTTGCTCAGGTTAGGTCTGTCAACCTCTCACTCACCAGCCATCCCTTCCTCCTCTGGCCCACAGGGTGCACAAATCAATGCAAGCAGAGAGTGGAAGGTCCTGCCAGCACCTCTGGACCACATCAATCTTCATGTGCGTGGGGGCCACATCCTGCCCTGGCAGGAGCCTGCACTGAACACCCACCTCAGGTGAGTGGAGGGACCGGGCTCTGCTTTGCATGCTGGTTGCTCACTCATTTGCAGGGAGTGACCTTAATCCTATAGACACCGCTCTCAAGGCCCAAAGCCATATTATTGAACACATGTTCTTTTGTTTGTTTTGTTTTAGTTTAGTCTCCTTTCATCTTTGTATCTGAACAATTCCCATGTATTTTAGATGTATTTTTAATGATAGATCTAAAAAGTGACATTGAAGCAAAAATCAGACAGGCACATACGATCAGGGTGCTTCCAAAGTCTGTGTGAATTGTACTTGCCCCAAAACATATTGATGAAATCATTGCGTAAGGTATATGGCAGCTGTCATCAGGAGTTGATATTCCTGTTTTAAAAGATAAAAAATGACAGATGTAGGCCCATACAATAATTAGCAGGGATTAAGATCAAATGATCTTGTTGTGTGTTTGAATTATGCATTATGAGCATTGTGTTTGGAGATTTTTTTTTTGTTTTTCCTTAACAAAAGCAAAAAAAAACCCAAATTTGCTGTGGATATCTTTAATGTCACCATTTCACAGATGAAAGAAAAGCTTAGTGACTTACTGCCCCATGGCTTGTATGAAGCTGAACATATCTAAGATCCCTGTCTGTCTGATACTATACATTACAATGTAGACCCTCTGTTACGTGACTTCAGAGATTCTGATAGAATCTGAAAAAATTAGGGTATTTACAAATAGAATCCTACTGTGTCTTTTCTTCATCCACTCATCTGCTGGTGGCCACTTAGGCAGATTCCGTAATTGGTTGTTATGAATAGTTCTTCCCTAACCACGGCTGTGCTGCTATCTCTACAGTAAGCTGACCTGTGCTTTCAGGTTTGTAACCAGAAATGGTATGGCTCAATCAAATTGGAGGTCTCATTTTTCTTTTTCTTTTTTTTCTTTTTTATGAGCATTTTACTAGATTTAGTTTTCTAAAATTATTTTTTAATTTTTTTATTGTGAAAATACTATACTGAGGGGTTAGAGTTACATGAGTAAGGTAATGAGTACATTTCTTATCAAGCATTGTTGCTTCCTCTTTTGTTTTTCCCCTACTGTCCCTTCCCTCCCACCTCCACAACTACACTCTCCCCCAATCTGCTGCCTATATTGTAAAGTTTGTTTTTCAACATGGTGTCTTGTATATCTCATTGATACAATGGGTCAACCTGTATCCCTATTTAAACCTTTTGTTTTTTCCCTTTCCCTCCCCAAATTATACAAACATCAAATACAGTGAAACCAGGAGTTATACTGTGGGGGAGGAACATACAAAGCAGTGAAAAAAAATCACGGTACCTTATAAATACATTAGAAACAATAGCAAGAAAGAAAAAAAAACCACTTGTGTCTTGGGGTTTATTTCGCTTAACTTCTTGTTATCTGGTCATATGTACATAGCTTTTGACCTTTTCTCCTTGTCCCAGATATATACTAGGTATTGCAAATAAGGGAAACCATTGGACCTATTGTGTTGATATCACTTTTTGTGACTGGATGAACCCTGGTGTATATACAACCATCCAATTACGTTCCAATTTCATCTGTAAAGCATGTCTCCAGTTTTCTAGAGACTGCTGCATCCCCATTCTGGTCATTTCAAATTATATTTGTGTGATTTTTCCTTACTGCAATTTTGATTTCTGTTTAATGTTATTGAATATTATGATTATATTTACATTTATAAGTATTATAATTATTAATAAAATCGTAATTATTTGATGCCATGCATTTGAAAATGCTTTCATCTGTATTCCTTGGGTTATACAGGGATTTATTTGTGCAACTTTCCTTCATGCTGGCTTATTACTTGGTATAATTAGTGATGTTTCAATGTGTTGGTAGGGACCCCAAAGTGGGTCTTCCTTATAACTGCAACCATATTTATGTGTTTATTGATTTTTTATTGAGTAATTAATGTTTAATTCACAGGAGTATGTGTTGTAAGTAATGTAGGATTGAGTAGTATTTTAGTAGACAGTCTTCCAGATTGTCCCAATACTTCTGGAAGCGTCCTCCTGGGTTCTCATGGGATCTTCACTTTTGTGTCACTTCATTGCTGCTGTATTTGGGGGGATGTTTCTAATCTTTTCTTCCTTACTGAGTTCTCAAAGGTCAAGAGTGGTGATTACCATCATTTCTGTTCATCTTTGCATATCATGAACACCATAATGAGAACAGATGATGGTGATGGTGAGGCCTGACCTGCATGAGGAAGGCTGAACTGGGGCAGAGACAGTAGGGAACCCTGGAGCAGTGAGGGGCACAGGAAGGGTGGAGGAGAGGGGAAATGGAGAATATTCTAAGTGAACTTGCTTGCTTTCTCCCTCCTCCTCAGCCATCCAGTTCACCATTTCTTTGAATTATAATGCAGATGACGAGACTTTTCTTTTTGTCAGAACAAAACAATAAGTAGCTAAGTAAGAAAAGTTGCCATTATATAGATTGACTTTCCTTTTGAGTCCAAATGTCCTTGGGGAAATAGTGTCTCTCCCTTACATCAGCTGACTCTTCTCCTCAGATGTCATCTCTGAAGAGAACTGGCGCACTGTGCCCTGTTGTCTGGGATTTTCTTCTCTTTCAATAGTTTGTGACCAAATTATAGTTGCAGCCACAGCTGTGATTCTGATGCTCACACCCTGGCTTCCTCTGTGGATGTTCAGTGGGAACTCATGGGGTAGTCTGTGCTCTGTGTCTGTACTGATACTAGACTAAGATGCACCTCGCATTTTCATCTTTATCCCTTATAGAGAGCAGTGCTATATAATTTCCCAAATGAAGCTTGATGGAAGCATTTGGTAAAATTCTTTGGCTGCCATTTTTGTCTCTCACATGAATCTTGTCTCCTGCAGCCGCCAGAAGCCTCTTGGTCTTATCATTGCCCTGGATGAGAACAATGAAGCCAGAGGTGAACTTTTCTGGGATGACGGGCAGTCAAAGGGTGAGTGTTGTTATGGGCACATTGCCTTTTCCAAACCTGCGTGTTTGCCTTTGGCCCTTCCCTCTGCTGCTCCTTCCCTGGGAGAGCATTCTCACCAGGAACAATAGCAAAGTTCTTGAAAAGAGGGTTTGGTTTCTAGTTATAGCTTTCAGAGGTGGTAGCGGGTGAACCAGAGATGATAGGAGAGCATGTTTCTGTCTCTCAGAATTTTCCCTTGGCAGGGATATGTTACAGGCACTCAATTGCTAATGTGTACCTGGAAAAAGTGGATTGTTCTTGTGATTTTTCCATATTGTAAATATCTCCCCTAAGAAAGCAATTAACAGATGTTGAGGAAAAGACATGCTTGTGACAGTGAGGCACAGAGGACACCCTTCCCTTCTCCGTGTGTGTCTGGCTGGGCTCCCGCACAGGGCTCTGACTCAGGTGTGCAACCTCCTGTGGCTGTAGCTAGGACATGGAATCTAGGTACAAATGCCTCAAAAGCATTAGGAAGAGAAATCATTCCAACTTTTCAGTGGTGGGAGAAGGCAGAGCAGTATAGGTTGGTTTTAGGTACTCTTAATAATATCATCAATCTTAAGTATGGCTTTCTAAAGCATCTCTCATTTAGACGCATACTTAATTCACAAATCTTGAATGTATTCAAGGTGAGTAACTTGTGTGTGTACATTATGCAACTTGGATTTCTTATTATTAGGGGTTTTATATACTTTGGTCAACGTCTTCCCATGTGAGCTACCCCCACATTTTTTAGATTCATATGTAAATAAGACCTCAGAGTCCTTTTGGTATCTGCTTTATTTCACTGAGTGTCACAGACTCTAGATTCATGCTGTGTAACAGACTCTAAGATTTCTGGTTTTGATGGCTAATACCCCACTGTGTAAATTGTCACAATGTCTTTACTCATTTAGCTGCTGATGGACATATGCATCACCTTCACATCTGGGCTGTTGTGAACAATGGATTAAAGACTCAAAGTTAACGGGTGAAAGCATAAAGCCCCTAGGGAGAAACGTAGTGTGAAAGTTTGTGGCATTGCTCTTAGGAGGAATTTGGGAATATATTAGAAATAAAACAGAGGCCTAAAAAAACAAGAGCAAAAATATTAACAAGCGGTACCACATGAAACTGAGAAGCTTCTGCACAGTAGAAAGAAGCAATCAACCCAAAGTGAAATGGAAACCCAGAGAATTACAGAAAATGTATACAAATCACATATCTGATAAGATCTAATATTAAGAATATAGAAGGAGTTTTTGTAACTCAATAGATAGAAAATAATAACTTGATTTGGAAGTGGGCAAATTATCTGAAAGGATATCTTTGCAAAGAAGACACACAATGGCCAACAACAACAAGAAAAGAAATGTACCAAGAACCAACAATGAGCAGAGAAATGCAAACATAAAACTCACAATGACACATCACAGCATTGTTAGGATAGGTGCTGTGGAAAAGATAAGGGAACCATTGTGGAAGAGGATATGGAAAAAATGGAACAAAACCTGACATACTATTGGTGAGAAAGTCACTCTCTTCCCTTGTGGAAAACAGTACAGAAGGTTTTTAAAATAGTGAAAACAACACTACCATATGACCCAGAAATCCTATTGAGGCTTGTATCCAATGCAAACTGTATGCCTGGAGATAGCTATAGTCTTGTGTTCTTTGCAGCATTACTCATATAAAAAAGTATGTAAATAACCATTATAATCTACTCATAGAAGAATGAATGAGTAAAGAAGTTGTGGTACATACATGAAATGTAGTATATTTGATCACAGAAAGAAGAAAATTATGCTACTTGGGACATCAAGATTCAGCTTTAAGGAGTATGATGGTGAAATTTATTCTGGGGTGGGGAGCCTATTCTGACTTGGCTTTCCTTCTCCTGCTTTCAGATACTGTGGCCAATAATGTTTATGTTTTATGTGAGTTTTCCGCCAGCCAGGTGAGTAGCACATTTTCATGAATCTTATGTGTCTTAGTCTCTTAGTACATACTTGTACTTATGTTTCAAATGTCATTTGCCAGAAGGACCATAGGTTAACAAATTTCCATTTATGATTTAATTTTCAATAATTGAATTATCTGTGTCATACAAAGGAGGGAAGAATGACATGGACATATCAAAGTAGATGGTGTATTCAGTGATGCTGGCTAAAATGTCTGTGCATATATTTATTTATTATCTAAAAAGTTTTATTAAAATCAGTTCCCTGTCACTGTGCACACATTGGTAGAGAGCTCATGGGTATCAGAGTCTGAGGAGCATGTGGTCTCTGGTGGAGCTTTGGAGAGACAAGAGAATCTGAATACTAGAGATCCAATTTCATGCCTAATTATGCTTCACTGTTTTGCAGACCCACCTGAATGTGACTATTTCCAAATCAGCCTACAAAGATCCCAATAACTTAGCATTCCAGCAGATTAAAATCTTTGGGACCAAGGCACTGAGCAACATCACAGTGAAACAGAATGGTGTCCTAGCTCCAATGTCTCCTAACATCACTTATGATCCTAACCTGAGGGTAAGAGTATTAAGTTGAAATGTTTTTTTTTTTTTCAAGAGATCTTCGCAGTGTCATGGTCTGCCAAGTTCTAGGGTTCAGGAAAGATCAGGATCCTGTATGAAACCAATCAGAGGAGGTCAGTATGCTGGGCAGGATGTGAAACTGAGGCGCTGATCCAAGCCAGAACCAGTTGAGGTGCTACTGGGGAACAGAGGAAAAGTCAAGTGGTCTCCATGCTCACTAACTTCCCTACCCAAGTGTTCTGCTCGCTCTGCTGTCTTCACTTTCAGAGTAGTTTCTTTTGGGCAGAAGAACAGAGCTAGAAAAATCTCAAAGGGTGATTTAATGAACCTGGAATTCAGGTTTTCTTGATTGTGGGAGAGGTGGGAGCCTGGCAGGAGAGGAAAGTGTAGGATGGTTTAGACTCGGAGATGCTAGTCCTTAAAAAGGGATTTTATTGCTTCAGGACGTTAATTTGATAATCCTGGAAAGTGTTATTTGAGGAAAAGTCAAATATTAGACACTTAAAGACACCGAATAATTCATTAATGTGTGAGATTCAATTGAATTATGGTTTACAAAGCCAAGTGTTGTTGGCTTATAATTGTAATCCTAGCTAGTTTGGAGGCTGAGATCTGAGGATCATGTTTAAAGGTGACTCAGGCCCAGAGTTCAAGCCCCATAAACAACCAAAAAAAAAAAAAAAAAGAGTATGTTATTTGCATTGTTGAGATTCTGTCTCATTTTAAAGACTCAGATTCTGGAAGTCCTGTGTCCTGTGGACATATTTCAATGTGACTTCTGCATTCCCACAGGTCGCTGTGATCACAGGCATCCATCTGGTCCTGGGAGAAGCATACACAGTACAGTGGGACATCAGCACAAGAGACGAGGAGAAAATAGACTGTTATCCTGATGAGCATGGAGCTACTGAGGCCAATTGCATAGCCCGAGGCTGCGCCTGGGAGGTAACTTCCCTGAGGATGTGACCCTTTCCTAACAGCTCTGCACCTCACCTGTAATGCACGAGGAGATGCCAGGACCTAATCATCCACTTAAAATCCATGCAAAGAAAAGACTACCCAAGATACCTCAACCAGATGTGAAGACAGGCAGAAAAAAGAGTGGGGCATTTTACATAAATGTTTTCTTGATATAGAAATTTAAATTCTGGGCACTATCTAATGGAAACAAGGTCCAGGAATGATGGGAAGGCCTTTCCTAGCCCGTGCTACCTGATACCTCTAGGCCCACATGCTGATGCACACTATTGGCTTTCCTTCTCAGGCATCCAATATCCCTGGGGTCCCACACTGCTACTTTGTGAACGATCTGTATTCAGTCAGCAATGTGCAGTATAACTCCCATGGGGCCACCGCTGACATCTCCTTGAAGTCTTCTCCTTATGTCACTGCCTTCCCCTCCACACCTGTGAGCCCCCTGCGCCTGCTCGTGACCTACCACAAGAATGAAATGCTGCAGTTCAAGGTAAGCACAAGACTAGTATTAGGTGCTAGTAGTTCAGTATTACAGAGCTCCAATATATGTTTACTCATTACGAAGTTCCTGTTTTCAATATCTACATCATTATGTTAATCTAAAAGGTGTTGAGAACAGTGAAGAGTTTCTTAATGTGGGTCTGGACAAGATTACTGTGCCTACTCTATGGAAATAGTTGTGATAACAAGGTATGGAAAGTGAAGGGAAGATAGTACCAAGTTGATGGGTTGAAGGATGGAGCTTGTACTGGGCTCAAGATTTGGGGAGGGTAAGGGGAAGCCCAGAAATGGTGGGACAGTGAACACAAGCAGCAGTGATACTCACTGGACACTATGTAGAAAATGAACTATGTAACCTGGGAGGCGACGGGAGGGAAAATCTGAGAGAAAATGAGAGAAGAGCTGACACTGTTCAAAAAGAAATAGACTCTTTACCTGACTTACGCAACTGTAACCCCTCCGAATATCACCTTTACAATAACAATTAAAATATTCTTATAGTTAAAAAAGAGGCAAATAGACATAGTTGATGAATATGAGGAGAGAGAGCAGGCCTCAGTGGCTGATGCTATGTAGGAGATGTAGAGAAGACAGTGTCAAGATAAGGACATGTGTCTATCATGGCACCTGTGTGCATAATGCTTAAATTACCTGAAATGAGGCAACTGAAATGGTTTTTGCTTGGACAATGTTAGAAAATGAACCAGTTTTGAAAACTGAATTGTTAAGTATCTGAAATATCTGCCAATGTGCAGGAGTTTATTTTGCCACTGTTACTAAATTACATCTAAGAACAAGGGGTAGACTAGCATCTTACAATGATTTCTCAATTAAAACAGGCCATGGAGTTGTTCTTTAATTCTGGTGTGTTTGACTAACACAGATGCTAACAGATACTAATTATAATCTAAATCGTATCTTGCAATATTATTAACTATACCCATTTTTTGTCTGATAAAACAATAGAATGTATGTAGTCTACTTCTATTCTCACCTAAATCCATTCATTTTGGTCTAGATTTTTGATCCCAACAACAAGCGATATGAAGTCCCAGTCCCTCTGAACATCCCCAGCACTCCATCCAGCTCTTCTGAGGCCCGCCTCTATGAGGTTCTCATTAAGGAGAATCCATTTGGGATTGAAATTCGCCGCAAGAGTACAGGCACTGTCATGTAAGTGGCCCTGGTTGGATTGGGGACTGGAGGTTACATGAACATCTCTGCCAGGGCCTCTGTGGTTGGAGATGCTCTGTCTGAGAGATTCCCACTGTGCATTCCAGACCCGAGACTATCAAGGTTCTGTTAAGGTCTGTTCTTGTGGGCAATCTTTACTCCATGAGACAACTACTGAGTCAGTTACTTGTACCTGGAAACCCCTTCAATAATTGTTTATTGGATGCCTTCTGTGTATAGTGTGTTTAAGGTACTGTGGTTATTACACACATGAGGTATATGTGTTCATGAAAGTAAAGGAGTTTACATTATAATTTGGATGTTGAAAGAATGAAAAACCTTGTAGGGTCAGCAAAAGTGTGGGGTAATCCAGATTTAGTGGGTATCACTCACTGCTTTGTTACCATGGTCTCAATAATTCTCAATCATAAGGCCTGCCACTTGCTCTTAATGTGCATCCTCATTCCTACTAAATTTTATATTATTGAAAGATTTGGAAAAATGAAACTATTTACAATTCTGACCAAATGCAGAGAAACAAATCAAAACCTGTCTTGGCTTTTGTCATACTGATATCATGAGCTCCAGCAAATACCACACAAAATCCAGAAAGGAGGCACATGTAGGTAATCTTCCCTCACACCCAGATGGGATTTTCTGGAGGAATCTTTATTCCTATGTCTCAAGTTACATGAGGATGAGAGAACTTATGAGAGAGGAGACGGGTAGAGATAAGAGGACACCAACTTGAGGGGAAAGGAGAGAACCTTTGTGGTAGAATAGCAAGTACCTAGGCCATGACAGGAAGGATCTTCACATACCCAGGGATACCAGACATTCCCCTGTGGTGTGTGAGGAGAAGGTGGGAGGTGGATTTGGAAGAGGCAGAGCTGTGAAGGCGTCATGAGGTGTTTCTGTGACACACTAATGAGACAGTAAATAGAGGCACGTGAAGATGTGTGGTGTGTGTGAAACCTTCCTTGTAGATGTGTGCAGGAGCAAGAGCAGGAGGCAGGGTGTGTTGCTGTGTCAGCAGTGGAGGATGATGGGATGTGACTGGCATTGTACTGGGGAGGAGGCAGTGATAGAGGAAGCAGGAAGAATGAGGAGTGACCACTGAGCTATTAGCAAGAGTCTCCATGCTTGTTTTGTCTAAATGGACTGTGTGCTTTTTTGGACGTGAGTGTGTTCTGTGAGGTGGGGGAGAGCACAGGTTCAGCTGTGCTGGAAGAGCAGCTGCCGGAAGTCCAGGGGAGCTCACTTCCTTGTCCACCTTGGCCTTTGCCTTGCAGCTGGGACTCTCAGGTCCTGGGCTTCACCTTCAATGACATGTTCATCCGCATCTCCACCTGCCTCCCGTCCCAGTACATCTATGGCTTTGGGGAAACGGAGCACACGGCCTATAGGAGAGACTTGAACTGGCACACGTGGGGCATGTTCTCCAGAGACGAGCCCCCGGGGGTAAGGACAGAGCATTGGCAGAGTCTACACTCCCTTTTCTGCACCCACACTGCATGCCTGTGAAGCCCTATGGGTGCCTCTGTGCTTCCTCTTCCCTGACTGCAGTGAATCATCCCCTTCTGCTTCTGTCCTGTGACCATTCCTCCAGCTCCTTTGATCTCATGTGTTGAAGTTAGTTGCAGGAGAATGTAGGCCCGTGAGTTTTTGTTGACTTTCCTTCTCAGATGCAATGCCTTTTCACTCTACCCACTTGTCCCCATGACTCTCAGTACAAGAAGAATTCCTATGGCGTCCACCCGTACTACATGGGCCTGGAGGAGGACGGCAGTGCCCACGGAGTGCTCCTGCTCAACAGCAATGCCATGGGTAGGCACACGCCTGTGGCCCCTCTTCCTTAATATGAATTGTTCTCTAGTTCTATCAGGTTGTCTGTGACCCAGCAGCCCATTATGAATATTATCATTGTTACAGTCTTTTTATTTTCTTCCTTCTGTTAATTTCACCCTAATTACATATGATTAAAAGATATAATGAAAGTATTAATTTTGCAAATAATTGCCATTAAGTGATTGCAAAACCAAGTGGTGCCTGGGCATGGCCTAGTTATCTGAAATAATTTGAAGCTGTGAGTTAGAGAACTCCCTCTGAAGCACGAAAGTGCTAAGAAGAGTTGTCTAGATAATAGTCTGATAATTCATAGAATAATAACACTTTGTCAATGGCAGTTTCCTCATTTTGGGCCTATGCAACTTTTTGATGAAGTGTTATTTATTGAACAAACTGTGTCAAGTATCCATGGATACCTATTTCATATGAGTTCAAGGCTATTTTAGTAAGCCTCAACACACTAAAATAATAAAGCAAATCCATGGAGATGGTTCATGGATGAGAACCTTGTAGAATTTCTTTTTAACTTCTCTTATATGAGTTGAATATAGAACATCTACTCAATACTTTACAGTAAAAGAGAAAGTATTGTATTGAGGTCTGTATGTCTTCCCATGCTGAAGCTTTGCAGGCAGCTCAGTTCACCTTTCCCTCTATTTTCAGATGTGACATTCCAGCCCATGCCGGCCCTGACATACCGCACCACAGGGGGAGTCCTGGACTTTTATGTGTTCTTGGGACCAACTCCAGAGCTTGTCACTCAGCAGTACACTGAGGTAGGTGTGAATTCACTTGTCTGTCAAGTGGTCATGCAGCAAGTCCGTGTTCCAAATCTTGTATTCAATTATATACCTCTCACTGTGATCATTAGAATTTAGGCTTTTTCATAACAGGTATTTTATAAACTAGGGAGCAATAAATACCTTCTAATACCCATTAAATTCATAACATCTCATTATTGCAGAGTAAGAGTTGAGGAGATTAAGTCATGGTAGTGGTAATAGTAGTAGTAGGTGTAGTGATGATAATGATGCTGTTGGTGATCGTTATGGTGGATGATGTGGTAGTGATGGTGATGTTGGTGATAGTGGAGAGGATACTAAGAATGATGATGGTAGAGGTTGTGATGACGGATGTGATGGTGGTGGGAATGTGTGTGAGAATGGTGATCGTGAAGGTGATGGTGCTGATGATGGCATTGATGCTGGTGATGATGTCAATAGTGAAGGTTTTGAGAATGCTAACGGTGGTTATGATAAATTGGTTGCAAAGTGGTTGACTTTACACTTCATGGTAATATGATGGTGATAGGAGTGGTCATGACAGAAGGTATCGTAGAAGGAAATCAATAAAATGGGTGGTGTGTAACAGAAATAACAAATTTGTAATAATTATCACATCCGGTATGTTAATGCATTCAGATGTCACGAAAACACTATGAGACAGACACTAATATAATTTCCAGTTCAAAGGAGAATACAACACAATGAGATTACAGAAATAGCAAGGCATCGAATGTATGGGTTAGCTCACAGAATTTGATCTCATATTCTTGGTTCTTCACTAGTAATTTAGATAGACTGCATCTAAGAATGAATTAAAAAAAAACTACTTCCCAGAATTCCTACAGAATGAGCTCAGGCCTAATAGAAGGGTTTTCCCTAGGGAGTTGAGTACTATTATCCTTTTGTGAATTTGAATTTTGTTAGTTTTCTAGCTTGGAACACTGGAATAAGCTTGTTCTTACTTCATAATTAACTTCAAAGTGTGACTTCTTGTTTAAAAAAACGAGTATTCACCAGCATTTGGTGTCATTTGCAGGTGATTGGCCGGCCTGTCATGGTGCCTTACTGGTCCCTGGGGTTCCAGCTGTGTCGCTATGGATACGAGAATGATGCTGAGATCTCCAGCTTGTATGATGAGATGGTGGCAGCACAGATCCCCTATGTATGTATACACCATGGGTAACAGGCTACTCTGTGATCTTGTACCTAATACAACTGTCTCTGGGTCTCATTTTTGGTCTGGAGTTTGGTGAGGTTCTACAAGTCTACCAAGTGCTTTTTCACATGATGACATCATCTTGGAGACCCAGTGGGGGTGCTGCCTCATTCTTGTAGTACTTACAGATCTAAGATTCACAATGATGAGAAAGGGCTGGATCTAAGGGCTTTTCTGCATTGTTGTGATTCTGACATATATTTCACAAAACATGAAGACATTTAGTCAAGAAGCACTTGATCCCATAAGAAGAAATGATTCTTCCAACAGTACTTTTGCTTCATTAAAATTACATGACCCTAGATTCTCAAGTCCACTGTATGTATAGGTAGGTGCTCAGGTCATCATCTGTGGGCGTGGCAGCATGGTCTGCATGGGACTCTGAGGCACTCACTGACTACATACAAGAGCTAGGGCTGAGTCTCAGGAAAAGCACACAGCGATACAACAAATTCTATCCACTTTGCACAAGAACAACCAATAATCAGATCTGCATGCCTACCCACTTTAGTTTTAATTTCCTTCCAGTTTTTATTCAGCTGCTTATAGTAGTAACTAAATAGCACACAACCATCCTATACATGTATTTTGTAATTAGGAAACTGTGTCTGCTCACTACTGAGTCAGCACCTTCCATAGGAAGTACATGTGTTTGTACTTCTTTGCTTTCTAATAGGCTTATTGTCTTGGGTCATAAGACTGAGGATGACACAGTTTTCATGAACCATGGAAGCCAAGGGTAGCTTCATAGTGGAAACATCCAGACTGACTCCTTATGTTAGCAGTTTACAAAGCACTTTCTCACCCAGTGTTTTTGTTGATTTTCTTAATACCCCACCATCTAGTTCTTATCTTCCGATTTTTCTCCTGACTTAGATATTTGTCTTTATATTTTGTGAGTGAAAGTTGAAGGACTATGTATATTCACCCGTATCTATAACTGAGAAATGACAGAGCTGGGAGCTGAGTCAGAAGGAGGCACGGGTGGTGGAGAGTGGTTCTCCTGGGAACCTGGCCTTGAGGCCCCAGCTATCACTCAGCCCCCTGTGTCCTCCCCAGGACGTGCAGTACTCGGACATCGACTACATGGAGCGGCAGCTGGACTTCACCCTCAGCCCCAAGTTCTCTGGGTTGCCCGCCCTGATCAACCGCATGAAGGCTGCTGGCATGCGGGTCATCCTCATTCTGGTCAGAGCTCGTGGGAATCTGTGGCCTCTGGGAGGATGAAGGGGAATGGGTGGGGAAGGCCCGCACTGTGTTTCCTTCCATGATACACAAGGAAAGGTTGAAGTTCCATGGAAAAGGCATTTAGCAGCATCTTAGACACTGTAAAGTTCAAGTATAATGTAAGGAAGATGTTTGTGGAAGAGCTGTGTTGTGTCCCTGGCCATTCTCTGCATGTGTCTTTCTGTCTGATTTGTGCTTTGGTTTCAGGACCCAGCCATTTCTGGCAATGAGACAGAGCCCTATCCTGCCTTCACTCGTGGTGTGGAGGATGATGTCTTCATCAAGTTTCCCAATGATGGAGGAATTGTCTGGGGCAAGGTATGATCTAAGGACTGATCCACTAGCACCTCGCCTGGGGTGGGGACAATGTTAGTATATCTTTTCCTCATGTATAGTGTCCTTTTTCACTTGAGTTCTTATCTTAGATCTGTAGTTTTCATACTTCAAACACTATGTGCTGATCTAAAGGCTCTGTGGAATCCACTTTGCTTTAGATCAACTGTACATACTAAACAAATTATATGGTGCCTAGGACTGTGGTTTGTGACTTCTTAGGGAATACTCTGTATAGGAAAATGTCTGGTGCATTGCTCTTGAACTTGTTTCTGTACTCAGGTCTGGCCAGATTTCCCTAATATTGTGGTTAACAGTTCTCTGGACTGGGACAGCCAAGTGGAGGTAAGATGTTTTTGTGAATAATGACTGAAGACAAAGTTACCAAGAAGGGAAGGCCATGCCCAGAATTCTGTACAATTTTGGCAAGTCAGTCTGTGTGGTAATGACTACCTGAAACAATGCTCTGCTTACAACTGAGACCTAAGTATTCTTGTCTTTGGCTGAGGTCCTGGGGACTTTGTTTACTCCTCCCTGATGTCAGCAATGCAACAGTAAATTCAAATCCAAGGCTGCCAGATTTCAAAGGCCATGAGACCTTCAAGATGTGTTATCTTTTCTCTAAATTATTCTAGTTCTTGTGGTTGTTGTGGTCGCCTTGAATAACCCTTGAGAAGTATTACCTAATGTTTGCCTTAGTGATTGATGTTTATTTTTTCTTTTTGTTTATTTATTTATTTATGTATTTATTTATTTGGTAGGTCCTGGGGGCTGAACTGTGGGCCTGGGTGCTGGCCCTCAGCAAATCAGATCAAGGCTAGCACCCTACCACTTGATCCACAGTGCCACTTTTGGCTTTATTCTGCTTATTTGCTGCTGAGGAATCAAACCCAGGGCCTTATGTTTGGGAGGCAAGCACTCTACCACTGAGCCTAATTCCCAGCCCATTCTTTACTTCTTAAACTTGTGGAGAAATATGTCCATGTCCACAATGATAAATTATGGTCCCAACTTTTATCTTAGGTTTCTAAATTTATTTTGGCTTAGTTTTGAGGCTTCTATTAAAATTTTGCTTGTAATAGACAGAGGTAGCTCAGGAATTTGGATCTCATTTTTCACCCATAATGTTAGCTTGCTTGAATGAATATATGGTCCAGAATAACTTTGGTCTTATCATTTGGCTCAGGTTGGACCCAGTGAACTAATGCATTTGGACTTATTCAACACATGTTTGCTTTGCTATCAAATGTTCTATGAGTACCTGTGAGCTAGGTTCTCAGGGTTGCGATAGGAATTCTTCTAGAGAGCAAGTACCTTGTCTTACACTTACCTCTTCAACAATTACAATTCATAGACAGGATATTTGGCACAGCATAGGTTGCTTTGGTCACCTGGACAGTGAAGCTAGGAAATTAAACAAAACCTTATTTCAGGATACCTGCCAAGTCTGAAGGGATGAAGCTGGTCTCTGTGTGCTGAGCACAGCAATATAAGTTGGTCTGGTTTGTGAAAGGCTACATTCTCTTAAGCCTAGTGTTCTCTCTGACATTCTATCTACCCTTGCCACCAGTTTTTTTTATCTCATTGATTCTCATAACACAGAGATCCACCTAGGAAAAGGCATTTACTAAATACACCAAGGACCAACATCTTCTACATGAAGAAACATGAAGTAGCAGAAAGTCTTTTTTATGTTTGCTGTTGTATGATGGTGTGAATGCATACCTGAACCTTTGTTTGTTATTATTATTAATATGACCAAATATATAACTAGTGTTCATTCTCATTAACTTATTAGTTACCAGGCTCTAAAGTTAGCCTAGAATGGATATGTAGATAAATGATACAATCTTTATTAAGGTAGATGCCAGTGGCTTGTGCCTATAGCTACTCAGGAGTCTGAGATTTTAGAATTGAAGTATAGACCCAGCTTGGGTAGACAAATTTGTGTGACTCTTGTCTCCAATTATCCAGCAAAAAACCAAGAAGTGTAGGTCAATTGGCACATGCAGCCATAAGTGAAAAATCTGAGCAAGGGCTTGATGACTTCAACTTTAACAAAGAAAATAGAGACTATAAATTAAAGTTCTTGTTCTCAAAAAAGTTTCAATGTAGTGAAGGAATGAGACTTTGGATTCTACTTTGATGGTATGATGTAGACGTTCTTTTTATTATTTGAGGAAAGAGGAAGAGAAAGGAAGGCTGAAACTTTCTCCTTATACACAACTAGGGATTCATGGGATCCTGAAATTAGCCAGAACTGAGGTCCACAAAGAGAGCCATATCCTCAACTGGGGCCTTACTGACACCTAGTTCCTAGAGGGGATAGCAACTGGATGATTCTTCCAAACTTGCACAGTGCATCTGAAGTCCTACCCTGCTAGCTGCAGTCTGTCCCTTGCTCCTTTGTTTCTGTAAAGTCCTTGGGAAGTGAGAGGACAGTTGAGGATCAAGCTTTATAGCTAGGACTGTGAGTTCAGTGAATTGGTTATCACCATTCGTGCATGTATGGGGAGGAGAAAAAGTGTGTATATTGCATAAAGGATGTATAGTTTGTGCTTATCTCTCTTCTTTGTACTTCTTTTTTTGTAGTAATCTAAAATCTTTATATTATAAAGGAGCCATTCAGACTATCTCTCACACTCTCTACCCCCATGCTGTACAAGTATTAGCATGAGTTAAAGATTTCAGTACTTGTCCTGTTTGCTGTCTTGTGTACTTGTTCTGGAACAAATGAATTGTGTTTTATTTTCATAGCAATACAGAGCTTATGTGGCCTTCCCAGACTTTTTCCGGAACTCGACTGCTCTGTGGTGGAAGAGGGAAATGGAAGAGGTCTACACCAATCCACAGAGTCCAGAGAAGAGCTTGAAGTTTGATGGCATGTGGATTGTGAGTACAGGGTGCTTGTCTGTGTACACACAGTTAGCTGTTGTGTGAACCTCGACTTGCATAGGGATCACTGACCTTAGTCAAGACACTAACATTCCTTAAGAAAGATTTTGGACATCTCAGACTGTACTTTTCCCAAATCTGCCCAGAGACACTTGTATAAGGCATAAATTTCTGCTGTGAAATACCTAGGGTGATTTACTAATTTATTAGACTCTGCTTGCACTGCAGGGAATCTTTTTATACAACACTCTTGGGCAGTCGGTAGGTAGAGGTGAATTGCTATTTTTAGCTAATTTTTTCCTTCATGTGATGATCCTTTCTGACCAGCATTATCTGGAACTGTGAGATCATGAAATTACTTATCTACTATTGAGTTGACATAGTGTTATTGTCTTTATAACTACACCATTTATATGTGTATATGTGTGTGTGTGTGACATTTCTAGGATATGAATGAACCTTCGAGCTTCGTGAACGGGGCAGTTGCTCCTGGCTGCAGGGATACAACTCTGAACCGCCCTCCCTACATGCCACGTAAGGACCCGGGGCCTCCTTAATCAGCCAAGACATGGCTAGACAAATTCTGCCCAACCCCAACCTGCAGAGGTTTAGCCTGACCACTGAGGGCCAGTCCTTATAGAACTCTAGTTTACTGGGGCCAGTAAATAGCACATACAGGGCTTTCATTCATGGGATGCGTATTAGAGAATTTCTGCAATTGGGCCAAAAAACTCTTTATTATATGTAGTAGTTGTCCAAAGGGGTTTCCAGAGGTGCAATGCATCATGGTCAATGTCACCCTTCTGTAGTTCTCCCCTAGTTCTGTCCATCCCATCCCTGGCTTCATATTACATAGTTCAGCTTTACATATTGTATGTGGACTGTAACGGCTGTATTTTCTGTATCTCTAAGTGATTTTCATAGCTAGAGTTCTTAGTTTCTCAGTAATGTATCCACAGGAATGTCTTTTGCCATCAGTGGGTGTGATGAAGCTGATTGCCCTTGTCATAAGACCTTTGGGCTATGTAGTTACCCTTGTCCTTCTATGTCTCCATTTCAGTTATTTTCCTTGACTTGTGCAAAATTTTATGTACTTTGCATTATTTCCAAATCTTAACTTTCTAAAATGTAAGATATAGATAACCCTTTATAGTCTGTGGAGATTTTTGTAAGAATTATAAATATTATAGGCTCATGCATGTAATCCTAGCTACCCAAGATGTTGAGATCTGAGGATAGTTGTTCAAATCCAACCTGGGCAGGAAACTACTTGAGACTCTTATCACCAATAAACTACTCGAAAAGTCAGAAGTGGTGCTGTTGCACAAGTGGTAGAACACTAGCCTTAAGCAGAAGAAGCTGAGGGATAGTGCCCAGGCCTAGAATTCAAGCCCCAGGACCTGCCTTCCCTTTCCTTCCCAAAAGCCTGTATCAGGACCTGCTCTATAGTAAATGCGTGAAAAGTCTCTGTCGTTTCTGACATCTGTACTTTTTCCAGTCGTGTTGATATGGAAAATACCTGCAGCACCAGCGCAACTCACCAAGTGCACTGTTCTGTGACTGGTGCGGCAGAGGCCATTCAGAAGTGAAGTTAGCCTTAAGGTCCATAAATACATTTTCGTGTTGGAATATATCAGCTCTGTGTTTCCTCCCCGTGCCTCTTAGATTTGGCAGGCAGGGACAGAGGCCTGAGCAGCAAGACCCTGTGCATGGAGAGCGAGCAGATCCTCCCAGATGGCTCGCGGGTGCGGCACTACGACGTCCACAGCCTGTATGGCTGGTCCCAGACCAGACCCACCTACGAGTGAGTTGTGTCTCCCTTCTCCAGCTGGGCCCGAGGATAGAAACAGTGATGGGTACAGCTTCCCTACGTCACCTTGCAAACCCCATTGTAAGCGCCCACCAGAGGTGAATGCCATCAGTGTGGTAATTTTTGTTCTTTCAATAAATAATACATGACCGTGGAATGAGGTGCTTGTGTTAAACATGCATGTTTGCTTCAGTTAATTACCTGATGGTGGATTGATGTATGCACAGTGATACACCAATCATTATTTAATATACATGGTGTTACATGTAGATAATTGTTAGTGTCATTATATTCAATGTGTTACTCACCTTAGTGTGAACACAGGATTGTGATGGGCTAGACAATAATGTTTCACTTTAATAGTTAATTATCTCTATTTATTTCATAGTATATGCTAGACATTCTTTCCAGCTCAGTAATGCCAATTGCCCTAAAGAAAAGATTAGAAGGAAATTTGCTTCATTCTGTGACTGACTGGTGGAATGCCATGGAGGTCTCAAAGACAGGATCGGGGAGGGGGTGGCTCAAGCTTCCAGTAGGAGAGACAGAATCCTTGAGTCCTGCATAAGAAACTAATTTTAGGACCTGTCAGGACTGCTTTACTTAAGATCATTACATGTAGAAAAGTATACACATAAGTGGTAGAGTGTGGGTGAGAAAAGACATTTTTCTAACTACAAGGAGTCAGGGGTAGGCTTTGGGATTATACTTATTGATTCAAGTCTTTGTTGTTGTAATTTTTATTTTTGCCTTAGTTATTGAGTTCTTATTTGCCTTTTACCCCAAGATTCTTACTTGAGGATGCTGTTGTTAGATTATTATCTGACAATTCCTGTCTTTAGGCTGTGGGTCTTCAAACAGGAAAAGAGATTCAAACTACAGAGTACTCACTGCACTCATGAACTGCTGCTCTGCAGGAACTAGTTGGGTGTTGATAGTAACATTGCTGTAATCTTTCTCTGGGTTATGGTACCCTAATAGGTCTGGGAACAGTTCACTATTAGGTTACTGTCTTGAGGAAAAAGTGTAGAGATGTGGGGGTTCGTATTTCTTTGAAGTCTTTGGCGTCAGAGCTTTATGTTCAGTAAAAAGGACAGAAAGGCTAACTCTAACTCTTGCATTGCTTTCCACTTTCTATTCTGGAATCCCTCCATCAGCCAGTCTCATTTTCTAGATTGCCATGGAAGATGGAGTGTTGTGTCAATACACAGGATGGCTTTGTCTTTTACACCATGGCAGTGGTTTATTGCATGATGCACTTTTCATGAAACACTGAAATGGCAGTCTTCTCTGAATATCTCCCTCAACCAGAGGGAAATACATGCTCTCCATTCAGACAGCAGCATTGCTTTGATCCAAGTTCCCAGGACAGGAGTGAGGAAAGAGGATGCAGGTGCTCTGAAGCCTGCTCTGGCCTCAGTTCTCCCCCTGCTTCCTCCAACCAGGGCCATGCAGGAGGTGACAGGGCAGAGAAGTATCGTCATCACCCGCTCCACATTCCCTTCTTCTGGACGCTGGGCAGGACACTGGCTGGGAGACAACACTGCTGCCTGGGACCAGCTGAAGAAATCTATCATTGGTGTGTGGCTTTGCTCCCAGGGCTCTGCTCCTCCCACCCAGGGCAGGGGTTAAGAGCCTGGTGAGGGAGGAGGAGGAGGAGGCAGGTCAGGAGAGCTTGGCCTGACCCAGCTGTGCTTTTCCTTGCAGGTATGATGGAGTTCAGCCTCTTTGGCATATCCTATGTAAGTGACCCTTGGCTCCTATTGATGGACAGGTAGATGGCACATCTCTGAGAACTGTGCAGGAGGCTCGTTGTGTTGTGTCTTGTTTCAGACAGGGGCAGACATCTGTGGGTTCTTTCAAGATGCGGAGTATGAGATGTGTGCTCGCTGGATGCAGCTGGGGGCCTTCTACCCCTTTTCCAGGAACCACAACACCATCGGGACCAGGGTAGGAATCTGCTCCCCACTTTCATGTTTAGGGTCACCTGGAACATTCCCTAGACTTCTAGCTACAATTTATACCCTTTGAAAACTTGTTGGAACATTTTAAAATCAGCAAAGCTTTCCTCAATGAACCATGTTTCTCAGTGGTATAGGAATGATGGCTTTTGTTTAGATCAACGTAGTCTGAGGGGGGTGGGAATAGGTTTTAGGGGAAATTTCACCAGCTTTGTGCAGAGATCTTTGATGACATTTCCTAGGTTATTGCAATGCTCTCAGAAGGAGTAACATCCATTTCTCCATTTATCTTTAGCTAATCTAAAGGTAAACTTGGTCAGTGATTCATACCAAAGTAATCTATCTATGTGACAACCTTTTGTCCCTTATCAGACCCATGGCTAAGTTCATTTTATATTTGCTTTGGTCTTTTTAAATGAATTATATTTGTATTATAACTAATTGTACACAGGAATTACCATTCAACATGCTGGTTTGCAAGTACAATCCAGCTTGATCAATATCATTCCCTTTATCCCTTTTATTGTTCTCTCCCACTGCCCCAAAGTATCCTCTCCTCAATTTTCCTCCTTTCATAGACTAGGCTTTGAATCTTATAACTGCACTTTCTCCAAGACTCCCATGGTCAGTTCTAAAAAGAGTTTCCCCCATTCTTTAGAGACAAGACCCTGTGTCCTGGGATGCTGCCTTTGTGGATCTTTCCAGAAGTGTCATAGAGACCAGATACACCCTGCTGCCATATCTCTACACGTTGATGCACAAGGCCAACACGGAGGGCGTCACTGTGGTGCGGCCTCTCCTCCATGAGTGAGTGTCGAGCGGGAATCCTGCTGAGCACTGGGCAATGCCTGTCATTCTGTAAGGTGGTGCTTGCTGCAATCCATTTCTCAAATGAGGAAATGGGATTTTTTTTTAAATCCTCCAGGCAGAAACCATACTACACTTGACATTAGTAGACTCAGGAAAAATCAGGGATGAGAGGCAGTTTGTAGAGTTTACAAATGTTGAAACTATCTGAAAGCATGATTTCTTTCTTTCATATTTGGTCTTACAAAGACATCCTTACTGTTTATGGCAGCTGGTTTTGTGGGCCCAGGCCAAGTGTGCTCAGGTGATGGAAGAGCGCATTCCAGGGGAGACGAGAGGGCTGGGGGCCCCTTGCACTGACAATGTGCCATGCTGAGGAACTGTGGTGTTTCCCAGAAGGAAACGTATCTACAGCATTGCTGAAGTTTGGGGTCTGACCTGTGAATAGTGGAGATGATCTCTTCCTTATTAAAGTCAGTAATGTGTAAGATAGCAACTGGGTTTCTGACTTGGTATATTCTTGAGTTGTTCTCAGGGCCTTGGGCAGTGCCCTTAGGGGTGTCTATCTGTGACACTTCATTTCCTTTTCCAGGTTTGTGTCTGACCGGGAGACCTGGGCTATTGACAGTCAGTTTCTGCTGGGCGCAGCCTTCCTGGTCAGCCCTGTCCTGGAGCCTGTGAGTGTGGAGGCCCGGGATGGGTGGAGCTCCCAGCTGTGAGGCTGGGTGACAGCCGAGGAGAGGCTGTCCCTTGTGTTGGATGATCCTGAGACACAATTTCTTGTTGTGTGTCTTTTCTTTTCTTTATCTCTCTTCTTTCTTTTTGAGCAGCAAGAATTATTCTGAGATGATTTTTTTAAGTTGGCATAAGGTGTAGATTCACAGAAGAAGAAATATGACGTCATATGTTTGAAGACTATTCCTAGATATTACAAATGGGAGGAACAGAGTCACATGGGGGCAATAGGATATGAATTATTTACACGGCACTGTCACAGTTAACGACAAGCTGAAAGCTCCTAGGAGAACATCTGTCAAGGATGGTGTCATATGGGCTTTGGCCATCCCTCCTTTCCTTCTGTGATGGGGCTAACAAGCAGATTTCTTTTCTTTGTCTGTGATCAGTTAGTCTTCTGATTAAAATGTCTGAATACTTGGAATACTTCGTACAAATTTTCCTTTAATTCAGACTCAACTTGTCTTTTTAGAGAGAGATGAGTAATTCTGAAAGGAAATACTGATATACTCCCCCCCCCCCTGAAATCCTGTATTCCAAAGGCTTTATTAAACCATCTTGTGTTGTGCAGACGATTTCATGTTTGACAAGGGGGAAGGGAAGGAGGCTTCCCCCACCTTCCTGATCTCAGCAGACCTGCGGCCCTGGGTCCACCTCCTTCACTGCTCTGGCGGCCCTTCTGTATGCAGATTGCTTGATCTGTCCTTGGCAACATCGCCCTAGCCCAGCTTATATTTGTGTTTCATTTCAGAATGCCAGAAATGTGACAGCTTACTTCCCTAATGCCCACTGGTATGACTTCTACACGGTAAGCTTTGGTAAATTTTATACAACCTGGGGAAATGGTCTATTATAAGGCCTGGATTTCAAATCTCAAATGCTCTCATTACGTATTGGACAAATCCTTTGGATAGAGTATCTGAATTTTTCTCATCTTAATAAAGAAATGCCTTGAAGTGACATCTAAAGAATGTGTCTGACTTCTCAGTGTGCATGTCTGTGTGTGTGTGTGTGTGTATGTGTGTGTGTATTTATTTTCTCCATGTGTTATCAATATGTAAAATGTTAATACAGATAATCCAGATCTCAGTAAGTTGTGGTAGAAACTAGAGTGTTTTTTACAGTATTGCAGTTGGCTGTTTCTATCATTACTCATATCAGTGGCTTAGCTGGTGCTTTCCTATTGAGCCATTTTACAGTTGTACATTATACTGGTCTTTTGAGATGTCGTGTCACAGACTTATTTTGCGTAGGCTACCATTGAACAGTGATCTTTGCTACACAGCCTCCTGAATAGCTATCATTAGAGGCATGAGCCAAGGGCTTGACAAAACCATCAAAAATGATAAGTGCTTGACTGTCCTAAGTGGTTAAATATGGAGGCCTGTCATTGAATAAAATATTAACCATTGTTGAATTGCTGCCCGAAGATTTTCTATGTTAAGATTTTCTATGTTAAGGAGCATAAGGCAGTATATAAAGCTTTGACTCCCACACCTGAACATAGCATGAGCATTTGAATTGAGAAAACCACATGAGTTCTCCATTGTGTGCTTGGAGCAGGGGGAGCCCTGAAGACACTCTGGGGAACAGGGTGCTAGGAATCCACTCAGGGTGGTCTCTCGAGGAACAGGTGGAACAGTTTTCAGAAATAACCCAAAGGACTATATAAGCAGAGCCCTATACTGCCTTTGGAGGAGACAAGATCAGCAAAGAGGAAATACAGCAGGAAGACAAGGATGACAGACTGTGCTCATGACGCTCATCTAAGCTGATTTGCAGTGTGTTGGGAGAGATGAAGGAAGAACATTTGCTTCTGTTCTCTGCTGTGGGTGTCCTCCCCACAGCCCTCCTTCTCATTGTGGGTTTCCTTAGGGAGGCATGCTAAGGTTTCACAGCTAGCCTCAAGGCTCCTAGGGCAGAGAAAGTTTCTTCAGTGTCCCTCCCAGGTATTTCACAGGACACTTACAAGCCAAATGCTGTTTTGCACCCAGAGGCCTAAAAATGCAAGGTTGTAGTCCCAGGTGTGTGCTGGACATGAGGGACAGGCAGCAAGGTCAGAGAGCAGCTGAGATGTCAGGTACCTGTGCTGCTCAGGTTAGGTCTGTCACCTCTCACTCACCATCCCTTCCTCCTCCGGCCCACAGGGTGCACAAATCAATGCAAGCAGAGAGTGGAAGGTCCTGCCAGCACCTCTGGACCACATCAATCTTCATGTGCGTGGGGGCCACATCCTGCCCTGGCAGGAGCCTGCACTGAACACTCACCTCAGGTGAGTGGAGGGACCGGGCTCTGCTTTGCATGCTGGTTGCTCACTTATTTTCAGGGAGAGACCTCAATCCCATAGACTCTGCTCTCAAGGCCCAAAGCCATTTTATTAAACACATGTTCTTTTGTTTGTTTTGTTTTAGTCTTCTTTCATCTTCGTATCTGAACAATTCCCATGTATTTTAGATGTGAATTTAATGATTGATCTAAGAAGTGTCATTTGAATCAAAATTCAACAGACAGGCGCTCATGATCAGGGTGCTTCAGAAGTCTATCTGAATCATACTTGTTCCCAAAACATGAGATCAAACCATTGTTTATGCTATATGGTGGTTTTCATCTTGCATTGATAATCCTCTTATAAAAGATGAGAAATGACTCACCTAGGCCTATATAATAATTAGCAATTACTGAGATCAAATGAATGCTTGTTCTGTGTCTGAATTTTGCCAGTAATGGCCATTTTATCTGGAGACTTTTTTCTTTCATAACAGCAAAAAACATTTGCTTCAGAATCTGTAATGTCTCCATGTCAAAGATGAGCAAATAAAGGCTCTGCAAGGCTTAGTGACTTACTGTTCTATGGCTATAGGAAGATGAACATATCTAGGCTCCATGTCTGACTGATACCATTCCTTATAATGTAGACCCTCAGTTACTTGACTTCAGAGCGTCTGATGAAAAGTGAGGAACTAAAGATCTTTGCAAATAGAACTCTATTGTATGCATGAAGTCTTTCCTCTCTCCAGTCATCTGCTGCTGATGACTTAGGCAGCGTCTGTAGCTGGATATGTGAATAGTACTGGCCTACCCGCGGCTGTGCTGCTGCCTCTATAGTCAGCTGACCTGTGCTTTCAGGTGTGCACCCAGACCAGGCATGGCTCAATCCAGTTGGATTTCATTCATTTTGATTTTTGTTCATTTTATTTTTTGTAAAGGAGTGAACCCTGGTGCATTTTCAGTGATCCAAGTTACACTCAAATTCCCTCCAAATCACGTCTCCACTCTTCATGTAGTGGGAATGCTGCCGTTTCTTTGTTCTGGATATTTAATTGATATTCATGCATTTTCTCCATACTTCAGTTTCTCTTATTAATATTGCAAATATTTCAGTTATAGTTGTTAGACGCTATGCTTACAAAGGTCACCTGTGGTCCTTTGGAAACACAAATCTGTTGTGACTTCTTTGTATGACTTTCCTTCATCTTACCTTATTATCTGGAATAATTGATGAACTTTTGTTTCCAATGTGATGTTAAAGACTTAAATGTGGGTCTTGTTCCATTTCAGATGACCTGTTTGAGTTGTGTCTTATACTTTCTTTTCCCAATTATAATGTAAGTTATTAGGATGTGCTGTCTTCCCATCAAAACCAAATATGGAATCACATACAGCAAATTACTATGATATAGACTTGTATAACTGTGTTGCAGTCTAAGTGAATTTGTTCCTGGGATCAGTTGCTACTTCTGTGGACGTCATCCTTAAAACGAGCTGGCTGCGCCATTATTGCTTAGGATTTTCATATGCTCTCATAGTCCATGTCCTAGATCAGTGGTAGGGAATCTCTGACCCACAGAATCATATGGAACATCATGGGACAGGCACATAGCTCCTTATATGTTTCTCATCAGGGGCTCATGGCCATTTATCTATATTGATAATTTTGTATCATCTGATTGTGATTTCATAAATATTTAAATGACCTTTGACATTTAAACATGTGTATGTTTGTAGGCATAGCTTTTACTGTAACTACTGTGGTGTTTCTTTTTTGGGGGGGTGTTAATATTTTGATATTGATTTTTACTGTCGTGATTTGATGCTCATGTTCTTGCTGCCTGTGTGGATGCTCATTGTCACATATTGGATTGTTTCCTGTCCTGTGACATTATTCAATAAGAGACACTGATCTCTGTCCCTAAAGTAAAGCAGTACCATGTGCTGGTGCTATCTTTTCCCAAATGAAATTTGAAGGAAACCTAAGGCAGTGTGTTTTGCTGCCATCTTTGTGTCTCTCACGTGAGTCTTGTCTCCTGCAGCCGCCAGAAGCCTCTTGGTCTTATCATTGCCCTGGATGACAACAATGTAGCCAGAGGTGAACTTTTCTGGGATGACGGGCAGTCAAAGGGTGAGTGTTGTTATGGGCACCTTGCCTATTTCAAACCTGCATCTTTGGCCCTTCCTTCCTGCTGGCTAATCAGCCATTGGAGAAATCTCTGCAGGTGCAGTGGTCAATTCTTGATGGAAGAGTTTGCTCTCTAGTTGTAGTGTTGAAGAAGTAATAGATGAACTTAGAATTCTGCGCCAACCGGGATCTGTCATAAGCACTCCTTTCACTGTCCCGTATTATCTTCCCCAGGAAAGCTAGGAGCAAATGGGCAGCATATGATGGCATCGGAAGCATCCCCATCTCAGTGAGCAGTGAGGATGCACATTCCTCCTGGTGTGCATCTGGCCATGGCTCTGCCCATGTTCTTGCCCTGTCACAGTAACAGTTCCTGTGGCTCTACCTTGGTTGGCAGTCGAATCCCACAGGACATAGTCTTGAAAGTATTTCAAGTACATACTGAAGGGAGAAGGGAAATGGTAGATTCTCCTTGGTATTCTTTCTATAATGATACTTATTTCAAGATGGGAATTTCTTAAAGCTCATTATTTTATTTTAAAATTTTTAATTGACATAAATTGAAGATAGTCAAGGGGAATAACCTATACACATACATTGTATTATGATTTCTCATGATCAAAGTAGTTAACATATATACTTATTAACATCTCTCTATGTCTCCCAACCCCTGCCCCAGGCCACTATTGTTCTGCCTCTTAACTTATGTAAGTTGAATTATTTTAGGTTGTGTTATAAATGAGATCGTAAGGTACATATTTCAATGTCTCTCTTATTTCCCTTGTAGAACATGTTCCAGTTTTATCGATGTGTAACTAATCTAAGGGTTTTCCAACTCGGGCGAATGCCGTGTGTGTGTGTATGTGTGTGTGTGTGTGTGTGTGTGTGTGTGTGTGTGTGTGTCTTTAACTCAGGTATGGGAGCTGTCCTTTGCCTTTCTTTGAAAATGTTATTGTAAAGGTGATGTATGGAGGGGTCACAGTTACAGAAGTCAGTACGGAGTACATTTCTTTTTTAACTGTACATAAGTCAGTATTGAGTACATTTCTTTTTTAACCACCCCGTACCTCATTTTCTTTCAATGTTTTTCCTCTCCACCTTCCTTCCCCCAAGTTGTCCAGTTCATTTCCAACATAGTGTCTAGTGAGTATCATTCCTGAATTGGTTCTCCCTTTTCCCCACCTTTTCTGTGCTTCCTGTTTGCCTCCAAATCAGGTAAATTGATATATAAGACAAAGGCACAGAAATAAAAACAGAAACAATAGGAAATAAACCAAAGCAAAATGAAAAGAAAGAACTGACAATGGTCCAATTTTAAATACCTCTTGTTTCTACTTCTTGGAGTTCATTTCCACAATCATCATTTTATAGGATCATATGCAGAGAGCAATTGAGCCTTTGCGATCCTCTCCTAACAATATCCTCCTTTGTTCTCCTTATGTGAATGTGTAGACTACTGTTCAATTAATCATATCCCAGTGCAATTATTTATCTTTTGCTATCCATTTGGTTTACTTGTAGATTTATGAGCTCAATCTAATTATTACAAATTAGGGCAACCATGCAGTCTATATTTCTTTGGATCCTGCTTTCTCAGCTTAGTATAGCTATTTCCAAGTCTTTCGGTTTCTTTATCAATGGGGTAATGTCATTCTTTCTGATGTAAACATAGATTTCCAGTGTGTATATATACCATATTTTCCTGATTCATTCAACAACTGAGGAGCTTCTGGGTTACTGCTCTGCCACTTGAGCCACAGCTCCACTTTTGGCTTTTTCTGGTTAATTGGAGCTAAGAGTCTTATGCACTTTCCTGTTTCAATTGGCTGTGAAGTTCAATCCTCCTGAGTAGCTAGGATTACAGGAGTGAGACATTTGTGCCTGGCTAGGATTTCCACCTCTCTTATGGACAAAATAGTCCATTGGGAACTTGTGCCACACATTCCTTATCCATTGATACTTCGGAGGTCTCTATCTTTATATTCTTACAAGAAATGAACTACAGATGTTGGAGAAAGGGCTGATAACAAACCTCCTAGAAGAATATGTAGAGCAACAGTTCTTTGACGTTGGCCCTGCTTGTAATTTTTTATCTTGGATTTGACACAAAAAGTAGTTAACAATGGGGCTTAGAAGGTGGCTCAGTGGTAGTGTGCTTGCCTTGCATGCATGAGGCCCTTGGTTCAATTCCTCAGCACCACATTAAGCAAAAAAGCCAGAAGTGGTACTGTGGCCCAAGTGTTAGAGTGCTAGCCTTGAACTGAAGAGCTGAAGGACAGTGCCCAGGTCCAGAGTTTAGGCCCCACGACTGACCAAAAACCAACAAATAAAACAAACGAATTAACAAATGTAAAAATTCATAAACTAGCACTTCGTCAAATTAGAAATTTTCTACACATCATAATATATTCAGTACTGTGTTAACCATAGCATGGGATAAAATATGTATAAATTGCATACCTAATAGGAGACTTATTAAAAAGGTATAAAGAGCTTTTGCAACTCTATATTGTGTGACTATATAATCTGGTTTAAAATTAGGCAAAAGGTGTAAATAGGCTTTTTCCAAAGACAAAATAAAAATTGCTAATGGGTATATGAAAATGTCTGGGACACCACAAATCAGCAGAATTATGCAAATTTAAAAAATTAAAATAGCATGTCACATCACATCCGTTAGGATGGTTGCTATCAAGAGACAGGAGGCAGCAAAGGAGGGAGAGGGTGTGGAGTGAAGGGAACTACATTCAGATGCTGTGGTAGGTGGTAAATTGGCACAGCCATTGTGGAAAACAGTGCAGAGCTTTCCTGAAATACTGAAATAGTCTGTGTGTATCCAATGCAAACAACACACCCTATAAATCTCCAATCTCCTGTTCTTTGGAGCATTTTTCAAATAACAGCACATGTTAGTGTCCACTGGCAGATGAGGGAACAAAGATGTGGAGGGAGGAAGATGCAATCGAATAATTTTCAGTCATTTAAAAGGAAGGATATTCTGCTACTTGTAACGTCAAGTAGCTCTAAGAGAGGCAGGTGAAACTCAGCTTCCTATGTTGGCAGGCCAGTCTGACTTGTCTTTTTATTATTTTCAGATACTGTGGCCAATGATGTTTACATTTTATGTGAATTTACGGCCAGCCAGGTGAGTAGCCCATTTTCAGGAACCTTGGGTGTTAGGATTTAGCACTTCCTGTAATTATGTTTCTAATTTCATTTGCATAAATGACTATAGGTAAGCATATTTCCATTTATGATTTAATTTTCAATAATTTTCTTATCTCTGTTATCCAAAGGAGGCAATAATATGGACAAATAAAAACAGATGATGTGTGATTCAGTTCTGTTTGCTATTTTTAATTTATTTTCCTTAGAGGTTTATTAAAATAAGTTCCCTATCACTGTGCACACATTGGTAGAGAGTTCAGGAGCATCAGAGCCTGAGGAGTATGTGGTCTCTGATGAAGTGTTAGAGAGACAAGATAAAATGAATACTAGAGATCCAATTTCATGCCTAATTATGCGTCACTGTTTTGCAGACCCACCTGGATGTGACTATTTCCAAAGCAACTTACAAAGACCCCAATAACTTAGCATTCCAGCAGATTAAAATCTTTGGGACTCAGGCACTGAGCAACATCACAGTGAAACAGAATGGTGTCCTTGCTCCAATGTCTCCTAAAGCCACTTATGATCCTAACCTGAGGGTAAGACTCATGTGGTTGGGCAGAGTTTCAAGAATTCTTCCAGGCATCCTGTGTCCTCTGGAGAGTGCTATTTAAAGAAGAGTCATAAAGTGTAGTAGTGGTGGCATATATCTGTAATGCCACCTAGTGGGGTGTTGAAGGAAGGGGAATGGAGAGTGGAGATCATGTAGGGCAAAATTCATGAGGCCATATTTCAAAAACAAATAAAAGGAAAAACAGAAAAGGAAATTCAACAATGCTTGATAAGTAATACTCATTACCTTGCCCATATAATTGTAACCCCTCTGTATGGTATTTTCACAATGAAAAAAGAAAAACAAGGGGAAAAGAAGGAAATTCTGCTGCTTGTGACATCAAAGTACCTTTAGCATAGACCACATGTTTATATAGCACAAGCACAAGGCCCTGAATTCATTTCCTATCACCTCAAAAAAGAGAGGAAAAAATAAAAGGTAAAAAATATCGAAGCTATTTAAACAAATTTGTGGATTCAATTAAAAATGTTTTCACATTTTAAACAATAGTGGGAGACTGAGTAATGAGACAGAGATGTTAGAAATTGAAGGAAATATAAAGATATTTTTTTCAAATTCAACGTTTTTGCAGTTTATGAATCTGAAATCTGAATTATTCATATAACTTGTTTAAATACTCCATAGAAAAAGAGAAATAGGAAGGCAATTGGAACAAGACTATATAATTCTTCTGGCTCTCTTTCTACCATTTCAGATGATTGGGGAACACTGATTGGTGGAGAAAGGGACAAGAGTAGTAGAAACATGTAGAGAAAAAGAACAGAGTCAATCTGAAAAATATAAAGAAGCAGGAGAAAAGTCAGGAAGGTAGACAAAGGGACAATTAAAAAGTTTATTTGGACTTTCTATGTGCACAATGTAATGTACAATGTGTGGCGTACTGATATTACCCTGTTGCGACCTCCATACTGAATAGTTGCCCTGTATTGATTGACCAGTCTGCCTGTAATGTTTTGGAATATTTCCTGTACATTGTTGAGGGTCTGGTCTCATTGTAAGGACTCACATCCTGGAAGGCCTGGGTCCCATGTACATATTTCCATGTGGCTTCTCCATTTGCACAGGTCGCTGTGATCACAGGCATCCGTCTGGTCCTGGGAGAAGCATACACAGTAGAGTGGGACATCGGCATAAAGGACCAGGAGAAGATAGACTGTTACCCCGATGAGCATGGAGCTACTGAGGCCAGCTGCATGGCCCGAGGCTGTGTCTGGGAGGTAACTGCACTGACAACATGAACTTTCCCTGACAGCTCTGCACCTCACCTGTAATGCATGAGCAAACACCAGTACCTCAGTATCCACTTAGAATCCATGTGAAGAAAGGGTTCCCCAAGACACCTCATCCAGATGTGAAGACAGGAAAAGTGTGGGACATTTTAAATAAACATTTTCTTAACATAGAAATTTAAATTCTTGGCACTATCTAAAGGAAACAAGGTCCAGGAATGATGGGAAGGCCTTTCCTAGCGCTTGCTACTTGATACCTCCAGGCCCACATGCTGATGCACACTATTGACTTTCCTTCTCAGGCATCCAGTATCCCTGGGGTCCCACACTGCTACTTTGTGAACGATCTGTATTCAGTCAGCAATGTGCAGTATAACTCCCATGCGGCCACAGCTGACATCTCCTTGAAGTCTTCTCCTTATGTCACTGCCTTCCCCTCCACACCTGTGAGCCCCCTGCGCCTGCTCGTGACCTACCACAAGAATGAAATGCTGCAGTTCAAGGTAAGTATAGTTACATGTGAGAGAACACCCAACGGTCTTCCTTTCCCGTCTCTATGTAGTCAGTGATTTGTCATCCTAATACAAGCTAACTCTGTAAAGTTCCATGCTACAAAAGAGCCAGCCATTCTGTTAATGTGAAGAGCAATGAGAAGCCCTTGGAAGAGCAGCTCCCATTTCCTAATGTGAATTAAGAATAGGATACTCTTATGAAATCAGATATCAAAGAAGTGGGGAGAGAAGGAGGTAGGCTACTGGGTAGGTTGATAGAGTGAAGGATAGAGGTCATGTAGGTATAGGAAAGGAGGTGCAGAAGAATGGACTTGTTTTGGACTGAGAAGATCTGGAGACTAATCACATAGGATAAGAAGGAAAATTAAATGCGAAGGCTGTTTGTCTCTGTTTCTCATCTGTGTGAATGGTGGTGACATCAACTAAGTGGAGGAACTGGATAGTATGCGATGGGAATTCATGGAACTTATCAGTTGGGTAAACAAGGTCTGGATTGGAGTTTTCCTTGACATTCCACTCAAGCGCAGTGCTGTTTACCCTCCCATGGTGTCATTACCCTTAGCACCAGGACTGAGCTAGCTTTGTTGTGACAGTTTCTCTGTTATTCTCCAGAACAAGGGATTTGTCCACTTCTTGTGCTTCTCACTTAACACCATGTCAGTAGACATTAAGCCCTGCAATGTTTGCTGAGAGAATAAATGAAAGAGTATAACAGTATAAAGTTGCCTAAAAGGTTCTTAACAATTACATCTAGGAGGATGCTGAGTTCTTTTCTATCTTTCAATGCTATGCTTTTATTTGGTGTCCTCAACTTAGCAGGTAGGATATACCTAATACATGGAATGAATTAAGTTACTTAGATTTCCAGCCTAAAGTCCTGTGTACTCACCAGTTAACCACACAACTATATACATACATACATATATACATACAGGCATACATGCATGCATACTTACATTTGTACCTTTCTCAACCCTCTTAAGCACTGTACATCATTGCATTGATAAATGCATTGCTAGAATGACTTGATATCTGTGCTTTGTTAATGACTACATAGCTCTTTATGCTAAGATTCTATTTCTCCCTTGCAATTAATTTTCTCTCAGATATAGTGGCTGATATCACCTTTCCTATAATCTTACAGTACTTTTTTGTAGTTGACCATTAATCCACCTTACTGAAGGGATGTAAACATATTTCATTCTCTGGAGGGAATGAATAACCTTGGTCTACTATGTTTACACCAGTAGCACCTAATCCAGCACCAGAAAGGGATATAGGGAATACATTTATATGTTCTTTTTCAGCATAGACAACTATGATGAACTTAATTATAAAACCTTCATATTTCTGATTTTTTTCCAATTCTGTAAAAGCTTCACAGACACTCATATGCACACATATGGAATAATAAGGAATACATTGATAACTGCCCTACTGGCTTTTGAATGCCTTTCATGCAAGTACCAAAGTCAAAGTACCTGTATTATTGTAATAAAGCTCTTCACATATGAGATCTGACAGGTTCAATTCAAAGTTTTGGATTTAAAGTTGTTCTTTAAGAGCTTAAAGGAAAGATATAACGTCTCTGTTTGCTCCAATGCTGACAAAGCTCTGCTATGATACACATTTAAAGATCTAATTTTGCCTAAAATTTTGATTTCACAGATAACACTCATGCTTCTTTTTGGTTTGTATTGCATTGTTTTAGCACACTTAGATATTGTGAATTGGACAACTTGTTGTTCAATTTTCCCATCAGCTCAAATAGCTATGCTTTCTTGTGATTAAAAATATTGTAATTCATATTTCATGGCTATTTTGAGTTAGATGATACAATATTATTACGTATGATTTCCCTATGTCTGACACAACAGCAGAATGTATGTACCCTCTCTGCATGATCTGCTAAAATCACTTTCCTCTGACTTAGATTTATGATCCCAGCAACAGCCGTTATGAAGTCCCAGTCCCTCTGAACATTCCCAGCACTCCATCCAGCTCCTCTGAGGCCCGTCTCTATGAGGTTCTCATTAAGGAGAATCCATTTGGGATTGAAATTCGCCGCAAGAGTACAGGCACTGTCATGTAAGTGGCCCTGGTTGGATTGGGGACTGAAGGTTACATGGACATCTCTACCAGGGCCTCAGTGGTTGCATATGCTCTGTCTGAGAGATTACCCCTGTGCATTCCAGACCCACTGCTAAGCTATGTCCTTTAGGTGTGTTTTTGGGCAATCTTTGTATTTAGAACCTACTGAGGCAGTTTCTGGTAACTAGGAATTCCTTCAACAAATATTTATGGATGCCTTCTGTGGATTAGGTGCTGTTTAAGGTACTGTGGTTATACTCAGAAGAGATGTCTCTCCTCATGAAAAACATAGTTTAAATTATATTAAAGAAGCAAAGATGTTAAGGTGATGTGTAGTATTAGGGGAAAGAGTAGAGTAAGAGTTTCTGTGTGTGTGTGTGTGTGTGTATATGTGTGTGTGTGCACGTGGGTGTGTCTTTGGGGAACTGTTTTAACACTGTGATGGAAAAAGAATATCTGAGAATTGAACCTCCAGCCTAACTCTTGATTTTGTCTTCATTAGGAGAAACAATTTATATATTTATATGCATATATATGCATATATATGTATATCCCTGTGTGTGAGTGTGGGGGGATATTAGAGAGGGAGGGGGGAAAGAGACAGAGAGACAGATTGAGATTTATGGACACCTTTAGTCATAACTGTGGAAGCAAAACAAGTCTCAGTTTGTCCCTGCAGAGTCACAACTTACAGAAAAGATGACACCAAAGCCAAGAAGTATGCATGTGTCTCCTGGGGGTTGGCCCATCTCACTCCCACATGCAATTTGCTGGAGGAAACTCATCCATAGGGCCCAACTTACATAAGAATGAGAGAACATGGATTAGAACTTGGATGAAAAGTGGCCACCCATTTGAGCTTGTGGAGGTGGGGGAAGAGCATTGGTGATAGAATAAGCAAGTAATAAGTTAGTAAGCTATAGCAGGCAGAACCTGGCACTGTACTATTCCTTTGTGTGCAAAAAGGAGCTGGGGTATCAGCGAGTGGATGAGGGTGCAAAATAGGTATCAGTGAGGCCTCTCCTCAGTGACAGCCTTGCAGGCATTAAAAGCAGTTTCATGAGAAGGCACTTAAAAAGGAAGAACAGGAAAAGAGAGGTGCCTTTAGACACCTCATTGTGGATCTATGGAGAAACTGGATTTGGGTTTCTGGGAGATGGGGAAGAATGTAGGGTGCATTGCTTGAGAAGTCAGCTGCCGGAAGGAATTCCCGGGGAGCTCACTTCCTTGTCCACCTTGGCCTTTGCCTTGCAGCTGGGACTCTCAGGTCCTGGGCTTCACCTTCAATGACATGTTCATCCGCATCTCCACCCGCCTCCCGTCCCAGTACATCTATGGCTTTGGGGAAACGGAGCACACGGCCTATAGGAGAGACTTGAACTGGCACACGTGGGGCATGTTCTCCAGAGACGAGCCCCCGGGGGTAAGGACAGAGCATTGGCAGAGTCTACACTCCCTTTTCTGCACCCACACTGCATGCCTGTGAAGCCCTATGGGTGCCTCTGTGCTTCCTCTTCCCTGACTGCAGTGAATCATCCCCTTCTGCTTCTGTCCTGTGACCATTCCTCCAGCTCCTTTGATCTCATGTGTTGAAGTTAGTTGCAGGAGAATGTAGGCCCGTGAGTTTTTGTTGACGTTCCTTCTCAGATGCAATGTCTTCTCACTCTACCCACTTCTCCCCATGACTCTCAGTACAAGAAGAATTCCTATGGCGTCCACCCGTACTACATGGGCCTGGAGGAGGACGGCAGTGCCCACGGAGTGCTCCTGCTCAACAGCAATGCCATGGGTAGGCACACGCCTGTGGCCCCTCTTCCTTAATATGAATTGTTCTCTAGTTCTATCAGGTTGTCTGTGACCCAGCAGCCCATTATGAATATTATCATTGTTACAGTCTTTTTATTTTCTTACTTCTGTGAATTTTACTCTAATAACATGTGGTTAAAAGATATAATTAAAATATTAATTTTGCAAATAATTACCATTAAGTGATCACAAAACCAAGTGGTGCCTGGGCATGGCCTAGTTATCTGAAATAATGTGAAGCTGTGAGTTAGAGAACTCCTACTGAAGCACAAAAGTACTAGGAAGAGTTGTCTAGATAATAGTCTGATAATTCATGGAATAATAACAAGTTGTCAATGGCAGTTTCCTCATTCTGGGACTATGCAACGTTTTGATGAAGTGTTTTTTATTGAACAAACTGTCAAGTATCCATGGATACCTATGTCATATGAGTTCAAGACTATTTTAATAAGCCTCAACACACTAAAATAGTAAAGCAAATCCACGGAGATTGTTCATGGATGAGAGCCTTGTAGAATTTCTTTTTTATTGATTTATTTTTTATTGTGAAAATACTGTACAGATGGGTTACAATTACATGGGCAAGATAATGAGTACATTTCTTATCAAGCATTGTTGCCTCCTCTATTGTTTCTCCTTCCCATACCTTGACATCCTCCCCTTGCTCCTCCCACACAATCCTCCCCGCCACCCCCACCTCCAAAGTTGTAAAGTTCATTTTTGACATAACGACTTGTACTTCTCATTGTTGCAATGGGTCCACCTGTATCCTTCTCTTATGTGAGTTGAATATAGAACATCTACTCAATACTTTACAGTAAAAGAGAAAGTATTGTATTGCGGTCTGTATGTCTTCTCATGCTGAAGCTTTGCAGGCAGCTCAGTTCACCTTTCCCTCTATTTTCAGATGTGACTTTCCAGCCCATGCCGGCCCTGACATACCGCACCACAGGAGGAGTCCTGGACTTTTATGTGTTCCTGGGACCAACTCCAGAGCTTGTCACGCAGCAGTACACTGAGGTAGGTGTGAATTCACTTGTCTGTCAAGTGCTCATGCAGCAAGTCCATGTTCCAAATCTTGTATTCATTTTTATATCTCTCACTGTGATCATCAGAATTTGGGCTTTTTCATTACAGGTATGTTATAAACTAGGGAGCAATAAATACCTTCTAATACCTGTTAAATTCATAACCTCTCATTATTGCAGAGTAATAGTTGAGGAGGTTAAGTCATGGTAGTGGTAATACTAATAGTAGGTGTAGTGATGATAATGATCATTATGGTGGATGATGGTGGTAATGTTGGTGATAGTGGAGAGGATAATAAGAATGATGATGGTAGTGGTTGTGATGACGGATGTGATGGTGGTGGGAATGTGTTTGAGAATGGTGATCGTGAAGGTGATGGTGCTGATGATGGCATTGATGCTTTTGATGATGTCAATAGTGAAGGTTTTGAGAATGCTAACGGTGGTTGTGATAAGTTGGTTGCAAAGCGGTTGACTTTACACTTCATGGTGGTGATGATGGTGATAGGAGTGGTCATGACAGAAGGTATGGTAGAAGGAAATCAATACAATGCGTGGTGTGTAACAGAAATAACAAACTTGTAATAATTATCGCATCTGGTATGTTAATGCATTCAGACCTCACGAAAACACTATGAGACAGACACTAAGATAATTTCCAATTCAAAGGAGAATGCAACACAATGAGATTACTCAAATAGCAAGGCATTCAATGTATGGGTTAACTTACAGAATTTGATCCCGTATTCTTGGTTCTTCACTAGTAAGTTAGATAGACTGCATCTATGAATGAAGAAAAAAAAAGTACTTCCCAGAATTCCTTCAGAATGAGCTCAGGCCTAATAGAAGGGTTTTCCCTAGGGAGTTGAGTACTATTATCCTTTTGTGAATTTGAATTTGTTAGTTTTCTAGCTTGGAACACTGCAATAAGCTTGTCCTTACTTCATAATTAACTTCAAAGTGTGACTTCTTGTTTAAAAAAACGAGTATTCACCAGCATTTGGTGTCATTTGCAGGTGATTGGCCGGCCTGTCATGGTGCCTTACTGGTCCCTGGGGTTCCAGCTGTGTCGCTATGGATACGAGAATGATGCTGAGATCTCCAGCTTGTATGATGAGATGGTGGCCGCACAGATCCCCTATGTATGTATACACCATGGATAACAGGCTACTCTGTGGTCTCGTACCTAATTCACCTGTCTCTGGGTCTCAGTTTTGGTCTGGAGTTTTGTGAGGTTCTACAAGTGTACCAAGTGCTAGGTGCTCAGGTCAGCATCTATGGGTGGGGCAGCAAGGCCTGCATGGGACTCTGAGGCACTCACTGACTACATACAAAAGCTAGGGATGAGTCTCAGGAAAAGCACACAGCAATACAACAAATTCTATCCACTTAGCACAAGAACAACCAATAATCAGATCTGCTCGCCTACCCACTTTAGTTTTTATTTCCTTCCAGTTTTTATTCAGTTGCTTATAATAGTATCTAAATTGCACACAACCATCCTATGCATACCTTTTCTAATGAGGAAACTGTGTCTGCTCACTACTGAGTCAGCACCTTCGACGGGAAGTACATGTGTTTGTGCTTCTTTGCTTTCTTTTTTTATTTTTATTTTTGGGTCCGGTCATGGGGCCTGAACTCTGGGCCTTGGCGCTGTCCCTCAGCTCTTCCGCTCAAGGCTAGTGTTCTACCACTTGAGCCACAGCACCACTTCCGGCTTTTTCTTTTTGCTTATGTGGTGCTGAGGAATCGAACCCAGGGCCTCATGCATGCAAGGCAAGCGCTCTACCACTGGGCCACCTTCCCAGCCCCAGTGCTGCTTTGCTTTCTCATAGACTTACTGTCTGTTGGGTAGTAGGACTGAGGAGGAAACAGTTTTCATGAACCATCGAAGCCAAGGGTGTCTTCATAGTGGAGACATCCAGACTGACTCCTTATGTTAGCAGTTTATAAAGCACTTTCTCACCCAGTGTTTTTGTTGATTTTCTTAATAACCCACCATCTAGGTCTTATCTTCCTATTTTTCTCCTGACTTAGATATTTTCCTTTATATTTTGTGAGTGAAAGTTGAACGACCATGTATATTCACCCGTATCTATAACTGAGAAATGACAGAGCTGGGAGCTGAGTCAGAAGGAGGCACGGGGGGTGGAGAGTGGTTCTCCTGGGAACCTGGCCTTGAGGCCCCAGCTATCACTCAGCCCCCTGTGTCCTCCCCAGGACGTGCAGTACTCGGACATCGACTACATGGAGCGGCAGCTGGACTTCACCCTCAGCCCCAAGTTCTCTGGGTTGCCCGCCCTGATCAACCGCATGAAGGCCGCTGGCATGCGGGTCATCCTCATTCTGGTCAGAGCTCGTGGGAATCTGTGGTCTGGGAGGATGAAGGGGAATGGGTGGGGAAGGCCCGCACTGTGTTTCCTTCCATGGTACACAAGGAAAGGTTGAAGTTCCATGGAAAAGGTATTTAGCAGCATCTCAGTCACTTAAAGTTCAAGTATAATGTAAGGAAGATGTTTGTGGAAGAGCTGTGTTGTGTCCCTGGCCATTCTCTGCATGTGTCTTTCTGTCTGATTTGTGCTTTGGTTTCAGGACCCAGCCATTTCTGGCAATGAGACAGAGCCCTATCCTGCCTTCACTCGTGGTGTGGAGGATGATGTCTTCATCAAGTTTCCCAATGATGGAGGAATTGTCTGGGGCAAGGTATGATCTAAGGACTGATCCCCTAACACCTCGCCTGGGGTGGGGACAATGTTAGTATATCTTTTCCTTATATATATTGTCCTTTTTCACTTGAGTTCTTATCTTAGATCAGTAGTTTTCATACTTCAATCACTATGTGTTGATCTAAAGGCTCTATGGAATCCACTTTCTTTTAGATCAACTGTACATACTAAACAAATTATATGGTCCCTAGGCCCATGGTTTGTGACTTCTTAGGGAATACTCTGTATAGGAAAATATCTGGTGCATTGCTGTTGAACTTGTTTCTGTACTTAGGTCTGGCCAGATTTCCCTAATATTGTGGTTAACAGTTCTCTGGACTGGGACAGCCAAGTGGAGGTAAGATGTTTTTGTGAATAATGACTGAAGTCAGTTACCAAGAAGGGACAGCCATGCCCAGAATCCTGTTCAATTTTGGCAAGTCAGTCTGTGTGGTAATGACTACATGCAGCAATGCTCTGCTTACAACTGAGACCTAAGTATTCTTGTCTTTGGCTGAGGCTCTGGGGACTTTTTACTCCTCCTTGATGTCAGCAATGCAACAGTGAATTCAAATCCAAGGCTGCCAGATTTCAAAGGCCATGATAACTTCAAGAAGTCTTACCTTTTCTCTAAATTATTCTTGTTCTTGTGGTTGTTGTGGTGGCCATGAATAACCCTTGAGGAGTATTACCTAATGTCTGCCTTAGTGATTGAGGTTTTTTTTTCTCTTTATTTCATTTATTTATTTATTTATTTGGTAGATTCTGGAGGCTGAACTCTGAGTCTGGGCACTGTCCCAAGCAATACAGCTCAAGGCTAGCTCCCTACCACTTGATCCACAGTGTCACTTCTGGCTTTATGCTGCTTAAGTGGTGCTGAGGAATCAAACTCTAGGTCTCATGTGTGCGAGGCAAGCACTCAACCACTGATCCTACTTCCCAGCCCATTCTTTACTTCTTAAACTTGTGGAGAAATATGTCCATGTCCACAATGATAAATTATGGTCCAAACTTTTATCTTAGGTTTCTAAATTTATTTTGGACACTTAATTTTGAGGTTTCTATTAAAATTTTGCTTGTAATAGACAGAGGTAGCTCAGGAATTTGGATCTCATTTTTCACTCATTATGATAGTTTGCTTGAATGAATATATGTCCAGGATAACTTTGGTCTTATCATTTGGCTCAGGTTTGGACCCAGTGAACTAATTCATTTGGACTTATTCAACGCATGTTTGCTTTGCTATCAAATGTTCTATGAGTACCTGTGAGCTAGGCTCTCAGGGCTGTGATAGGAATTCTTCTAGAGAGCAAGTACCTTGTCTTACCCTTAACTCTTCAACAATTACTCTTCATAGGCAGGATATTTGTCATAGCATAGGTTGCTTTGGTCACCTGGACAGGGAATCTAGGATATTAAACAAAACCTTATTTCAGAACACCTGCCACGTCCGAAGGGATGAAGCTGGTCTCTGTGTGTTCAGCACAGCAATATAAGTTGGTCTAGTTTGTGAAAGGCTACATTCTCTCAAGCCTGGTGTTCTCTCTGACATCCTATCTACCCTTGACACCAGTGTTTTTTAGCTCATTGATTCTCATAACACAGAGATCCACCCAGGAAAAGGCATTTACTGAATACACCAAGGACCATCACCTTCTACATGAAGAAACATGGAGTGGCAGAAAGGCTTTTTTATGTTTGCTGTTGTATGATGGTGTGAATGCATACCTGAACCTTTGTTTCTTATTATTACATTATTATTAATATGACCAAGTATATAACTAGTGTTCATTCTCATTAACTTATTAGTTAACAGACTCTAAAGTTAGCCTAGAGTGGATATGGAGATTAACGATACAGTCTTTATTAAGGTGGGTGCCAGTGGCTTGTGCCTATAGCTACTCAGAAGTCTGAGATTTTAGAATTGAAGTATGAACCCAGTTTGGGTAGATAAACTTGTGTGACTCTTGTCTCCAATTATCCAGCAAAAAACAAGAAGTGTAGGTCAATTGGTACATGGCAGCCATAAATGAAAAATCTGTGCAAGGGCTTGATGACTTCAGTTCAACTTTGACAAAGAAAATAGAGACTATAAATTAAAGTTCTTGTTCTCTAAACAGTTTCAATGTAGTGAAGGAATGAGACCTTGGATTCCATTTTGATGGTTAGATTTGACGTTTGTTTTATTATTTGAGGAAAGAAGGAAAAAAAGGGAGGCTGAAACTTTCTCCTTACACACAACTAGGGTTTCATGGGATCCTGAAATTAGCCAGAACTAAGGTCCCCAAAGAGAGCGATAGCCTCACCTGGGGCCTTACTGACACCTAGTTCCTAGAGGGGATAGCAACTGGATGATTCTTCCAAACTTGCACAGTGCATCTGAAGTCTGACCCTGCTAGCAGCAGTCTGTTCCTTGCTCCTTTGTTTCTGTAAAGTCCTTGGGAAGTGAGAGGTCATTTGAGGATCAAGTTTTAAGCCTAGGACTGTGAGTTCAGTGAATTGGTTATCACCATTCGTGTATGTATGGGGAGGAGAAAAAGTGTATATATGTTTTCCAATTGCATAAAGGATGTATAGTTTGTGCTTATCTCTCTTCTTTGTACTTCTTTTTTTGCAGAAATCTAAAAACTTTATATTATAAAGGAGCTATTCAGACTATCTCTCACACTCTCTACCCCCATGCTGTACAAGTATTAGCATGAATTAAAGATTTCAGTACTTGTCCTGTTTGCTGTCTTGTGTACTTGTTCTGGAACAAATGAATTGTGTTTTATTTTCATAGCAATACAGAGCTTATGTGGCCTTCCCAGACTTTTTCCGGAACTCGACTGCTCTGTGGTGGAAGAGGGAAATGGAAGAGGTCTACACCAATCCACAGAGTCCAGAGAAGAGCTTGAAGTTTGATGGCATGTGGATTGTGAGTACAGGGTGCTTGTCTGTGTACACACGGTTAGCTGTTGTGTGAACCTCAACTTGCGTACGATCACTGACCTTAGTCAAGACACTAACATTCCTTTAAGAAAGATTTTGGACATTTCAGACTGTACTTTTCCCAAATCAGCCCAGAGACCCTTTATACTGTGCACTTGTATAAGGCATAAATTTCTGCTGTGAAATACCTAGGGTGATTACTACTAATTTATTAGAACGCTGCTTGCACTGCAGGGAATCTTTTTATATAACACTCTTGGGCAGTCAGTAGGTAGAGATGAATTGCTATTTTTAGCTAATTTTTTTCCTTCATGTGATGAAACCCTCTGGCCAGCATCACCTGGAACTGTGAGATGGTGAAATTATTTATCCACTATTGAGTTGACATAGTGTTATTGTCTTTATAACTACACCATGTATATGTGTATATGTGTGTGTATGTGACATTTGTAGGATATGAATGAACCTTCGAGCTTCGTGAACGGGGCAGTTGCTCCTGGCTGCAGGGATACAACTCTGAACCGCCCTCCCTACATGCCACGTAAGGACCCGGGGCCTCCTTAATCAGCCAAGACATGGCTAGACAAATTCTGCCCAACCCCAACCTGCAGAGGTTTAGCCTGATCACTGAGGGCCAGTCCTTATAGAACTCTGGTTTAGTGGGGGCCAGTAAATAGCACAGACAGGGCTTTCTTGCATGGGATGTGTTCAGTTTATTAGAGAATTTCTGCAATTGGGCCAAGAAGCTCTTTATTATATGTAGTAGTTGTCCAAAGGGGTTTCAATTCCAGAGGTGCAATGCATCATGGTCAATGTCACCCTTCTGTAGTTCTCCCCTAGTTCTGTCCATACCATCTCTGGCCTCAAGTTGCAGTGTTCAGCTTTTACATAATGTATGAGGAATACAATGGCTGTATTTTCTGTATCTCTAAATGATTTTCATAGCTAGATTTCTTAGTTTCTCAGTAATGTATCCACAGGAATGTCTTTTGCCATCAGTGGGTATGATGAAACTGATTTCCTTTGTCATAAGACCTAAGGACTATGTAGTTACCTTTGTGCTTGTATGTCTCCATTTCAGTTATTTTCCTTGACTTGTGTAAAATTTCATGAACTTTGCATTGTTTCCAAATCTTAACTTTCTAAAATGTAAGATATAGATAACCCTTTATAATCTGTGGAGATTTTTATAAGAATTATAAAGGATAGAGGCTCATGCTACCTGGGGTACCTCATGTGAGTTATCCAAGAGGTTGAGATCTGAGGATAGTTGTTCAAATCCAACCTGGGCAGGAAACTACGGGAGACTCTTATCTCCAATAAACTACTCGAAAAGCCAGAATTTGTGCTGTTGCACAAGTGGTAGAGCACTAGCCTTAAGCAAAAGAAGCTGAGTGACAGCGCCCAGGCCCAGAATTCAAGCCCCAGGACCTGCCTTTCCTTTCCTCCCCAAAGGCCTGGATCAGGGCCTGCTGTGTAGTAAATGCATGAAAAGTCTCTGTCGTTTCTGACATCTGTACTTTTTCCAGTCATGTTGATATGGAAAATACGTGCAGAACTAGCGCAACTCACCAAGTGCACTGTTCTGTGACTGGTGAGGCGGAGAGGCCATTCAGAAGTGAATTTAGTCTTAAGGTCCAGAGTCAAATGCCATAAAAACATTTTCGTGTTTGAAGATATCAGCTCTGTGTTTCCTCCCCGTGCCCCTTAGATTTGGCAGGCAGGGACAGAGGCCTGAGCAGCAAGACACTGTGCATGGAGAGCGAGCAGATCCTCCCAGACGGCTCGCGGGTGCGGCACTACGACGTCCACAGCCTGTATGGCTGGTCCCAGACCAGACCCACCTACGAGTGAGTTGTGTCTCCCTTCTCCAGCTGGGTCCTGAGGATAGAAACAGTGATGGATACAGCTTCCCTACTTAACCTTTCAAACCCCATTATAAGCGCCCACCAGAGATGATTGCCATCAATGTGGTAATTTTTGTTCTTTCAATAAATAATACGTTACTGTGGAATGAGATGCTTGTGTTAAAAAGGCATGCTTGCATCAGTGAAGTACTGACAGTCCTGATGGTGGATTGATGTATGCACAGTGATACACCAATTATTATTTAATATACATGGTGTTCCATGTAGATATTAGTTAGTGTCATTATATTCAATGTGTTACTCACCTTAGTGTGAACACAGGAATGTGATGGGCTAGACAATAATGTTTCACTTCAATAGCTAATTATCTCTATTTATTTCATATTATAGGCTAGGTATTTTTTCCAGCTCAGTAATACCAATTGCCCTAAAGAAAAGATTAGAAGGAAATTTGCTTCATTCTGTGACTGACTGGTGGAATGCCATGGAGTTCTCAAAGACAGGATCGGGGAGGGGGTGGCTCAAGCTTCCAGTAGGAGAGACAGAATCCTTGAGTCCTGCATAAGAAACTAATTTTAGGACCTGTCAGGACTGCTTTACTTAAGTTCATTACATGTAGAAAAGTATACACGTAACTGGTAGAGTATGGTTGTGAAAAGACATTTTTCTAACTACAATGAGTCAGAGGTAGGCTTTGGGATTATACTTATTGATTCAAGTCTTTGTTGCTGTAATTTTTATTGGAGCCTTAGTTATTGAGTTCTTATTTCCCTTTTACCCCAAGAGTCTTACTTGAGGATGCTGTTGTTAGATTCTTATCTGAAAATTCCTGTCTTTAGACTGTGGGTCTTCAAACAGGAAAAGAGATTCAAACTACAGAGTGCACACTGCTCTCATGAACTGCTGCTGTGCAGGAACTAGCTGGATGTTGATAGTAACAATGCAGTAGGCTTTCTCTGGGGTATGGCATCCTAATAGGTCTGGGAACAGTTTACTAGTAGGTTTCTGTCTTGAGGAAAAAGTGTAGAGATGTGGGGGTTCGATTTCTCTGAAGTCTCTGGGGTCAGAGCTTTATGTTCAGTAAAAAGGATAGAAAGGTTAACTCTAACTCTTGCATTCCTTTCCACTTTCTATTGTGGAATCCCTCCATCAGCCAGTCTCATTTTCTAGATTGCCATGGAAGATGGAGTGTTGTGTCAATACACAGGATGGCTTTGTCTTTTACACCATGGCAGTGGTTTATTGCATGATGCACTTTTCATGAAACACTGAAATGGCAGTCTTCTCTGAATATCTCCTTCAACCAGAGGGAAATACATGCTCTCCATTCAGACAGCAGCATTGCTTTGATCCAAGTTCCCAGGACAGGAGTGAGGAAAGAGGATGCAGGTGCTCTGAAGCCTGCTCCGGCCTCAGTTCTCCCCCTGCTTCCTCCAACCAGGGCCATGCAGGAGGTGACAGGGCAGAGAAGCATCGTCATCACCCGCTCCACATTCCCTTCTTCTGGACGCTGGGCAGGACACTGGCTGGGAGACAACACAGCTGCCTGGGACCAGCTGAAGAAATCTATCATTGGTGTGTGGCTTTGCTCCCAGGGCTCTGCCCCTCCCCCCCAGGGCAGGGGTTAGGAGCCTGGTGAGGGAGGAGGAGGAGGAGGCAGGTCAGGAGAGCCTGGCCTGACCCAGCTGTGCTTCTCCTTGCAGGCATGATGGAGTTCAGCCTCTTTGGCATATCCTACGTAAGTGACCTTGGCTCCTCTTGATGGACACGGAGATGGCACATCTCTGAGAACTGTGCAGGAGGCTCGTTGTGTTGTGTCTTGTTTCAGACGGGGGCAGACATCTGTGGGTTCTTTCAAGATGCGGAGTATGAGATGTGTGCTCGCTGGATGCAGCTGGGGGCCTTCTACCCCTTTTCCAGGAACCACAACACCATCGGGACCAGGGTAGGAATCTGCTCCCCACTTTCATGATTAGGGTCACCTGTACATTCCCTAGACTTCTAGCTACAATTTATGCCCTTGGAAAACTTGTTGGAACTTTTTTAAATCAGCCAAGCTTTCCTCAATGAACCATGTTTCTCAGTGGTATAGGAATGATGGTTTTTGTTTAGATCAACGTAGCCTGAGTGGGGGGGGGGAAGTTTTAGGGGAAATTTCACCAGCTTTGTGCAGAGATCTTTGATGACATTTCCTAGGTTATTGCAATGCTCTCAGAAGGAGTAACATCCATTTCTCCATTTATCTGTAGCTAATCTGCAGGTAAACTTGGTCAGTGATTCATACCAAAGTAATCTATCTGTGACAACCTTTTGTCCCTTATCAGACTCCTTGGCTAAGTTCATTTTATATTTGCTTTGGTCTTTTTAAATGAATTATATTTTTGTTATAAGTAATTGTACACAGGAATTACCATTCAACAGGCTGGTTTGCAAGTACAATCCAGCTTGATCAATATCATTCCCTTTATCCCTTTTATTATTCTTTCCCACTGCCCCAAATTATCCTCTCCTCAATTTTCCTCCTTTCATAGACTAGGCTTTGAATCTTATATCTGCACTTTCTCCAAGACCCGCAGAGTCAGTTCTGAAAAGAGTTTCCCCCATTCTTTAGAGACAAGACCCTGTGTCCTGGGATGCTGCCTTTGTGGATCTTTCGAGGAGTGTCATAGAGACCAGATACACCCTGCTGCCATATCTCTACACGTTGATGCACAAGGCCAACACGGAGGGCGTCACTGTGGTGCGGCCTCTCCTCCATGAGTGAGTGTCTAGAGGGAATCCTGCTGAGCACTGGGCAATGCCTGTCATTCTGTAAGGTGGTATTTGTTGCAATCCATTTCTCAAATGAGGAAATGTGGTTTCTTTTTAATCCTTCAGGCAGAAACCATACTACATTTGGCATTAGTAGACTGAGGAATGGTCATGGATGAGAGGCTGTTTGTTGAGTATACAAATGTTGAAACTAAAGGAAAGCATACTTTCTTTCATATTTGGTCTTACAAAGACATCCCTAATGTTTATGGCAGCTGGTTTTGTGGGCCCAGGCCAAGTGTGCTCAGGTGATGGAAGAGCGCATTCCAGGGGAGACGAGAGGGCTGGGGGCCCCTTGCACTGACAATGTGCCATGCTGAGGAACTGTGGTGTTTCCCAGAAGGAAACATATCTACAGCATTGCTGAAATTTGGGGTCTGACCTGTGAATAGTGGAGATTATCTCTTCCTTATTAAAGTCAGTAATGTGTAAGATAGCAACTGGGTTTCTGACTTGGTATATTCTTGAATTGTTCTCAGGGCCTTGGGCAGTGCTCTTCCGGGGCTCTGACTGTGACACTTCGTTTCCTTTTCCAGGTTTCTGTCTGACCGGGAGACCTGGGCTATTGACAGTCAGTTCCTGCTGGGCGCAGCCTTCCTGGTCAGCCCTGTCCTGGAGCCTGTGAGTGTGGAGGCCTGGGATGGGTGGAGGCTCCCAGCTGTGAGGCTGGGTGACAAGGGGAGGAGAGGCTGTCCTTTGTGTTGCGTGACCCTGAGACACAATTTCTTGTTGTGTCTCTTTTCTTTATCTCTCTTCTTTCTTTTGGAGCAGCAGAAATTATTCTGAGATGATTTTTTTAAGTTGGCATAATGGTTAGATTCACAGAAGGACTAATATGACCTTATATGTTCGAAACTGTTTCTAGATATTACAAATGGGAGGAACAGAGTCAGGTGGGGGCAATAGGATATGAATTATTTACACGGCAGTGTCACAGTTAACGACAAGCTGAAAGCTCCTGGGAGAACATCTGTCAAGGATGGTGTCATATGGGCTTTGGCCATCCCTCCTTTCCTTCTGTGATAGGGCTAGCAAGCGGGAAAAAAGCCATTTCTTTTCTTTGTCTGTGATCAGTTAGTCTTCTGATTAACGTATCTGAATACTTGGAATACTTCCTGAAAATTTTCCTTTAATTCAGACTCAACTTGTCCTTTTAGAGAGAGGATGAGTAATTCTGAAAGGAAATGGTGATTTCCCCCCACCCCTACACCCTGTAATCCAAAGGGCTTTATTAAACCATCTTGTGTTGGGCAGCTGATTGCATGTTTGACATGGGGGAAGGGAAGGAGGCTTCCCCAACCTTCCTGATCTCAGGAGACCTGCGGCCCTGGGTCCACCTCCTTCACTGCTCTGGAGGCCCTTCTGTATGCAGATTGCTTGATCTGTCCTTGGCAACATCGCCCTAGCCCAGCTTATATTTGTGTTTCATTTCAGAATGCCAGAAATGTGACAGCTTATTTCCCTAATGCCCACTGGTATGATTTCTACACGGTAAGCTTTGGTAAATTTTATAAATCCTGGAGAAATAGTCTATTATAAGGTCTGGATCTCAAATCCGAAATGCTCTCATTACGTTTTGGACAAATCCTTTCCATAGAGTATCTTAATTTTTCTCATCTTAATAAAGAAATGCCTTCAAGTGAAATCTAAAGAATCTTACCATGTGCCTGACTTCTAAGTGAGTATGTGTGTGTGTGTGTGTGTATTTATTTTCTCCATGTGTTGTCAGTATGTAAAAATGTTAACACAGATAATCCAGATCTTAGTAAGTTGTGGTAGAAACTAGAATGTTTTGTACAGTATTGCAGTTGGACTCTGTTCTGTCATTACTCATATCAGTGGCTTAGGTGGTGCTTTCCTATTGAGCCATTTTGCAGTTGTACATTATACTGGTCTTTAGAGATGGAGTGTCACAGACTTATTTTGTGTAGACTTCCATTGAACAGTGATCTTTGCCACACAGCATCCTGAATAGCTAGGATTAGAGGCATGAGCCAAGGGCCTGACAAAACCATCAAAAATTATAAGTGCTTGACTGTCCTAAGTGGTTAAATATGGAGGCCTGTCATTGACTAAAATATAAACCATTGTAGCATTGCTGCCCAAAGACTTTCTATGTTAAGATGTTCTATGTTGAAGAGCATAAGGCAGCATATAAAGCTTGGATTCACACACCTGAACATAGCATGAGCATTTGAAATGAGAAATCCGCATGAGCTCTCCGTTGTGTGCTTGAAGCAGTGGGAGCCCTGAAGACACTCTGGGGGAACAGGGTCCTAGGAATCCACTCAGGATGGTCTCTCGAGGAACAGGTGGAACAGTTTTCAGAAATAACCCAAAGGACTATATAAGCAGAGCCCTATACTGCCTTTGGAGGAGACAAGATCAGCAAATAGGAAATACAGCAGGAAGACAAGGATGACAGACTGTGCTCATGACGCTCATCTAAGCTGATTTGCAGTGCGTTGGGAGAGACGAAGGAAGAACATTTGCTTCTGTTCTCTGCTGTGGGTGTCCTCCCCACAGCCCTCCTTCTCATTGTGGGTCTCCTTAGGGAGGCATGCTAAGGTTTCACAGCTAGCCTCAAGGCTCCTAGGCCAGAGAAAGTTTCTTCAGTGTCCCTCCCAGGTATTTCACAGGACACTTACAAGCCAAATGCTGTTTTGCACCCAGAGGCCTAAAAATGCAAGGTTGTAGTCCCAGGTGTGTGCTGGACATGAGGGACAGGCAGCAAGGTCAGAGAGCAGCTGAGATGTCAGGTACCTGCGCTGCTCAGGTTAGGTCTGTCACCTCTCACTCACCATCCCTTCCTCCTCCGGCACACAGGGTGCACAAATCAATGCAAGCAGAGAGTGGAAGGTCCTGCCAGCACCTCTGGACCACATCAATCTTCATGTGCGTGGGGGCCACATCCTGCCCTGGCAGGAGCCTGCACTGAACACCCACCTCAGGTGAGTGGAGTTACCGCGCTCTACTTTGCATGCTGGTTGCTCACTTATTTTCAGGGAGAGACCTCAATTCAATCGACTCTGCTCTCAAGGCCCAAAGCCATATTATTGAACACAGGATCATTTGTTTGTTTTGTTTTAGTCTTCTTTCATCTTTGTATCTGAACAATTGCCATGTATTTTAGATGTGAATTTAATGATTGATCTAAGAAGTGTCATTTGAATCAAAATTCAACAGACAGGCGCTCATGATCAGGGTGCTTCAGAAGTCTATCTGAATCATAGTTGTTCCCAAAACATACAATCAAACCATTGTTTATGCTATATGGTGGTTTTCATCTTGCATTGATAATCCTCTTATAAAAGATGAGAAATGACTGACCTAGGCCTATATAATAATTAGCAATTACTGAGATCAAATGAATGCTTGTTCTGTGTCTGAATTTTGCCAGTAATGGCCATTTTATCTGGAGACTTTTTTCTTTCATAACAACAAAAAACATTTGCTTCAGAATCTGTAATGTCTCCATGTCAAAGATGAGCAAATAAAGGCTCTGCAAGGCTTAGTGACTTACTGTTCTATGGCTATAGGAAGATGAACATATCTAGGTTCCATGTCTGACTGATACCATTCCTTATAATGTAGACCCTCAGTTACTTGACTTCAGAGCGTCTGATGAAAAGTGAGGAACTAAAGATCTTTGCAAATAGAACTCTATTGTATGCATGAAGTCTTTCCTCTCTCCAGTCATCTGCTGCTGATGACTTAGGCAGCGTCTGTAGCTGGATATGTGAATAGTACTGGCCTACCCGCGGCTGTGCTGCTGCCTCTATAGTCAGCTGACCTGTGCTTTCAGGTGTGCACCCAGACCAGGCATGGCTCAATCCAGTTGGATTTCATTCATTTTGATTTTTGTTCATTTTATTTTTTGTAAAGGAGTGAACCCTGGTGCATTTTCAGTGATCCAAGTTACACTCCAATTCCCTCTAAAAAAGTCTCCACTCTTCATGTAGCGGGAATGCTGCCGTTTCTTTGTTCTGGTTATTTAAATTATATTCATTCATTTTCTCGATACTTCAATTTCTCTTCTTAATTTTGTAAATATTTCAGTTATAGTTGTTAGACGCTATGCTTGCAAATGTCACCTGTGATCCTTTGGGAAACATAAATCTGTAGTGACATTTTTGTGTGACTTTCCTTCATCTTATCTTATTATCTGGAATAATCAATGAAATTTTGTTTCCAATATGATGTTAAGGACTTAAATGTGGGTCTTCTTCCTTTAGTGATGACCTGTTTGAGTCGTGTCTTATACTTTCTATTCCCAATTATAATGTCAGTTATTAGGATGTGCTGTCTTCCCATCAAAACCAAATAGGCAATCACATAAAGGAAATTACTATGATATAGATTTGTATAAATGTGTTGCAGTCTAAGTGAATTTGTTCCTGGGATCAGTTGCTACTTCTGTGGTCGTCATCCCTAAAAGAAGCTGGCTGGGCCATTATTGCTTAGGATTTCCATATGCTCTCGTAGTCCATGTCCTAGATCAGTGGTAGGAATCTGTGACCCACAGAGTCATATGGAACATCATGGGACAGGCACATTTGCCCTTTATCTGTTTCTCATCAGGGGCTCATGGCCATTTATCTATATTAATAATTTTGTATCATCTGATAGTGATTTCATAAATATTTAAATGACTTTTGACATTTAAACATGTGTATGTTTGTAGCCATAGCTTTTACTGTAACTACTGTGGTGATTCTTTCTTTGGGGGGGGGTGTTAATATTTTGATATTGATTTTTACTGTCGTGATTTGATGCTCATGTTCTTGCTGCCTGTGTGGATGCTCATTGTCACATATTAGATTGTTTTCTGTCCTGTGACATTATTCAGTAAGAGACACTGGTCTTTGTCCCTAAAGTAAAGCGGTACCATCTGCTGGTGCTATCTTTTCCCAAATGAAATTTGAAGGAAACCTAAGGCAGTGTTTTTTGCTGCCATCTTTGTGTCTCTCACGTGAATCTTGTCTCCTGCAGCCGCCAGAACCCTCTTGGTCTTATCATTGCCCTGGATGAGAACAATGAAGCCAGAGGTGAACTTTTCTGGGATGATGGGCAGTCAAAGGGTGAGTGTTGTTATGGGCACCTTGCCTATTTCAAACCTGCATCTTTGGCCCTTCCTTCCTGCTGGCTAATCAGCCATTAGAGAAATCTCTGCAGATGCAGTGGTCAATTCTTGATGGAAGAGTTTGGTCTCTAGTTGTAGTGTTGAAGAAGTAATAGATGAACTTAGAATTCTGCGCCAACTGGGATCTCTCATAGGCACTCCATTCACTGTCCCGTAAATATCTTCCCCAGGAAAGCTAGGAGCAAATGGGCAGCATATGATGGCATCGGAAGCATCCCCATTTCAGTGAGCAGTGAGGATGCACATTCCTCCTGGTGTGCATCTGGCCATGGCTCTGCCCATGTTCTTGCCCTGTCACAGTAACAGTTCCTGTGGCTCTACCTTGGTTGGCAGTCGAATCCCACAGGACATAGTCTTGAAAGTATTTCAAGTACATACTGATGGGAGAAGGGAAATGGTAGATTCTCCTTGGTATTCTTTCTATAATGATACTTATTTCAAGATGGGAATTTCTTAAAAGCTTATTATTTTATTTTAAAATTTTTAATTGACATAAATTGAAGATAGTCAAGGGGAACAACCTATACACATACATTGTATTATGATTTCTCATCATCAAAGTAGTTAACATATACACTTATTAACATCTCTCTATGTCTCCCAACCCCTTTTGCCCCAGGCCACTATTGTTCTATCCTCTTAACTATGTAAGTTGAATTATTTTAGGTTGTGTTATAAACGAGATCATAAGGTACATATTTCAATGTCTCTCTTATTTCCCTTGTAGAACATGTTCGAGTTTTATCGATGTGTAAATAATCTAAGGGTTTTCCAACTCAGGTGCATGCCCGGTGTGTGTGTGTGTGTGTGTGTGTGTGTGTGTGTGTGTGTGTGTGTGTGTGTGTGTGTGTGTGTGTGTGTGCACTTGTACTAGGTCTTCAACTCAGGTATGGGAGCTGTCCTTTGCCTTTCTTTGAAAATGTTATTGTAAAGGTGATGTATGGAGGGGTCACAGTTACAGAAGTCAGTACTGAGTACATTTCTTTTTTAACTGTACATAAGTCAGTATTGAGTACATTTCTTTTTTAACCACCCCGTACCTCATTTTCTTTCAATGTTTTTCCTCTCCACCTTCCTTCCCTCAAGTTGTCCAGTTCATTTCCAACATAGTGTCTAGTGAGTATCATTCCTGAATTGGTTCTCCCTTTTCCCCACCTTTTCTGTGCTTCCTGTTTGCCTCCAAATCAGGTAAATTGATATATAAGACAAAGGCACAGAAATAAAAACAGAAACAATAGGAAATAAACCAAAGCAAAATGAAAAGAAAGAACTGACAATGGTCCAATTTTAAATACCTCTTGTTTCTACTTCTTGGAGTTCATTTCCACAATCATCATTTTATAAGGTCATATGCACAGAGCAATTGACCCTCTGCTAACAATATCCTCCTTTGTTCTCTTTATGTGACTACTGTTCAATTAATCCTATCCATGTGTAATTATTTGTCTTTTGCTATCCATTTGGTTTACTTGTAGATTTATGAGCTCATTCTAATTATTACAAATTAGGGCAACCATGCAGCCTATATTTCTTTGGATCTGGCTTTCTCAGCTTAGTATAACTTTTTCCAAGTCTTTCAGGTTCTTTATCAATGGGGTAATGTCATTCTTTCTGATGTAAACATAGATTTCTAGTGTTTATACATACCATATTTTCCTGATCCATTCAACAACTGAGGAGCTTCTGGGTTAGTGCTCTGCCACTTGAGCCACAGCTCCACTTTTGGCTTTTTCTGGTTAATTGGAGCTAAGAGTCTTATGCACTTTCCTGTTTCAATTGGCTGTGAAGTTCAATATTCAGATCGCAGCCTCCTGAGTAGCTAGGATTACAGGAGTGAGACATTTGTGCCTGGCTAGGATTTCTACCTTTATTATGGACAAAATATTCCATCGAGTACTTGTGCGGCACATTCCTTATCCATTGATACTTCGGATTCTCTATCTTTATATTCTTATAAGAAATACTACAGATGTTGGAGTAAGGGCTGATAACAAACCTCCTAGAAGAATATGTAGAGCAACAGTTCTTTGACGTTGGCCCTGCTTGTAATTTTTTATCTTGGATTTGACACAAAAAGTAGTTAACAATGGGGCTTGGAAGGTGGCTCAGTGGTAGAGTGTTTGCCTTGCATGCATGAGGCCCTTGGTTCAATTCCTCAGCACCACATTAAGCAAAAAAGCCAGAAGTGGTACTGTGGCCCAAGTTTTAGAGTGCTAGCCTTGAACTGAAGAGCTGAAGGACAATGCCCAGGTCCAGAGTTTAGGCCCTAGGACTGACCAAAAACCAACAAATAAAAACAAACGAATTAACAAATGTAAAAATTCATAAACTAGCACTTGTCAAATTAGAAATTTTCTGCACATCATAATATATTCAGTGAAGTATTGTGTTAACCATAGCATGGGATAAAATATGTATAAATTACATACCTAATAGGAGACTTATTAAAAATTTATAAAGAGCTTTTGCAACTCTATATTGTGTGACTATATAATCTGGTTTAAAATTAGGCAAAAGGTGTAAATATGCTTTTTCCAAAGACAAAATAAAACTTTCTATTGGGTATATGAAAATGTCTGGGACACCACAAATCAGCAGAATTATGCAAATTTAAAAAATTACAATAGCATGTCACATCACATCCATTAGGATGGTTGGTATCGACAGGCAGGAGGCAGCAAAGGAGGGAGAGGGTCTGGAGTGAAGGGAACTACATTCAGATGCTGTGGTAGGTGGTAAATTGGCACAGCCACTGTAGAAAACGGTGCAGAACTTTCCTGAAATACTGAAATAATCTGTGTGTATCCAATGCAACAACACACCCTATAAATCTCCAATCTCCTGATCTTTGGAGCATTTTTCAAATAACAGCACATGTTAGTGCCAACTGGCAGATGAGGGAACAAAGAAGTGGATGTAGAAAGATCCAATCGAATAATTCTCAATCATTTAAAAGGAAGGATATTCTGCTACTTGTAACATCAAGTAGCTCTAAGGAAAGGCAGGTGAAACTCAGCTTCCTATGTTGGCAGGCCAGTCTGACTTGTCTTTTTATTATTTTCAGATACTGTGACCAATGATGTTTACATTTCATGTGAGTTTACGGCCAGCCAGGTGAGTAGCCCATTTTCAGGAACCTTGGGTGTTAGGATTTAGCACTTCCTGTAATTATGTTTCTAATTTCATTTGCATAAATGACTATAGGTAAGTATATTTCCATTTATGATTTAATTTTCAATAATTTTCTTATCTCTGTTACCCAAAGGAGGCAATAATATGGACAAATAAAAACAGATGATGTGTGATTCAGTTCTGTTTGCTATTTTTAATTTATTTTCCTTAGAGGTTTATTAAAATAAGTTCCCTGTCACTGTGCACACATTGGTAGAGAGTTCAGGAGCATCAGAGCCTGAGGAGTATGTGGTCTCTGGTGAAGTGTTAGAGAGACAAGAGAATATGAATACTGGAGATCCAATTTCATGCCTAATTATGCTTCACTGTTTTGCAGACCCACCTGGATGTGACTATTTCCAAAGCAACCTACAAAGACCCCAATAACTTAGCATTCCAGCAGATTAAAATCTTTGGGACTCAGGCACTGAGCAACATCACAGTGAAACAGAATGGTGTCCTTGCTCCAATGTCTCCTAAAGCCACTTATGATCCTAACCTGAGGGTAAGACTCATGTGGTTGGGTAGAGTTTCAAGAATTCTCCCAGGCATCCTGTGTCCTCTGGAGAGTGCTGTTTAAAGAAGAGTCATAGAGTGTAATAGTGGTGGCATGTATCTGTGATGCCACCTAGTGGGGTGGTGAAGGAAGAGGCATGGAGAGTGGAGAGCATGTAGGGCAAAATTCATGAGGCCATATTTGAAGAACAATTAAAAGGAAAAACAGAAAGGAAATTCAACAATGCTTGATAAGTAATGTACTCATTACTTGGCCCATGTAAGTGTAACCCCTCTGCACGGTATTTTCACAATGAAAAAAAGAAAAACAAGGGGAAAAAAGGAAATTCTGCTGCTTGTGACATCAAAGTACCTTTGGCATAGACCACATGTTTATATAGCACAAGCACAAGGCCCTGAATTCATTTCCTATCACCTCAATAAAGAGAGAAAAAGATAGAAGGTAAAAAATATCGAAGCTATTTAAACAAATATGTGGATTTAATTAAAAATGTTTTCCCATTTTATACAATAGTGGGAGACTGAGTAATGAGACAGATGTTAGAAATTGCAGGAAATATAAAGATTTTTTTTCAAATTCAACGTTTTTGCAGTTTATGAATCTGAAATCTGAATTATTCATATAACTTGTTTAAATACACTATAAAAAAGAGAAATAGGAAGGCAATTGGAACAAGACTATATAATTCTTCTGGCTGTCTTTCTACCATTTCAGATGATTGGGGAACACTGATTGGTGGAGAAAGGGACAAGAGTAGTAGAAACATGTAGGGAAAAAGAACAGAGTCAATCTGAAAAATATAAAGAACCAGGAGAAAAGTCAGGAAGGTAGACAAAGGGACAATTAAAAAGTTTATTTGGACTTTCTACGTGCACAATGTAATGTACAATGTGTGGAGTACTGATATTACCCTGTTGCTACCCCATACTGAATAGTCGCCCTGTATTGACTGACCACTCTGCCTGAATGTTTTAGAATATTTCCTGCACATTGTTGAGTGTCTGGTCTCATTGTAAGGACTCACATCCTGGAAGGCCTGTGTCCCATGTACATATTTCCCTGTGGCTTCTCCATTTGCACAGGTCGCTGTGATCACAGGCATCCGTCTGGTCCTGGGAGAAGCATACACAGTACAGTGGGACATCGGCATAAAGGACCAGGAGAAGATAGACTGTTATCCCGATGAGCATGGAGCTACTGAGGCCAGCTGCATGGCCCGCGGCTGCGTCTGGGAGGTAACTGCACTGACAACATGAACTTTCCCTGACAGCTCTGCACCTCACCTGTAACGCATGAGCAAATACCAGTACCTCAGTATCCACTTAGAATCCATGTGAAGAAAGGACTCCCCAAGACACCTCATCCAGATGTGAAGACAGGAAGAAAAAAGAGTGGGACATTTTAAATAAACATTTCCTTAATATAGAACTTTAAATTCTGGGCACTATCTAATGGAAACAAGGTCCAGGAATGATGGGAAGGCCTTTCCTAGCGCTTGCTACTTGATACCTCTAGGCCCACATGCTGATGCACACTCTTGACTTTCCTTCTCAGGCATCCAGTATCCCTGGGGTCCCACACTGCTACTTTGTGAACGATCTGTATTCAGTCAGCAATGTGCAGTATAACTCCCATGGGGCCACAGCTGACATCTCCTTGAAGTCTTCTCCTTATGTCACTGCCTTCCCCTCCACACCTGTGAGCCCCCTGCGCCTGCTCGTGACCTACCACAAGAATGAAATGCTGCAGTTCAAGGTAAGTATAGTTACATGTGAGAGAACACCCAACGGTCTTCCTTTCCCGTCTCTATGTAGTCAGTGATTTGTCATCCTAATACAAGCTAACTCTGTAAAGTTCCATGCTACAAAAGAGCCAGCCATTCTGTTAATGTGAAGAGCAATGAGAAGCCCTTGGAAGAGCAGCTCCCATTTCCTAATGTGAATTAAGAATAGGATACTCTTATGAAATCAGATATCAAAGAAGTGGGGAGAGAAGGAGGTAGGCTACTGGGTAGGTTGATAGAGTGAAGGATAGAGGTCATGTAGGTATAGGAAAGGAGGTGCAGAAGAATGGACTTGTTTTGGACTGAGAAGATCTGGAGACTAATCACATAGGATAAGAAGGAAAATTAAATGCGAAGGCTGTTTGTCTCTGTTTCTCATCTGTGTGAATGGTGGTGACATCAACTAAGTGGAGGAACTGGATAGTATGCGATGGGAATTCATGGAACTTATCAGTTGGGTAAACAGGGTCTGGATTGGAGTTTTCCTTGACATTCCACTCAAGCGCAGTGCTGTTTACCCTCCCATGGTGTCATTACCCTTAGCACCAGGACTGAGCTAGCTTTGTTGTGACAGTTTCTCTGTTATTCTCCAGAACAAGGGATTTGTCCACTTCTTGTGTTTCTCACTTAACACCATGTCAGTAGACAGTTCACCCTGCAATGTTTGCTGGGAGAATAAATGAAAGAGTATAACAGTATAAAGTTGCCTAAAAGATTCTTAACAATTACATCTAGGAGGATGCTGAGTTCTTTTCCATCTTTCAATGCTATGCTTTTATTTGGTGTCCTCAACTTAGCAGGTAGGATATACCTAATACATGGAATGAATTAAGTTACTTAGATTTCCAGCCTTAAGTCCTGTGTACTCACCAGTTAACCACACAACTATATACATACATACATACATACATATATACATACAGGCATACATGCATGCATACTTACATTTGTACCTTTCTCAACCCTCTTAAGCACTGTACATCATTGCATTGATAAATGCATTGCTAGAATGACTTGATATCTGTGCTTTGTTAATGACTACATAGCTCTTTATGCTAAGATTCTATTTCTCCCTTGCAATTAATTTTCTCTCAGATATAGTGGCTGATATCACCTTTCCTATAATCTTACAGTACTTCTTTGTAGTTGACCATTAATCCACCTTACTGAAGGGATGTAAACATATTTCATTCTCTGGAGGGAATGAATAACCTTGGTCTACTATGTTTACACCAGTAGCACCTAATCCAGCACCAGAAAGGGATATAGGGAATACATTTATATGTTCTTTTTCAGCATAGACAACTATGATGAACTTAATTATAAAACCTTCATGTTTATGATTTTTTTCCAATTCTGTAAAAGCTTCACAGACACTCATATGCACACATATGGAATAATAAGGAATACATTGATAACTGCCCTACTGGCTTTTGAATGCCTTTCATGCAAGTACCAAAGTCAAAGTACCTGTATTATTGTAATAAGGCTCTTCACATATGAGATCTGACAGGTTCAATTCAAAGTTTTGGATTTAAAGTTGTTCTTTAAGAGCTTAAGGAAAGATATAACGTCTCTGTTTGCTCCAATGCTGACAAAGCTCTGCTATGATATACATTTAAAGATCTAATTTTGCCTAAAATTTTGATTTCACAGATAACACTCATGCTTCTTTTTGGTTTGTATTGCATTGTTTTAGCACACTTAGATATTGTGAATTGGACAACTTGTTGTTCAATTTTCCCATCAGCTCAAATAGCTATGCTTTCTTGTGATTAAAAATATTGTAATTCATATTTCATGGCTATTTTGAGTTAGATGATACAATATTATTACGTATGATTTCCCTATGTCTGACACAACAGCAGAATGTATGTACCCTCTCTGCATGATCTGCTAAAATCACTTTCCTCTGACTTAGATTTATGATCCCAGCAACAGCCGTTATGAAGTCCCAGTCCCTCTGAACATTCCCAGCACTCCATCCAGCTCTTCTGAGGCCCGACTCTATGAGGTTCTCATTAAGGAAAATCCATTTGGGATTGAAATTCGCCGCAAGAGTACAGGCACTGTCATGTAAGTGGCCCTGGTTGGATTGGGGACTGAAGGTTACATGGACATCTCTACCAGGGCCTCAGTGGTTGCATATGCTCTGTCTGAGAGATTACTCCTGTGCCTTCCAGACCCACTGCTAAGCTATGTCCTTTAGGTGTGTTTTTGGGCAATCTTTGTATTTAGAACCTACTGAGGCAGTTTCTGGTAACTAGGAATTCCTTCAACAAATATTTATGGATGCCTTCTGTTGATTGGGTGCTATTTAGGGTACTGTGGTTATACTCAGAAGAGATGTCTCTCCTCATGAAAAAGGTAGTTTAAATTATATTAAAGAAGCAAAGATGTTAAGGTGATATGTATTATTAGGGGAAAGAGTAGAGTAAGAGTTTCTGTGTGTGTGTGTGTGTGTGTGTGTGTGTGTGTATGTGTGTGTGTGTGTGTGTGTGTGTGTGTGTGTGTGTGTGCATGTGGGTGTGTCTTTGGGGAACTGTTTTAACACTGTGATGGAAAAAGAATATCTGAGAATTGAACCTCCAGCCTAACTCTTGATTTTGTCTTCATTAGGAGAAACAATTTATATATTTATATGCATATATATGCATATATATGTATATCCCTGTGTGTGAGTGTGGGGGGATATTAGAGAGGGAGGGGGGAAAGAGACAGAGAGACAGATTGAGATTTATGGACACCTTTAGTCATAACTGTGGAAGCAAAACAAGTCTCAGTTTGTCCCTGCAGAGTCACAACTTACAGAAAAGATGACACCAAAGCCAAGAAGTATGCATGTGTCTCCTGGGGGTTGGCCCATCTCACTCCCACATGCAATTTGCTGGAGGAAACTCATCCATAGGGCCCAACTTACATAAGAATGAGAGAACATGGATTAGAACTTGGATGAAAAGTGGCCACCCATTTGAGCTTGTGGAGGTGGGGGAAGAGCATTGGTGATAGAATAAGCAAGTAATAAGTTAGTAAGCTATAGCAGGCAGAACCTGGCACTGTACTATTCCTTTGTGTGCAAAAAGGAGCTGGGGTATCAGCGAGTGGATGAGGGTGCAAAATAGGTATCAGTGAGGCCTCTCCTCAGTGACAGCCTTGCAGGCATTAAAAGCAGTTTCCATGAGAAGGCACTTAAAAAGGAAGAACAGGAAAAGAGAGGTGCCTTTAGACACCTCATTGTGGATCTATGGAGAAACTGGATTTGGGTTTCTGGGAGATGGGGAAGAATGTAGGGTGCATTGCTTGAGAAGTCAGCTGCCGGAAGGAATTCCCGGGGAGCTCACTTCCTTGTCCACCTTGGCCTTTGCCTTGCAGCTGGGACTCTCAGGTCCTGGGCTTCACCTTCAATGACATGTTCATCCGCATCTCCACCCGCCTCCCGTCCCAGTACATCTATGGCTTTGGGGAAACGGAGCACACGGCCTATAGGAGAGACTTGAACTGGCACACGTGGGGCATGTTCTCCAGAGACGAGCCCCCGGGGGTAAGGACAGAGCATTAGCAGAGTCTACACTCCCTTTTCTGCACCCACACTGCATGCCTGTGAAGCCCTATGGGTGCCTCTGTGCTTCCTCTTCCCTGACTGCAGTGAATCATCCCCTTCTGCTTCTGTCCTGTGACCATTCCTCCAGCTCCTTTGCTCTCATGTATTGAAGTTAGTTGCAGGAGAATGTAGGCCCGTGAGTTTTTTTGACGTTCCTTCTCAGATGCAATGTCTTCTCACTCTACCCACTTGTCCCCATGACTCTCAGTACAAGAAGAATTCCTATGGCGTCCACCCGTACTACATGGGCCTGGAGGAGGACGGCAGTGCCCACGGAGTGCTCCTGCTCAACAGCAATGCCATGGGTAGGCACACGCCTGTGGCCCCTCTTCCTTAATATGAATTGTTCTCTAGTTCTAAAAGGATGTCTGTGACCCAGCAGCCCATTATGAATATTATCATTGTTGCAGTCTTTTTATTTTCTTCCTTCTGTTAATTTTACTCTAATCACATGTGGTTAAAAGATACAATTAAAGTATTAATTTTGCAAATAATTACCATTAAGTGATCAGAAAACCAAGTGGTGCCTGGCCATGGCCTAGTGATCTGAAATAATTTGAAGCTGTGAGTTAGAAAGCTCCCACTGAAGCATGAAAGTGCTAAGAAGAGTTGTCTAGATAATAGTCTGATAATTCATAGAATAATAACAGTTTGTCAATGGCAGTTTCCTCATTCTGGGAATATGCAACGTTTTGATGCGTTTTTTATTGAACAAACTGTGTCAAGTATCCATAGATACCTATGTCATATGAGTTCAAGACGATTTTAATAAGCCTCAACACACTAAAATAATAAAGCAAAACCAAGGAGAGTGTTCATGGATGAGAACCTTGTAGAATTTCTTATTTATTTATTTATTATTGTGAAAATACTGTACAGATGGGTTACAATTATATAGGCAAGATAATGAGTACATTTCTTATCAAGCATTGTTGCCTCCTCTTTTGTTTCCCCTTCCCATCCTCCCCTGGCCCCTCCCACCCAATCCTCCCCGCTGCCCCCCCTCCAAAGTTGTAAAGTTTGTTTGTGACATAACCAATTGTACTTCTCATTGTTGCAACGGGTCCACCTGTATCCTTCTCTTACATGAGTTGAATATAGAACATCTACTCAATATTTTACAGTAAAAGAGAAAGTATTGTATTGAGGTCTGTATGTCTTCCCATGCTGAAGCTTTGCAGGCAGCCCAGTTCACCTTTCCCTCTATTTTCAGATGTGACTTTCCAGCCCATGCCGGCCCTGACATACCGCACCACAGGAGGAGTCCTGGACTTTTATGTGTTCTTGGGACCAACTCCAGAGCTTATCACGCAGCAGTACACTGAGGTAGGTGTGAATTCACTTGTCTGTCAAGTGGTCATGCAGCAAGTCCATGTTCCAAATCTTGTATTCAATTTTATACCTCTCACTGTGATCATTAGAATTTAGGCTTTTTCATAACAGGTATTTTATAAACTAGGGAGCAATAAATACCTTTTAATACCCCGTAAATTCATAATCTCTCATTATTGCAGAGTAAGAGTGGAGGAGGTTAAGTCATGGTAGTGGTAATACTAATAGTAGGTGTAGTGATGATAATAATCGTTATGCTGGATGATGGTGGTAATGTTGGTGATAGTGGAGAGGATAATAAGAATGATGATGGTAGTGGTAGTGATGATGGATGTGATGGTGGTGGGAATGTGTTTGAGAATGGTGATCGTGAAGGTGATGGTGCTGATGATGGCATTGATGCTGGTGATGATGTCAATAGTGAAGGTTTTGAGAATGCTAACAGTGGTTGTGATAAGTTGGTTGCAAAGCGGTTGACTTTACACTTCATGGTAATATGATGGTGATAGGAGTGGTCATGACAGAAGGTATGGTAGAAGGAAATCAATACAATGCGTGGTGTGTAACAGAAATAACAAACTTGTAATAATTATCGTATCCAGTATGTTAATGAATTCAGATCTCATGAAAACACTATGAGACAGACACTAAGACAATTTCCAATTCAAAGCAGAATACAACACAATGAGATTACTCAAATAGCAAGGCACCAAATGTATGGTTTAACTCACAAAATTTGATCCCGTATTCTTGGTTCTTCACTAGTAATTTAGATAGACTGCATCTAAGAATGAAGAAAAAAATAGTCCTTCCCAGAATTCCTACAGAATGAGCTCAGGCCTAATAGAAGGGTTTTCCCTAGGGAGTTGAGTACTATTATCCTTTTGTGAATTTGAATTTGTTAGTTTTCTAGCTTGGAACACTGCAATAAGCTTGTTCTTACTTCATAATTAACTTCAAAGTGTGAATTCTTGTTTAAAAAAACGAGTATTCACCAGCATTTGGTGTCATTTGCAGGTGATTGGCCGGCCTGTCATGGTGCCTTACTGGTCCCTGGGGTTCCAGCTGTGTCGCTATGGATACGAGAATGATGCTGAGATCTCCAGCTTGTATGATGAGATGGTGGCCGCACAGATCCCCTATGTATGTATACACCATGGATAACAGGCTACTCTGTGATCTCGTACCTAATACAACTGTCTCTGGGTCTCATTTTTGTTCCGGAGTATTGTGAGGTTCTACAAGTCTACCAAGTGCTTTTTCACATGATGACATCATCATGGAGACCCAGTGGGGGTGCTGCTTCATTATTGTAGCACTTGGAGACCTAAGATTCACAATGATGAGAAAGAGCTGGATCTAAGGGCTTTTCTATATTGTTGTGATTCTGACCTATATTTTAGAAAACTTGAAGACTTTTAGTCAAGAAGCACTTGATCCCATAAGAAGAAATGATTCTTCCAGCAGTACTTTTGCTTCATTAAAATTACATGACCCTAGATTCTCAAGTCCACTGTATGTATAGGTAGGTGCTCAGGTCATCATCGGTGGGCGTGGCAGCATGGTCTGCATGGGACTCTGAGGCACTGACTACATACCAGAGCTAGGGCTGAGTCTCAGGAAAAGCACACAGCGATACAACAAATTCTATCCACTTAGCACAAGAACAACCAATAATTAGATCTGCACGCCTATCCACTTTAGTTTTAATTTCCTTCCAGTTTTTATTCAGCTGCTTATAGTAGTAACTAAATAGCACACAACCATCCTATACATGTATTTTGTAGTTAGGAAACTGTGTCTGCTCACTACTGAGTCAGCACCCTCCATAGGAAGTACATGTGTTTGTTCTTCTTTGCTTTCTAATAGGCTTACTGTCTCTTGGGTCATAAGACTGAGGATGACACAGTTTTCATGAACCATGGAAGCCAAGGGTAGCTTCATAGTGGAGACATCCAGACTGACTCCTTATGTTAGCAGTTTATAAAGCACTTTCTCACCCAGTGTTTTTGTTGATTTTCTTAATACCCCACCATCTAGTTCTTATCTTCCGATTTTTCTCCTGACTTAGATATTTGTCTTTATATTTTGTGAGTGAAAGTTGAAGGACTATGTATATTCACCCGTATCTATAACTGAGAAATGACAGAGCTGGGAGCTGAGTCAGAAGGAGGCACGGGTGGTGGAGAGTGGTTCTCCTGGGAACCTGGCCTTGAGGCCCCAGCTATCACTCAGCCCCCTGTGTCCTCCCCAGGACGTGCAGTACTCGGACATCGACTACATGGAGCGGCAGCTGGACTTCACCCTCAGCCCCAAGTTCTCTGGGTTGCCCGCCCTGATCAACCGCATGAAAGCTGCTGGCATGCGGGTCATCCTCATTCTGGTCAGAGCTCGAGGGAATCTGTGGCCTCTGGGAGGATGAAGGGGAATGGGTGGGGAAGGCCCGCACTGTGTTTCCTTCCATGGTACACAAGGAAAGGTTGAAGTTCCATGGAAAAGGCATTTAGCAGCATCTCAGACACTTAAAGTTCAAGTATAATGTAAGGAAGATGTTTGTGGAAGAGCTGTGTTGTGTCCCTGGCCATTCTCTGCATGTGTCTTTCTGTCTGAGTTGTGCCTTGGTTTCAGGACCCAGCCATTTCTGGCAATGAGACAGAGCCCTATCCTGCCTTCACTCGTGGTGTGGAGGATGATGTCTTCATCAAGTTTCCCAATGATGGAGGAATTGTCTGGGGCAAGGTATGATCTAAGGACTGATCCACTAGCACCTCGCCTGGGGTGGGGACAATGTTAGTATATCTTTTCCTCATGTATATTGTCCTTTTTCACTTGAGTTCTTATCTTAGATCTGTAGTTTTCATACTTCAAACACTATGTGCTGATCTAAAGGCTCTGTGGAATCCACTTTGCTTTAGATCAACTGTACATACTAAACAAATTATATGGTGCCTAGGACTGTGGTTTGTGACTTCTTAGGGAATACTCTGTATAGGAAAATGTCTGGTGCATTGCTCTTGAACTTGTTTCTGTACTCAGGTCTGGCCAGATTTCCCTAATATTGTGGTTAACAGTTCTCTGGACTGGGACAGCCAAGTGGAGGTAAGATGTTTTTGTGAATAATGACTGAAGTCACAGTTACCAAGAAGGGAAGGCCATGCCCAGAATTCTGTACAATTTTGGCAAGTCAGTCTGTGTGGTAATGACTACATGCAGCAATGCTCTGCTTACAACTGAGACTTAGTATTCTTGTCTTTGGCTGAAGCTCTGGGGACTTTGTTTACTCCTCCCTGATGTCAGCAATGCAACAGTGAATTCAAATCCAAGGCTGCCAGATTTCAAAGGCCATGAGACTTTCAAGACTTTCTTTTCTCTAAATTATTACAGTTCTTGTGGTTGTTATGGTGGCCTTGAATAACCCTTGAGGAGTATTACCTAATGTTTGTCTTAGTGATTGTGGTTTATTTTTTCTCTTTATTTATTTATTTGGTCGGTCCTGGTGCCTGAACTCTGAGCCTGGGCGCTTTCCCTCAGCAATACAGCTCAAGGCTAGCACCCTACCACTTGATCCACAGTGCCACTTTTGGCTTTATTCTGCTTATGTGCTGCTGAGTAATCAAACCCAGGGCCTCATGTTTGCGAGGCAAGCACTCTACCACTGAGCCAACTTCCCAGCCCATTCTTTAATTCTTAAACTTTTGGAGAAATATGTCAATGTCCACAATGATAAATTATGGTCCCAACTTTTATCTTAGTTTTCTAAATTTATTTTGGCCACTTAGTTTTGAGGCTTCTATTAAAGTTTTGCTTGTATTAGACAGAGGTAGCTCAGGACTTTGGATCTCATTTTTCACCCATTATGATAGCTTGCTTGAATGAATATATGCTCCAGGATAACTTTGGACTTATTCAACGCATGTTTGCTTTGCTATCAAATGTTCTATGAGGACCTGTGAGCTAGGTTCTCAGGGTTGCCATAGGAATTCTTCTAGAGAGCAAGTACCTTGTCTTACCCTTAGTTCTTCAACAATTATTCTTCCTAGGCAGGATATTTGTCACAGCATAGGTTGCTTTGGTCACCTGGACAGGGAAGCTAGGATATTAAACAAAACCTTATTTCAGGATACCTGCCAAGTCTGAAGGGATGAAGCTGGTCTCTGTGTGCTCAGCACAGGAATATAAGTTGGTCTGGTTTGTGAAAGGCTACATTCTCTCAAGCCTGGTGTTCTCTCTGACATTCTATCTAACCTTTCCACTAGTGTTTTTTAGCTTTTTGAATTTCATAACACAGAGATCCACCCAGGAAAAGGCATTTACTGAACACACCAAGAACCATCATCTTCTACATGAAGAAACATGGAGTAGCAGAAAGGCTGTTTTATGTTTGCTGTTGTATGATGGTGTGAATGCATACCTGAACCTTTGTTTCTTATTATTACATTATTATTAATATGACCAAGTATATAACTAGTGTTCATTCTTATTAACTTATCAGTTACCAGGCTTTAAATTTAGCTTAGAATGGATATGGAGATAAATGATACAATCTTTATTAAGGTGGGTGCCAGTGGCTTGTGCCTATAGCTACTCAGGAGTCTGAGATTTTAGAATTGAAGTATGAACCCAGCTTGGGTAGACAAACTTGTGTGACTCTTGTCTCCAATTATCCAGCAAAAAACAAGAAGTGTAGGTCAATTGGTACATGGCAGCCATAAATGAAAAATCTGAGCAAGGGCTTGATGACTTCAGTTCAACTTTAACAAAGAAAATAGAGACTATAAATTAAAGTTCTTGTTCTCAAAAATGTTTTAATGTAGTGAACGAATGAGACTTTGGATTCTACTTTGATGGTAGGATTTGACGTTTATTTTATTATTTGAGGAAAGAGGAAGAGAAAGGAAGGCTGAAACTTTCTTTTTATGCACAACTAGGGTTTCATGGGATCCTGAAATTAGCCAGAACTGAGGTCCGCAAAGAGAGCCATATCCTCAACTGGGGCCTTACTGACACCTAGTTCCTAGAGGGGATAGCAACTGGATGATTCTTCCAAACTTGCACAGTGCATCTGAAGTCCTACCCTGCTAGCTGCAGTCTGTCCCTTGCTCCTTTGTTTCTGTAAAATCCTTGGGAAGTGAGAGGTCAGTTGAGGATCAAGCTTTAAGGCTAGGACTGTGAGTTCAGTGAATTGGTTATCACCATTCGTGTATGTATGGGGAGGAGAAAAAGTGTGTATATGTTTTCCAAATGCATAAAGGATGTATAGTTTGTTATTTCTTTTCTTTGTACTTCTTTTTTCCAGTAATCAAAAACTTTATATTATAAAGGAGCCATTCAGCCTATCTCTCACACTGTCTACCCCCATGCTGTACAAGTATTAGCATGAGTTAAAGATTTCAGTACTTGTCCTGTTTTTTGTCTTGTGTACTTGTTCTGGAATAAATGAATTGTATTTTATTTTCATAGCAATACAGAGCTTATGTGGCCTTCCCAGACTTTTTCCGGAACTCGACTGCTCTGTGGTGGAAGAGGGAAATGGAAGAGGTCTACACCAATCCACAGAGTCCAGAGAAGAGCTTGAAGTTTGATGGCATGTGGATTGTGAGTACAGGGTGCTTATCTGTATACACACGGTTAGCTGTTGTGTGAACCTCGAATTGCATAGGGATCACTGACCTTAGTCAAGACACTAACATTCCTTCAAGAAAGATTTTGGACATCTCAGACTTTTCCCAAAATAGCCCAGAGACCCTTTATACTGTGCAGTTGTATAAGGCATAAATTTCTGCTGTGAAACACCTAGGGTGATTACTACTAATTTATTAGAACGTTGCTTGCACTGCAGGGAATCTTTGTATATAACACTCTTGGGCCGTCAGTAGGTAGAGGGGAATTGCTCTTTTTAGCTAATTTTTTTCCTTCATGTGATGATCTTCTCTGGCCAGCATCACCTGGAACTGTGAGATGGAGAAATTATTTATCCACTATTGAGTTGACATAGTGTTACTGTCTTTATTACTACACCAGTTATATGTGTATATGTGTGTGTGACATTTCTAGGATATGAATGAACCTTCGAGCTTCGTGAACGGGGCAGTTGCTCCTGGCTGCAGGGATACAACTCTGAACCGCCCTCCCTACATGCCACGTAAGGACCCGGGGCCTCCTTAATCAGCCAAGACATGGCTAGACAAATTCTGTCCAACCCCAACCTGCAGAGGATTAGCCTGACCACTGAGGGCCAGTCCTTATAGAACTCTGGTTTAGTGGGGGACCAGTAAATAGCACATACAGGGTTTTCATTCATGGGATGTGTATTAGAGAATTTCTGCAATTGGGCCAAAAAGCTCTTTATTATATGTAGTAGTTGTCCAAAGGGGTTTCAATTCCAGAGGTGCAATGCATCATGGTCAATGTAGTTCTCTCCTAGTTCTGTCCATCCTGGCCTCAAATTACATAGTTCAGCTTTTACATAGTATATGTGGAATATAACGGTTGTATTTTATGTATCTCTAAATGATTTTCATAGCTGGAGTTCTTAGTTTTTCAGGCCTATAGTAATTTATCCACAGGAATGTCTTTTGCCATCAATGGGTGTGATGAATCTGATTTCCCTTGTCATAAGACCTTTGGACTATGTAGTTACCCTTGTGCTTGTATGTCTCCATTTTAGTTATTTTCCTTGACTTGTGCAAAATTGCATGAACTTTGCATTATTTCCAAGTCTTAACTTTCTAAAATGTAAGATATAGATAACCCTTTATATTCTGTAGAGATGTTCATAAGAATTATAAATATTACATGCTCATGCCTGCAATCCTAGATACCCAAGAGGTTGAGATCTGAGGATAGTTGTTCAAATCCAACCTGGGCAGGAAACGACCTGAGACTCTTATCACCAATAAACTACTCGAAAAGCCAGAAGTGGTGCTGTTGCACAAGTGGTAGAGCACTAGCCTTAAGCAAAAGAAGCTGAGGGACAGCGCCCAGGCCCAGAATTCAAGCCCCAGGAACTGCCTTCCCCTTCCTCCCAAAAAGCCTGGATCAGGGCCTGCTCTATAGTAAATGCGTGAAAAGTCTCTGTCGTTTCTGACATCTGTACTTTTTCCAGTCGTGTTGATATGGAAAATACCTGCAGCACCAGCGCAACTCACCAAGTGCACTGTTCTGTGACTGGTGAGGCGGAGGCCATTCAGAAGTGAAGTTAGCCTTAAGGTCCAGAGTCAAATGCCATAAAAACATTTTCGTGTTTGAAGATATCAGCTCTGTGTTTCCTCCCCGTGCCCCTTAGATTTGGCAGGCAGGGACAGAGGCCTGAGCAGCAAGACCCTGTGCATGGAGAGCGAGCAGATCCTCCCAGACGGCTCGCGGGTGCGGCACTACGACGTCCACAGCCTGTATGGCTGGTCTCAGACCAGACCCACCTACGAGTGAGTTGTGTCTCCCTTCTTCAGCTGGGCCCGAGGATAGAAACAGTGATGGGTACAGCTTCCCTACTTAACCTTTCAAACCCCATTATAAGCCCTCACCAGAGATGAATGTTATCAATGTGGTAATTTTTGTTCTTTCAATAAATAATGCATGACCGTGGAATGAGGTGCGTGTGTTAAAAAGGCATGCTTGCATCAGTGAAGGACTGACTGTCCTGATGGTGGATTGATTTATGCACAGTGATACACCAATCATTATTTAATATACATGTTGTACATGTAGATATTAGTTAGTGTCATTATATTCAATGTGTTACTCACCGTAGTGTGAACACAGGAATGTGATGGGCTAGACAGTAATGTTTCACTTCAATAGTTAATTATCTCTATTTATTTCATAGTATAGGCTAGACATTCTTTCCAGTTCAGTAATGCCAATTACCCTATGGAAAAAATTAGAAGGAAATTTGCTTTATTCTGGGACTGACTGGTGGAATGCCATGGAGGTCTCAAAGACAAGATCAGGGAGGGGGTGGCTCAAGCTTCCAGTAGGAGAGACAGAATCCATGAGTCCTCCATAACAAACTAATTTTAGGACCTGTCAGGCCAGCTTTACTTAAGATCATTACATGTAGGAAAGTATATAGGTAAGTGGTAGGGTCTGGGTTTGAAAAGACATTTTTCTAATTACAAGGAGTCAGGGGTAGGCTTTGGGATGATACTTTTTGATTCAAATTTTTGTTGCTGTATTTTTTATTGGTGCCTTAGTTATTGAGCTCTTATTTGCCTTTTACCCCAAGATTCTTACTTGAGGATGCTGTTGTTAGATTCTTATCTGAAAATTCCTGTCTTTAGGCTGTGGGTCTTCAAAAAGGAAAAGAGATTCAAACTACAGAGTGCACACTGCTCTCATGAACTGCTGCTGTGCAGGGACTAGTTGGGTGTTGATAGTAACACTGCAGTATGCTTTCCTTGGGGAATGGAACCCTAATAGGTCTGTGAACAGTTCACTATTAGGTTTCTGTCTTGAGGAAAAAGTGTAGAGATATGGGGGTTCGCATTTCTCAGAAGTCTCTGGGGTCAGAGCTTTATGTTCAGTATAAAGGACAGAAAGCCTAACTCTAACTCTTGCATTGCTTTCCACTTTCTATTCTGGAATCCCTCAATCAGCCAGTCTCATTTTCTAGATTGCCATGGAAGATGGAGTGTTGTGTCAATACACAGGATGGCTTTGTCTTTTACACCATGGCAGTGGTTTATTGCATGATGAACTTTTCATGAAACACTGAAATGGCAGTCTTCTCTGAATATCTCCCTCAACCAGAGGGAAATACATGCTCTCCATTCAGACAGCAGCATTGCTTTGATCCAAGTTCCCAGGACAGGAGTGAGGAAAGAGGATGCAGGTGCTCTGAAGCCTGCTCTGGCCTCAGTTCTCCCCCTGCTTCCTCCAACCAGGGCCATGCAGGAGGTGACAGGGCAGAGAAGCATCGTCATCACCCGCTCCACATTCCCTTCTTCTGGACGCTGGGCAGGACACTGGCTGGGAGACAATACTGCTGCCTGGGACCAGCTGAAGAAATCTATCATTGGTGTGTGGCTTTGCTCCCAGGGCTCTGCCCCTCCCCCAGGGCAGGGGTTAGGAGCCTGGTGAGGGAGGAGGAGGAGGAGGCAGGTCAGGAGAGCCTGGCCTGACCCAGCTGTGCTTCTCCTTGCAGGCATGATGGAGTTCAGCCTCTTTGGCATATCCTATGTAAGTGACCTTGGCTCCTCTTGATGGACATGGAGATGGCACATCTCTGAGAACTGTGCAGGAGGCTCATTGTGTTGTGTCTTGTTTCAGACAGGGGCAGACATCTGTGGGTTCTTTCAAGATGCGGAGTATGAGATGTGTGCTCGCTGGATGCAGCTGGGGGCCTTCTACCCCTTTTCCAGGAACCACAACACCATCGGGACCAGGGTAGGACGTCTGCTCCCCACTTTCATGATTAGGGTCACCTGGAACATTCCCTAGACTTCTAGCTACAATTTATGCCCTTTGAATACTTGTTGGAACTTTTTTAAATCAGCAAAGCTTTCCTCAATGAACCATGTTTCTCAGTGGTATAGGAATGATGGTTTTTGTTTAGATCAATGTAGTCTGAGTGGGGGGGAAAAGTTTTAGGGGAAATTTCACCAGCTTTGTGCAGAGATCTTTGATGACATTTCCTAGGTTATTGCAATGCTCTCAGAAAGAGTAACATCCATTTCCCCATTTATCTTTAGCTAATCTGCAGGTAAACTTGGTCAGTGATTCATACCAAAGTAATCTATCTGTGACAACCTTTTGTCCCTTATCAGACCCCTTGACTAAGTTCATTTTATATTTGCTTTGGTCTTTTTAAATGAATTATATTTTTATTATAATTAATTGTACACAAGAATTACCATTCAACATGCTGGTTTGCAAGTACAATCCAGCTTGATCAATATCATTCCCTTTATCCCTTTTATTATTCTCTCCCACTGCCCCAAATTATCCTCCCCTCAATTTTCCTCCTTTCATAGACTAGGCTTTGATTCTTATATCTGCACTTTCTCCAAGACCCCCAGAGTCAGTTCTGAAAAGAGTTTCCCCCATTCTTTAGAGACAAGACCCTGTGTCCTGGGATACTGCCTTTGTGGATCTTTCGAGGAGTGTCATAGAGACCAGATACACCCTGCTGCCATATCTCTACACGTTGATGCACAAGGCCAACACGGAGGGCGTCACTGTGGTGCGGCCTCTCCTCCATGAGTGAGTGTCTAGAGGGAATCCTGCTGAGCACTGGGCAATGCCTGTCATTCTGTAAGGTGGTATTTGTTGCAATCCATTTCTCAAATGAGGAAATGTGGTTTCTTTTTAATCCTTCAGGCAGAAACCATACTACATTTGGCATTAGTAGACTGAGGAATGGTCATGGATGAGAGGCTGTTTGTTGAGTATACAAATGTTGAAACTAAAGGAAAGCATAATTTCTTTCTTTCTTATTTGGTCTTACAAAGACATCCCTAATGTTTATGGCAGCTGGTTTTGTGGGCCCAGGCCAAGTGTGCTCAGGTGATGGAAGAGCACATTCCAGGGGAGACGAGAGGGCTGGGGGCCCCTTGCACTGACAACGTGCCATGCTGAGGAACTGTGGTGTTTCCCAGAAGAAAACATATCTACAGCATTGCTGAAGTTTGGGGTCTGACCTGTGAATAGTGGAGATTATCTCTTCCTTATTAAAGTCAGTAATGTGTAAGATAGCCACTGGGTTTCTGACTTGGTATATTCTTTTTTTTTTTTAATTTAATTTCATTTTATTTGTGAACATACTGTACAGAGGGGTTACAATTACATGGGCAGGATAATGCGTACATTTCTTACCAAGCATTGCAGCCTCCTCCTTTGGTTTACCCTTCACATCCCTTCCCAGCCTCTCCCCTCCCCCCCAATCCCAATCCTTCTCCTTCCCCGCCCCCCACCGACGTTGTAAAGCTCGTTTTGGACATGACAACTTGTACTTCTCATTGTTGCAACAGGTCCACCTGTATCCTTAAACAACTGGTTTTTCCCCATCTCCTCCACAAGTTATACTGACATCAAATATAGTGAAAGCAGGGGTTATACTGTGGGGGAGGGACATACAAAGCAACAAAGAGATAATCTTATAAAAGCGTTAGAAACACATGCATGAAAGAAAAAAACCTTAAAATACATATCTAAGGGTTCATTTTCCTGACATCACATTATCTGACCTTCTCCGCTTGACTCGTACATATACTAGATATTGCAAATAAGGGAAACCATGGGACCTATGTTTCTTTGGGCCTGGCTTACTTCACTTAATACAATTTTTTCCATGACTTGGTATATTCTTGAGTTGTTTTCAGCGCCTTGGGCACTGCCCTTATGGGGGTCTATCTGTGACACCTCGTTTTCTTTTCCAGGTTTGTGTCTGACCGGGAGACCTGGGCTATTGACAGTCAGTTCCTGCTGGGCGCAGCCTTCCTGGTCAGCCCTGTCCTGGAGCCTGTGAGTGTGGAGGCCTGGGATGGGTGGAGGCTCCCAGCTGTGAGGCTGGGTGACAAGGGGAGGAGAGGCTGTCCTTTGTGTTGCGTGACCCTGAGACACAATTTCTTGTTGTGTCTCTTTTCTTTATCTCTCTTCTTTCTTTTGGAGCAGCAGAAATTATTCTGAGATGATTTTTTTAAGTTGGCATAATGGTTAGATTCACAGAAGGACTAATATGACCTTATATGTTCGAAACTGTTTCTAGATATTACAAATGGGAGGAACAGAGTCAGGTGGGGGCAATAGGATATGAATTATTTACACGGCAGTGTCACAGTTAACGACAAGCTGAAAGCTCCTGGGAGAACATCTGTCAAGGATGGTGTCATATGGGCTTTGGCCATCCCTCCTTTCCTTCTGTGATAGGGCTAGCAAGCGGAAAAAAAGCCATTTCTTTTCTTTGTCTGTGATCAGTTAGTCTTCTGATTAACGTATCTGAATACTTGGAATACTTCCTGAAAATTTTCCTTTAATTCAGACTCAACTTGTCCTTTTAGAGAGAGGATGAGTAATTCTGAAAGGAAATGGTGATTTCCCCCCACCCCTACACCCTGTAATCCAAAGGGCTTTATTAAACCATCTTGTGTTGGGCAGCTGATTGCATGTTTGACATGGGGGAAGGGAAGGAGGCTTCCCCAACCTTCCTGATCTCAGGAGACCTGCGGCCCTGGGTCCACCTCCTTCACTGCTCTGGAGGCCCTTCTGTATGCAGATTGCTTGATCTGTCCTTGGCAACATCGCCCTAGCCCAGCTTATATTTGTGTTTCATTTCAGAATGCCAGAAATGTGACAGCTTATTTCCCTAATGCCCACTGGTATGATTTCTACACGGTAAGCTTTGGTAAATTTTATAAATCCTGGAGAAATAGTCTATTATAAGGTCTGGATCTCAAATCCGAAATGCTCTCATTACGTTTTGGACAAATCCTTTCCATAGAGTATCTTAATTTTTCTCATCTTAATAAAGAAATGCCTTGAAGTGACATCTAAAGAATCTTACCACGTGCCTGACTTCTAAGTGTGTATGTGTATGTGTGTGTATTTATTTTCTCCATGTGTTGTCAGTATGTAAAATGTTAACACAGATAATCCAGATCTTAGTAAGTTGTGGTAGAAACTAGAATGTTTTGTACATTATTGGAGTTGGACTCTGTTCTGTCATTACTCATATCAGTGGCTTAGCTGGTGCTTTCCTATTGAGCCATTTTGCAGTTGTACATTATGCTGGTCTTTAGAGATGGAGTGTCACCGCCTTATTTTGTGTAGACTTCCATTGAACAGTGATCTTTGCCACACAGCCTCCTGAATAGCTAGGATTAGAGGCATGAGCCAAGGGCCTGACAAAACCATCAAAAATTATGAGTGCTTGACTGTCCTAAGTGGTTAAATATGGAGGCCTGTCATTGACTAAAATATAAACCATTGTAGCATTGCTGCCCAAAGATTTTCTATGTTAAGATGTTCTATGGTGAAGAGCATAAGGCAGTATATAAAGCTTGGATTCACACACCTGAACATAGCATGAGCATTTGAAATGAGAAAACCACATGAGCTCTCCATTGTGTGCTTGGAGCAGTGGGAGCCCTGAAGACCCTCTGGGGGAACAGGGTCCTAGGAATCCACTCAGGATGGTCTCTCGAGGAACAGGTGGAACAGTTTTCAGAAATAACCCAAAGGACTATATAAGCAGAGCCCTATACTGCCTTTGGAGGAGACAAGATCAGCAAATAGGAAATACAGCAGGAAGACAAGGATGACAGACTGTGCTCATGACGCTCATCTAAGCTGATTTGCAGTGCGTTGGGAGAGTCGAAGGAAGAACATTTGCTTCTGTTCTCTGCTGTGGGTGTCCTCCCCACAGCCCTCCTTCTCATTGTGGGTTTCCTTAGGGAGGCATGCTAAGGTTTCACAGCTAGCCTCAAGGCTCCTAGGGCAGAGAAAGTTTCTTCAGTGTCCCTCCCAGGTATTTCACAGGACACTTACAAGCCAAATGCTGTTTTGCACCGAGAACCTAAAAATGCAAGGTTGTAGTCCCAGGTGTGTGCTGGACAGTGAGGGGCAGGCAGCAAGGTCAGAGAGCAGCTGAGATGTCAGGTACCTGCGCTGCTCAGGTTAGGTCTGTCACCTCTCACTCACCATCCCTTCCTCCTCCGGCACACAGGGTGCACAAATCAATGCAAGCAGAGAGTGGAAGGTCCTGCCAGCACCTCTGGACCACATCAATCTTCATGTGCGTGGGGGCCACATCCTGCCCTGGCAGGAGCCTGCACTGAACACCCACCTCAGGTGAGTGGAGGGACCTGGCTCTGCTTTGCATGCTGGTTGCTCACTTATTTTCAGGGAGAGACCTCATTCCCATAGACACTGCTCTCAAGGCCCAAAGCCATATTATTGAACACATGATCTTTTGTTTGTTTTGTTTTAGTCTTCTTTCATCTTTGTATCTGAACAATTGCCACGTATTTTAGATGTGAATTTAATGATTGATCTAAGAAGTGTCATTTGAAGCAAAATTCAACAGACAGGCGCTCATGATCAGGGTGCTTCAGAAGTCTATCTGAATCATAGTTGTTCCCAAAACATACAATCAAACCATTGTTTATGCTATATGGTGGTTCTCATCTTGTATTGATAATCCTCTTATAAAAGATGAGAAATGACTGTCCTCGGCCTATATAATAATTAGCAATTACTGAGATCAAATGAATGCTTGTTCTGTGTCTGAATTTTGCCAGTAATGGCCATTTTATCTGGAGACTTTTTTCTTTCATAACAACAAAAAACATTTGCTTCAGAATCTGTAATGTCTCCATGTCAAAGATGAGCAAATAAAGGCTCTGCAAGGCTTAGTGACTTACTGTTCTATGGCTATAGGAAGATGAACATATCTAGGCTCCATGTCTGACTGATACCATTCCTTATAATGTAGACCCTCAGTTACTTGACTTCAGAGCGTCTGATGAAAACTGAGGAACTAAAGATCTTTGCAAATAGAACTCTATTGTATGCATGAAGTCTTTCCTCTCTCCAGTCATCTGCTGCTGATGACTTAGGCAGCGTCTGTAGCTGGATATGTGAATAGTACTGGCCTACCCGCGGCTGTGCTGCTGCCTCTATAGTCAGCTGACCTGTGCTTTCAGGTGTGCACCCAGACCAGGCATGGCTCAATCCAGTTGGATTTCATTCATTTTGATTTTTGTTCATTTTATTTTTTGTAAAGGAGTGAACCCTGGTGCATTTTCAGTGATCCAAGTTACACTCCAATTCCCTCTAAAAAACGTCTCCACTCTTCATGTAGTGGGAATGCTGCCGTTTCTTTGTTCTGGTTATTTAAATTATATTCATACATTTTCTCGATACTTCAATTTCTCTTCTTAATATTGTAAATATTTCAGTTATAGTTGTTAGACGCTATGCTTGCAAATGTCACCAATGTCCTTTGGGAAACACAAATCTGTTGTGACTTCTTTGTGTGACTTTCCTTCATCTTACCTTATTATCTGGAATAATTGATGAACTTTTGTTTCCAATGTGATGTTAAGGACTTAAATGTGGGTCTTCTTCCTTTAGAGATGACCTGTTTGAGTCGTGTCTTGTACTTTCTATTCCCAATTATAATGTCAGTTATTAGGATGTGCTGTCTTCCCATCCAAACCAAATAGACAATCACATAAAGCAAATTACTATGATATAGATTTGTATAACTGTGTTGCAGTCTAAGTGTATTTGTATTTGTTCCTGGGATCAGTTGCTACTTCTGTGGATGTCATCCCTAAAACGAGCTGGCTGCTCCATTATTGCTTAGGATTTCCATATCCTCTCGTAGTCCCTGTCCTAGATCAGCCCTGTCCTAGAGTTTTACTGATGCTCATGTTCTTGCTGCCTGTGTGGATGCTCATTGTCACATATTGGATTGTTTTCTGTCCTGTGACATTATTCAATAAGAGACACTGATCTTTGTCCCTAAAGTAAAGCAGTACCATCTGCTGGTGCTATCTTTTCCCAAATGAAATTTGAAGGAAACCTAAGGCAGTGATTTTTGCTGCCATCTTAGTGTCTCTCATGTGAATCTTGTCTCCTGCAGCCGCCAGAAGCCTCTTGGTCTTATCATTGCCCTGGATGAGAACAATGAAGCCAGAGGTGAACTTTTCTGGGATGATGGGCAGTCAAAGGGTGAGTGTTGTTATGGGCACCTTGCCTATTTCAAACCTGCATCTTTGGCCCTTCCTTCCTGCTGGCTAATCAGCCATTGGAGAAATCTCTGCAGGTGTAGTGGTCAATTCTTGATGGAAGAGTTTGCTCTCTAGTTGTAGTGTTGAAGAAGTAATAGATGAACTTAGAATTCTGCGCCAACCGGGATCTGTCATAGGCACTCCTTTCACTGTCCTGTAAATATCTTCCCCAGGAAAGCTAGGAGCAAATGGGCAGCATATGATGGCATCGGAAGCATCCCCATCTCAGTGAGCAGTGAGGATGCACATTCCTCCTGGTGTGCATCTGGCCATGGCTCTGCCCATGTTCTTGCCCTGTCACAGTAACAGTTCCTGTGGCTCTACCTTGGTTGGCAGTTAAATCCCACGGGACATAGTCTTGAAAGTATTTCAAGTACATACTGAAGGGAGAAGGGAAATGGTAGATTCTCCTTGGTATTCTTTCTATAATGATACTTATTTCAAGATGGGAGTTTCTTAAAAAGCTTGTTGTTTTATTTTAAAATATTTAATTGACATAAATTGAAGATAGTCAAGGGGAATAACCTATACACATACAGTGTATTATGATTTCTCATGATCAAACTAGTTAACATATACACTTATTAACATCTCTCTATGTCTCCCAACCCTGTCGCAGGCCACCATTGTTCTATCCTCTTCACTTATGTAAGTTGAATGTTTTTTAGGTTGTGTTATAAATGAGATCATAAGGTATATTTTTCAGTGTCTCTCTTATTTCCCTTGTAGAACATGTTCCAGTTTTATCCATGTGTCACAAATCTAAGGGTTTTCCAACTCAGGTGCATGCCCGGTGTGTGTGTGTGTGTGTGTGTGTGTGTGTGTGTGTGTGTGTGTGTGTGTGCGCTTGTACTAGGTCTTCAACTCAGGTATGGGAGCTGTCCTTTGCCTTTCTTTGAAAATGTTATTGTAAAGGTGATGTATGGAGGGGTCACAGTTACAGAAGTCAGTACTGAGTACATTTCTTTTTTAACTGTACATAAGTCAGTATTGAGTACATTTCTTTTTTAACCACCCCGTACCTCATTTTCTTTCAATGTTTTTCCTCTCCACCTTCCTTCCCCCAAGTTGTCCAGTTCATTTCCAACATAGTGTCTAGTGAGTATCATTCCTGAATTGGTTCTCCCTTTTCCCCACCTTTTCTGTGCTTCCTGTTTGCCTCCAAATCAGGTAAATTGATATATAAGACAAAGGCACAGAAATAAAAACAGAAACAATAGGAAATAAACCAAAGCAAAATGAAAAGAAAGAACTGACAATGGTCCAATTTTAAATACCTCTTGTTTCTACTTCTTGGAGTTCATTTCCACAATCATCATTTTATAAGATCATATGCACAGAACAATTGAGTCTTTGCGATCTTTTGCTAACAATATCCTCCTTTGTTCTCCTTATGTGAATGTGTAGACTACTGTTCAATTAATCATATCCCAGTGCAATTATTTATCTTTTGCTATCCATTTGGTTTACTTGTAGCTTTATGAGCTCATTCTAATTATTACAAATGAAGGCAACCATGCAGCCTATATTTCTTTGGATCCTGCTTTCTCAGCTTAGTATAGCTTTTTCCAAGTCTTTCAGGTTCTTTATCAATGGGGCAATGTCATTCTTTCTGATGTAAACATAGATTTCCAGTGTGTATATATACCATATTTTCATGATCCATTCAACAACTGAGGAGCTTCTGGGTTAGTGCTCTGCCACTTGAGCCACAGCTCCACTTTTGGCTTTTTCTGGTTAATAGGAGCTAAGAGTCTTATGCATTTTCCTGTTTCAATTATCTTTGAAGTTCAATATTCAGATCGCAGCCTCCTGAGCAGCTAGGATTACAGGAGTGAGACATTTGTGCCTGGCTAGGATTTCCACCTTTATTATGGACAAAAGAGTCCATCGGGTACTTGTGTCGCACATTCCTTATCCATTGATACTTCAGAGGTCTCTATCTTTATATTCTTACAAGAAATGAACTATGATGTTGGGGTAAGGGCTAAAAACAAATCTCCAGGAGAATATGTAGAGCAACAGTTCTTTGACATTGGCCCTGCTTGTAATTTTTTATCTTGGATTTAACACAAAAAGTAGTTAACAATGGGACTTGGAAGGTGGCTCAGTGGTAGAGTGCTTGCCGTGCATGCATGAGGCCCTGGGTTCAATTCCTCAGCACCAGATAAGCAAAAAAAGGCAGAAGTACTGAGGCCCAAGTCGTAGAGTGCTAGCCTTGAGCTGAAGAGCCAAGGGACAGTGCCCAGGCCCAGAGTTTAGGCCCCACAACAGACCAAAAACAAAAAACAAACTACTTAACAAAAGTAAAAATTCAAACACTAGCACTTCGTCAAGGTAGAAATTTTCTCTATATCATAATATAGTCAGTGATGTACAGTGTTAATCTTAGCATGGGATAAAATATATATAAATTACATATCTAATAAGAGATTTATTAAAAATGTATAAAGAACTTTTGAAATTCTACATTGTATGAGTATATAATCTGGTTTAAAATTAGGCAAAAGCTGTAAATAGGCTTTTTCAAACGACAAAATAAAACTTGCCAATAGGTATATGAAAAGATCTGGGACACCACAAATCAGCATAATTATGCAAATTTAAAAATTACAATAGCATGTGACATCACATCCGTTAGGATGGTTGCTATCAACAGACAGAAGTCAGCAAAGGTGGGAGAGGGTGTGGAGTAAATGGAACTACATTCAGATGCTGTGGTAGGTGGTAAATTGACACAGCCATTGTAGAAAACAGTGCAGAGATTTCCTGAAATGTTTAAATAATCTGTGTATGTCCAATGCAAACAACACACCATAGAAATCTCCAATCTCCTGTCTTTTGGAGCATTTTTCAAATAACAGCACATGTTAATGTTCACTGGCAGATGAGGGAACAAAGAAGTGGATGTAGAAAGATGCAATCTTTCTGCTAGTTGTGACATCAAGTATCTCTAAGGAAAGGCAGGTGAAACTCAGCCTCCTTTGTTGGCAGGCCAGTCTGACTTGTCTTTTTATTATTTTCAGATACTGTGGCCAATGATGTTTACATTTTATGTGAGTTTACGGCCAGCCAGGTGAGTAGCCCATTTTCAGGAACCTTGGGTGTTAGGATTTAGCACTTCCTGTAATTATGTTTCTAATTTCATTTGCATAAATGACTATAGGTAAACATATTTCCATTTATGATTTAATTTTCAGTAATTGTCTTGTCTCTTATACAAAGGAGGCAATAATATGGACAAATAAAAGCAGATTATGTGTGATTCAGTTCTGTATACTAGTTTTAATTTATTATCCTCAGAGGTTTATTAAAATAAGTTCCCTGTCACTGTGCACACATTGGTAGAGAGTTCAGGAGCATCAGAGCCTGAGGAGTATGTGGTCTCTGGTGAAGTGTTAGAGAGACAAGAGAATATGAATACTGGAGATCCAATTTCATGCCTAATTATGCGTCACTGTTTTGCAGACCCACCTGGATGTGACTATTTCCAAAGCAACCTACAAAGACCCCAATAACTTAGCATTCCAGCAGATTAAAATCTTTGGGACTCAGGCACTGAGCAACATCACAGTGAAACAGAATGGTGTCCTTGCTCCAATGTCTCCTAAAGCCACTTATGATCCTAACCTGAGGGTAAGACTCATGTGGTTGGGTAGTTTTACAAGAATTCTTCCAGGCATCCTCGTGTCCTCTGGAGAGTGCTGTTTAAAGAAGAGTCATAGAGTGTAATAGTGGTGGCATACGTTTATAATACCATGTAGAGGGGTGGTGAAAGAAAGGGGATGGAGAGTGGAGATCATGTCGGGCAAAATTCATGAGGCCATATTTCAAAAACAAATAAAAGGAAAAACAGAAGAGGAAATTCAACAATGCTTAATAAGTAATGTACTCATTACTTTGCCCATGTAATTGTAACACCTCTGTATGGTATTTTCACAATGAAAAAAGAAAAACAAGGGGAAAAGAAGGAAATTCTGCTGCTTGTGACATCAAAGTACCTTTGGCATAGACAAAATGATTATATAGCACAAGCACAAGGCCCTGAATTCATTTCCTATCACCTCAATAAAGAGAGAAAAAGATAGAAGATAAAAAAACAAATGTGTGGATTCAATTAAAAATGTTTTCCCATTTTAAACAATAGTGGGAGACTGAGTAAAGAGACAGGGTTTTAGAAATTGAAGGAAATATAAAGACTTTTTTAAAATCAATGTTTTTGCAGTTTATGAATCTGAAATCTGAATTATTCATATAATTTGTTTAAATACTCCATAAAAAAGAGAAATAGGAAGGCAATTGGAACAAGACTATATAATTCTTCTGGCTCTCTTTCTACCATTTCAGATGATTGGGGAACACTGATTTGTGGAGAAAGGGACAAGAGTAGTAGAAACATGTAGAGAAAAAGAACAGAGTCAATCTGAAAAATATAAAGAACCAGGAGAAAAGTCAGGAAGGTAGATAAAGGGACAATTAAAAAGTTTATTTGGACTTTCTACGTGCACAATGTAATGTACAATGTGTGGAGTACTGATATTACCCTGTTGCTACCCCATACTGAATAGTCGCCCTGTATTGACTGACCACCCTGCCTGAATGTTTTGGAATATTTCCTGTACATTGTTGAGTGTCTGGTCTCATTGTAAGGACTCACATCCTGGAAGGCCTGTGTCCCATGTACATATTTCCCTGTGGCTTCTCCATTTCCACAGGTCGCAGTGATCACAGGCATCCGTCTGGTCCTGGGAGAAGCATACACCGTACAGTGGGACATCGGCATAAAGGACCAGGAGAAGATAGACTGTTATCCTGATGAGCATGGAGCTACTGAGGCCAGCTGCATGGCCCGTGGCTGCGTCTGGGAGGTAACAGCACTGACAACATGAACTTTCCCTGACAGCTCTGCACCTCACCTGTAACACATGAGCAAACACCAGTACCTCAGTATCCACTTAGAATCCATGTGAAGAAAGGACTCCCCAAGACACCTCATCCAGATGTGAAGACAGGAAGAAAAAAGACTGGGACATTTTAAATAAACATTTCCTTAATATAGAACTTTAAATTCTGGGTACTATCTAATGGAAACAAGGTCCAGGAATGATGGGAAGGCCTTTCCTAGCCCTTGCTACTTGATACCTCCAGGCCCACATGCTGATGCACACTATTGGCTTTCCTTCTCAGGCATCCAGTATCCCTGGGGTCCCACACTGCTACTTTGTGAACGATCTGTATTCAGTCAGCAATGTGCAGTATAACTCCCATGGGGCCACAGCTGACATCTCCTTGAAGTCTTCTCCTTATGTCACTGCCTTCCCCTCCACACCTGTGAGCCCCCTGCGCCTGCTCGTGACCTACCACAAGAATGAAATGCTGCAGTTCAAGGTAAGTATAGTTACATGTGAGAGAACACCCAACGGTCTTCCTTTCCCGTCTCTATGTAGTCAGTGCTTTGTCATCCTAATACAAGCTAACTCTGTAAAGTTCCAGCTACAAAAGAGCCAGCCATTCTGTTAATGTGAAGAGCAATGAGAAGCCCTAGGAAGAGCAGCACCCATTTCCTAATGTGAATTAGGAATAGGCTACTCTTATTTATTTATTTTTTATTTTTTTATTGTGAGAATATTGTACAGAGGGGTTACAATTACATGGGCAAGATATTGAGTACATTTCTAATCAAGCATTGTAGCCTCCTCCTTTGTTTCCCCTTCCCATCCCTTTCCATCCTTCCCCCACCCCCCCACCCAATCCTCCCTGCTTCCCTCCCCTCTCCCCCCCCCCAACAAAGTTGTAAAGTTCGTTTTTTGACATAACGACTTGTACATCTCATTGTTGCAATGGGTCCACCTGTATCCCTATTTAAACGATTTGTTTTGCCCTTCCCCTCCACAAATTATACCGACATCAAATACAGTAAAAGGAAGGGTTATCTTGTGGGGGAAAGACATACAAAGCAACAAAGAAATAATCTTTTTATTATTATTATTATTTTATTTTATTTGTGAACATACTGTACAGAGGGGTTACAATTACATGGGCAGGCTAATGCATACATTTCTTACCAAGCATTGCAGCCTCCTCCTTTGTTTACCCTTCACATCCCTTCCCAACCTCCGCCCTCCCCCCCCCCAAAGAAATAATCTTATAAATGTGTTAGAAACAATCCCATGAAAGAAAAAAAAACATTTGATGTGGTATATATACACAATGGAATTCTATGTCTCCATCAGAAAGAATGACATTGCCCCATTTGTTAGGAAGTGGAAAGGCTTGGAAAAAAATTATATTAAGTGAAGTAAGCCAGGCCCAAAGAAACAAAGGTCCCATGGTTTTCCTTATTTGCAATATCTGGTATGAGTCTGAGTCAAGCAGAAAATGTCAGATAAGGTGATGTTAGGGAAATGAACCCTAAGATATGTATTCAAGAATAGGCTACTCTTAAGAAATCATAGATATCAAAGAAGTGGAGAGAGGAGGAAGTAGGCTACTGGGTAGGTTGATGGAGTGAAGGTTAGAGGTCATGTAGGTACAGGAAAGGAGATGGAGAAGAATGGACTTGTTTGGGGCTGAGAAGATCTGGAGACTAATCACATAGGATAAGAAGGAAAATTGAAGAGTGAGGGCTGTTTGTCTCTGTTTCTCATCTGTGTGAATGGTGGTGACATCAACTAAAAGGAGGAAACTGGATAGTATGCGATGGGAATTCATAGAACTTATCAATTGGGCAAACAGGGTCTGGATTGGAGTTTTCCTTGACATTCCACTCAAGCGCAGTGCTGTTTACCCTCCCATGGTGTCATTACCCTTAGCACCAGGACTGGGCTAGCTTTGTTGTGACAGTTTCTCCATTATTCTCCAGAACAAGGGATTTGTCCACTTCTTGTGCTTCTCACTTAACACCATGTCAGTAGACAGTAAGCCCTGCAATGTTTGCTGAGAGAATAAATGAAAGAGTATAACAGTATAAACTTGCCTAAAAGGTTCTTAACAATTACATCTAGGAGGATGCTGAGTTCTTTTCCATCTTTCAATGCTATGCTTTTATTTGGTGTCCTCAACTTAGCAGGTAGGATATACCTAATACATGGAATGAATCAAGTTACTTAGATTTCCAGCCTAAAGTCCTGTGTACTCACCAGTTAACCACACAACTATATACATACATACATACATACATATAGGCATACAGGCATGCATACTTACATTTGTACCTTTCTCAACCCTCTTAAGCACTGTACATCATTGCATTGATAAATGCATTGCTAGAATGACTTGATATCTGTGCTTTGTTAATGACTACATAGCTCTTTATGCTAAGATTCTATTTCTCCCTTGCAATTAATTTTCTCTCAGATATAGTGGCTGATATCACCTTTCCTATAATCTTACAGTACTTCTTTGTAGTTGACCGTTAGTCCACCTTACTGAAGGGATGTAAACATATTTCATTCTCTGGAGGGAATGAATAACCTTGGTCTACTATGTTTACACCAGTAGCACCTAATCCAGCACCAGAAAGGGATATAGGGAATACATTTATATGGTGTTTTTCAGCATAGACAACTATGATGAACTTAATTATAAAACCTTCATGTTTATGATTTTTTTCCAATTCTGTAAAAGCTTCACAGACACTCATATGCACACATATGGAATAATAAGGAATACATTGATAACTGCCCCACTGGCTTTTGAATGCCTTTCATGCAAGTACCAAAGGTCAAAGTAACTGTGTTACTGTAACAAGGCTCTTCACATATGAGATCTGACAGGCTCAATTCAACGTTTTGGATTTAAAGTTGTTCTTTAAGAGCTTAAAGAAAAGATATAATGTCTCTGTTTGCTCCAATGCTGACAAAGCTCTGCTATGGTATACATTTAAAAATCTAATTTTGCCTAAAATTTTGAATTCACAGATAACACTCATGCTTCTTTTTGGTTTGTATTGCATTGTCTTAGCACACTTACATATTGTGAATTGGACAACTTGTTGTTTAATTTTCCCATCATCTCAAATAGCTATAGTTTCTTGTGATTAAAAAGATTGTAATTCATATTTCATGGCTATTTTGAGTTATATGATACAATATTATTATGTATAATTTCCCTATGTCTGACACAACAGCAGAATGTATGTACCCTCTCTGCATGATCTGCTAAAATCACTTTCCTCCGACTTAGATTTATGATCCCAACAACAAGCGATATGAAGTCCCAGTCCCTCTGAACATCTCCAGCACTCCATCCAACTCCTCTGAGGCCCGACTCTATGAGGTTCTCATTAAGGAAAATCCATTTGGGATTGAAATTCGCCGCAAGAGTACAGGCACTGTCATGTAAGTGGCCCTGGTTGGATTGGGGACTGGAGGTTACATGAACATCTCTACCAGGGCCTCTGTGGTTGCATATGCTCTGTCTGAGAGATTACCCCTGTGCGTTCCAGACCCACCGCTAAGCTATGCCCTTCAGATGTGTTTTTGGGCAATCTTTGTACTTAGAACCTACTGAGGCAGTTTCTGGTAACTAGGAATTCCTTCAACAAATATTTATGGATGCCTTCTGTGGACTGGGTGCTGTTTAAGGTACTGTGGTTATAGTCAGAAGAGATTTCTCTTCTCATGAAAAAGGTAGTTTAAATTATATAAGAGAAGCAAAGATGTTAAGGTGATCTGTAGTATTAGAGTAAGAGTTTGTGTGTGTGTGTGTGTGTGTGTGTGTGTGTGTGTGTGTGCGCACGTGTGCATGTTTTTGGGGAACTGTTTTAACACTGTGATGGAAAAAGAATATTGAACCTGCAGCCTAACTCTTGATTTCCTCTTCATTAGGAGAAACAATTTATATATTCATATGTATATGTATGCATTTATATGTATATCCCTATGTGTGAATGTGGGGGGGTATAAGAAAGGGAGAGAGATGGAGACTAAAAAGACAAAGACAGAGAGACAGATTGAGATTTATGGTCAGTTTTAGCCATAACTGTGGAAGCAAAACAAGTCTCAGTTTGTCCCTGCAGAGTCACAGCTTACAGAAAAGATGACACAAAAGCCAAGAAGTATGCATGTGTCTCCTGGGGGTTGGCCCATCTCACTCCCACATGCAATTTGCTGGAGGAAACTCATCCTTAGGTCCCAATTTACATCAGAATGAGAGAACATGGATTAGAACTTGAATGAAAAGAGGCCAGGCATTTGAGCTTGTGGGCATGGGGGAAGAGCATTGGTGATAGAATAAGCAAGTAATAAGTAAGTAAGCTCTAGCAGGCAGAAGCTTGGCACTGTACTATTCCTTTGTGTGCAAAAAAGGAGCTGGGGTATCAGTGTGTGGATGAGGGTGCAAAATAGGACAGAGGTATCAGTGAGGCCTCTCCTCAGTGACAGCCTTGCATGCATTAAAAGCTGTTTCCATGAAAGGGCACTGAAGAAGGAAGAACAGGAAAAGTGAGGTGCCTTGAGAAACCTCATTGTGGACCTAGGTCGGATGTTGGTTTTCTGGGAGATGGGGAAGAACGTAGGTGGCATTGCTTGAGAAGTCAGCTGCCGAAAGGAATTCCCGGGGAGCTCACTTCCTTGTCCACCTTGGCCTTTGCCTTGCAGCTGGGACTCTCAGGTCCTGGGCTTCACCTTCAATGACATGTTCATCCGCATCTCCACCCGCCTCCCGTCCCAGTACATCTATGGCTTTGGGGAAACGGAGCACACGGCCTATAGGAGAGACTTGAACTGGCACACGTGGGGCATGTTCTCCAGAGACGAGCCCCCGGGGGTAAGGACAGAGCATTGGCAGAGTCTACACTCCCTTTTCTGCACCCACACTGCATGCCTGTGAAGCCCTATGGGTGCCTCTGTGCTTCCTCTTCCCTGACTGCAGTGAATCATCCCCTTCTGCTTCTGTCCTGTGACCATTCCTCCAGCTCTTTTGATCTCATGTGTTGAAGTTAGTTGCAAGAGAATGTAGGCCCGTGAGTTTTAGTTGACGTTCCTTCTCAGATGCAATGTCTTCTCACTCTACCCACTTCTCCCCATGACTCTCAGTACAAGAAGAATTCCTATGGCGTCCACCCGTACTACATGGGCCTGGAGGAGGACGGCAGTGCCCACGGAGTGCTCCTGCTCAACAGCAATGCCATGGGTAGGCGCACGCTACTTCTTCTCCTGATCTAAGAGCTAGTTATACTTGAATTGTTTTGGGATAATATTGTGTGACCCAGTGGCAATGAAATCAACATTATCATGATGGGAGAGTTTTTTTTCTGTTTATCCTTTTGTTTGGGACCCTAACATTGAAAGGATTCAATGATACACTTAGTTTTGTAATAGTCACACAAGAAGAGATAGCAAAACCAATAGAGGTTATAAACTAAGAATCCATTACACCTTGAAAGTCACCTGAGGACCTCGGTGTACAATTTGAATGAATTTGCCATTATTGTTAGAGCACTTTCTGGTTATGATGGTCTGAAGGAAATTTGCCTTTATATTGGAGAGGAATAAAATTAAGAGTTAGAAAAGCCATGTATGTAAAATGAATGAAACCTGACACAAAGCATACCTGAGTGAGTTGTGTTTTATTCATGGTTTTTACAATATACCTGATTGTACAAGGTGTTCTCATTCAGGGATGCTGTATGAAATAGACATGGAAACACAACATAATCTTTAAAGTTTCTGGAGTTCTGGAGAATGTTGAACTAAAAAGGGTATATGAAGCCACATGCAGATGGTCATGCCTTGCTACGTGGAAGATTGAAATGAGGAGAATCACAGTTCCAAGCCAATGCAGGCAAAAATGTCTATTATATTCTACCTCAGTGGAAGAAGTTGGGCTTGATGGAATGTACCTGTAATCCCAGCTGTGTTGGGAAATGTAAATAGGTGGATTGCAGCCAAGGCACATGTCCAAACAGAAAGCATGATCCAGTGTAAGAAGACAAAGGTTTTGGGCTCAGTTGTCAGATGCCTTCCCTAATAAGTGCTAAGGCCTTACTAACACACAAAAAGAACCATAAGAATTATGTTCAAGGAACAGAGAGACAAAAACATCTCAGATATAAGGCAACTGCAAAGGAAAGTATTCATGGATCGAACTCTGCTTCATTCTGTCGGTTGTGTACAGAAAATCATGTCTTAATAGTGTGCAATGAGGAGAGAAGGCAGAGTTCTCAGGGCTGCTCTCTTCCCATGCTGAAGCTTTGCAGGCAACTCAGTTCACCTTTCCCTCTATTTTCAGATGTGACTTTCCAGCCCATGCCGGCCCTCACATACCGCACCACAGGGGGAGTCCTGGACTTTTATGTGTTCTTGGGGCCAACTCCAGAGCTTGTCACTCAGCAGTACACTGAGGTACGTGTGAATTCCCTTGTCTGTCAAGTGCTTATGCAGCAATACTGGGTTCCAAATGCATTGTTCATTTTTTTTTGTCATTTGTGAGGCCTGAACTCTGGGCCTGGGCGCTGTCCCTCAGCTCTTCAGCTCAAGGCTAGTGTTCTACCACTTGAGCCACAGCGCCACTTCTGGCCTTTTCTGCTTATGTGGTGCCAAGGAATTGAACCCAGGGCCTCATGCATGCAAGGCAAGCACTCTATCCCTAAACCACCTGCCCAGCCCCGCATTGTTCATTTTTCTACCTCTCATTGTGATAATACAAGTTGATGGATTTTTTTCAGGGATAGGTATATTATAAATAGGAAACAATAAATAGAACTAGTCATTAGATTCATAGCCTCTAATTATTGCAGGATAGCAAAAGTAGTCCTGGTCATAGTGTTGTTGGAGTAATGGAGGTGGTGATGGTGATGATGGAGAGGTGATTCTTGCCATGATGATGAGAGTAGTGTTTACCATGGAAATGATAGACTACTGACAATAATGGTTGGGGTGACTTGATGATGTCTGGAGTTATGGTTTCATGGTGGTGATGGTGGTACTGTTGATAGGCAATGATGGCTGCAGTGGTTATGGTGTGAGGTGATGGTGGTGATGGTAATGGTTGAAGGGATCTGTAATGGTGATTCATATAGCAAATGTGGAATGACCACTGAATCTGTTACTTGGTCCATGTCAGAGCACATTTAGTAACTTCACAGAGATGAAGTCATTCCATTCTTGTAAAGTCATGATGATATGGACATTTAGATCAAACTCAAACTGCAGGTGAGGAAAGAAGCATAATTGGTTATTTAATTTTTCCCTTGTTCACAGAGCTGGCAGACAATGGAATGTGTATATTAGGCAATGCATTTTTCTTCTGAATTCTGTGCTCCTCATTAATCATTCTGTCTGTATCTAGGAACCAGAGCAAAAGCCAGTTTTCTAGATTCCTGAAGCGTGAGCTCCAATCTAGCAGCAGACTTTCCCCCATGGTATTCTAGAGCTGTGCTTCCCTTCAATTGTCCTCTGGATTTGCAGGTTTTGTTTGTCTAGTCAGGGGCACTGGACAATATTGTTTTTATTTCATGGAAGACTTCCATCAGGAATTTCATTTTAAGAATTCATTTTTAATCTAATTTCCAGGTCATTGGCCGGCCTGTCATGGTGCCTTACTGGTCCCTGGGGTTCCAGCTGTGTCGCTATGGATACGAGAATGATGCTGAGATTTCCAACTTGTATGATGAGATGGTGGCCGCACAGATCCCCTATGTATGTGGATGCCATGGTGTACACCATAGTCTGTATTCTCATAAGGAACCTGGCTGTGTCTGTGACCCAATTACTTTGTAGGGCATTTGTGAGTTTCTACAAGAACAGGAAGTACCTTCTCACGTGATGCCACAATGACCTTGAACTTGTCATAGGAATTGTGTGGGCTGTTTCCCACCCTATGACACTAGGAGATCAAAGACGCACCATGCAGAGAAAGGGACAGCCCCCACAGCCTTTCACCCTCTGTCATGTTTCCTTCCATTTAATTTATATAACTTGAAGACGTGTAGTCCAAAACCAGGGTGCCCTAAGAAGAAAGGATCCTTCCAGCAGTCATTTTGCTTGATTAAAAACAAATGATCTGAAATACACTTAGCCCATTGTACATGCAGGTAGGTCTTCAGTCTGCACTTTGTGGGCACTGCAGCACAGTTCCATGAGCTCTGTACCACTCGCTGGCTGAATGCAGGATCCTGGGTTTCCATGGAAGCAAGTTCTATCATTCACTGAGGACAAGAGCAGTCCAGTAATCTAAACTTACCCCAAGCTTACTTTTATTTTTAAATTCATTCTATTACTTAAAATAAGTTGCATTCATGCTAGTATATCAAACAATGTATCACTGGTAGTGAGGAAGCTATGTATGATTACTAAGAGGGGGTATTTTATAGTAATGCTTGTCCTTTTGTTTCTTTGATTTTGAACAGACTTGCTATCTAATATTAGGACTGAAGAGAGAAGTTTTTTTTTTAAATTTGTTTTTATCTTGACCACTGAATCCTGGGGCAGCCTCTTGTGGGCAGCCACTACATTCCCTCATTGCTTATATGGGCAGATTGTCTAGTACTTTCCCACACAGTGTGTTTTCTTTTCCTTTTTTTTTCTGTAGTATTTGAGTTTGATGTCTGAGCCTCTAGCTTTCTAGGTTATAGACAACTGAACTATGCCTTAGCCATATTTTACAGTGGTTTCCTTGAGACAGAGTCTTGCTTTTTGCCCAGGCTAACACCTGGGCAAACACCCTGTGCTATAACCCTCCTATTGTGTTTTTCCTTCCGTAACTAAGATGACCAGTGCCACTTTGCTCAGCTTCTGCACTGAACTATATGTCATGACTTTTTTGTTCTGTCAGTGAACCAGGTTTTTCTTGATCTCAGTCTCTTGAGTAGCTGGCAGGTGCTTACCACTGTGCCCAGGAAGTGACTGAGAATGGTCTAGAGAACTTTTTGTTGAGGTTGGCCTTGAACTGGCCTGAGCTCTGAGCCAGTAGTTTTTACTCACACACAGAAGAGCCCCAGTAAATAGGTATCTTCAGCCTATTTTTTTCTAAAATGCAGACTTTTTCTTATTTTATGAATTTTGGAAAAATTATGTGTCTTTCCAGCTTTCAGTAGATAACAAAGAACAGAGAACCAGCGTTTTAGTCAGAAGCTATGTGAAGTTGGGCACGGGTGGTGGAGAGTGGTTCTCCTGGGAACCTGGCCTTGAGGCCCCAGCTATCACTCAGCCCCCTGTGTCCTCCCCAGGACGTGCAGTACTCGGACATCGACTACATGGAGCGGCAGCTGGACTTCACCCTCAGCCCCAAGTTCTCTGGGTTGCCCGCCCTGATCAACCGCATGAAGGCCGCTGGCATGCGGGTCATCCTCATTCTGGTCAGAGCTCAAGGGAATCTGTGGCCTCTGGGAGGATGAAGGGGAATGGGTGGGGAAGGCCCGCACTGTGTTTCCTTCCATGGTACACAAGGAAAGGTTGAAGTTCCATGGAAAAGGCATTTAGCAGCATCTCAGACACTTAAAGTTCAAGTATAATGTAAGGAAGATGTTTGTGGAAGAGCTGTGTTGTGTCCCTGGCCATTCTCTGCATGTGTCTTTCTGTCTGATTTGTGCTTTGGTTTCAGGACCCAGCCATTTCTGGCAATGAGACAGAGCCCTATCCTGCCTTCACTCGTGGTGTGGAGGATGATGTCTTCATCAAGTTTCCCAATGATGGAGGAATTGTCTGGGGCAAGGTATGATCTAAGGACTGATCCCCTAACACCTCGCCTGGGGTGGGGACAATGTTAGTATATCTTTTCCTTATATATATTGTCCTTTTTCACTTGAGTTCTTATCTTAGATCTGTAGTTTTCATACTTCAAACACTATGTGTTGATCTAAAGGCTCTGTGGAATCCACTTTGCTTTAGATCAACTGTACATACTAAACAAATTATGTGGTGCCTAGGACCGTGGTTTGTGACTTCTTAGGGAACATTCTGTATAGGAAAGTGTTTGATGCATTGCTTTTGAACTTTTTTCTCTACTTAGGTCTGGCCAGATTTCCCTAATATTGTGGTTAACAGTTCTTTGGACTGGGACAGCCAAGTGGAGGTAAGATGTTTTTGTGAATAATGACTGAAGTCACAGTTATCAAGAAGGGAAGTCCATGCCCAGAATTCTGTACAATTTTGGCAAGTCAGTCTGTGTGGTAATGACTACATGCAGCAATGCTCTGCTTACAACTGAGACTTAGTATTCTTGCCTTTGGCTGAAGCTCTGGGGAGTTCGATTACTCCTCCCTGATGTCAGCAATGCAACAGTGAATTCAAGTCCAAGGCTGCCAGATTTCAAAGGTCATGAGAGCTTCAAGAAGTCTTATCTTTTCTCTAAATTATTCTTGTTCTTGTGGTTGTTGTGGTGGCCATGAATAACCCTTGAGGAATATTACCTAATGTCTGCCTTAGTGATTGAGGATTTTTTTCTCTTTATTTCATTTATTTATTTGGTAGGTTCTGGAGGCTGAACTCTGAGCCTGGGCGCTGTCCCCTAGCAATATAGCTCAGGCTACCTCCCTACCACTTGATCCACAGTGCCACTTCTGGCTTTTTTCTGCTTAAGTGGTGCTGAGGAATCAAACCCAGGGCCTCATGTGTGTGAGGCAAGCACTCAACCACTGAGCCGTCTTCCCAGTCCATTGTTTACTTCTTAAACTTTTGGAGAAATTGGTCCATGTCCACAATGCAAGTTTTATCTGGTCTTAAGTTTCTAGATTTATTTTGGCCACATAGTTTTGAGGCTTCTATTAAAATTTTGCTTGTAATAGACAGAGGTAGCTTGGGACTTTGGATCTCATTTTTCACCCATTCTGATAGTTTGCTTGAATGAATATGTTGTCCAGGATAACTTTGGTCTTATCATTTGGCTCAGATGTGGACTCTGTGAACTAATTCATTAGGACTTATTCAACCCATGTTTGCTTTGCTATCAAATGTTCTATGAGTACCTGTGAGCTACGTTCTCAGGGTTGTAATGGAAATTCTTATAGAGAGCAAGTACCTTGTCTTACCCTTAGCTCTTCAACAATTACAATTCATAGACGGGATATTTGGCACAGCATAGGTTGCTTTGGTCACCTGGACAGGGAAGCTAGGAAATGAAACAAAGCCTTATTTCTGGACACCTGCCAAGTCTGAAGGGATGAAGCTGGTCTCTGTGTGCTCAGCACAGCAAGATAAGTTGGTCTGGTTTGTGAAAGGTTACAGTCTCTCAATCCTGGTTTTCTTTCTGACATTCTATCTACCCATGCCACCAGTTTTTTTTAGCTCATTGATTCTTTTTTTTTAAATTTGAAAGTGTTTTAATTTAAAGGTGTTAATAAAAGGAACTTTAATACATACATGAAAAGGTCTTAATTTTCTAGTAGCAAAATGATTCAGCAAACACAAATAGCTCATTGATTGTTAAAACACAGAGATCCACCCAGGAAAAGGCATTTACTGCACACACCAAGGACCATCATCTTCTACATGAAGAAACATGGAGTGGCAGAAAGTCTTTTTTATGTTTGCTGTTGTATGATGGTGTGAATGCATACCTGAACCTTTGTTTCTTATTATTACATTATTATTAATATGACCAAGCATATAACTAGTGTTCATTCTCATTAACTTATTAGTTACCAGGCTCTAAAGTTAGCCTAGAATGGATATGGAGATTAATGATACAGTCTTTATTAAGGTGGGTGCCAGTGGCTTGTGCCTATAGCTACTCAGGAGTCTGAGATTTTAGAATTGAAGTATGAACCCAGTTTGGGTAGACAAACTTGTGTGACTCTTGTCTCCAATTATCCAGCAAAAATCAAGAAGTCTAGGTCAATTGGTACATGCAGCCATAAGTGAAAAATCTGAGCAAGAGCTTGATGACTTCAGTTCAACTTTGACAAAGAAAATAGAGACTATAAATTAAAGTTCTTGTTCTCAAAAAAGTTTTAATGTAGTGAAGGAATGAGACTTTGGATTCTACTTTGATGGTATGATGTAGAATTTTGTTTTATTATTTGAGGAAAGAGGAAGAGAAAGGAAGGGTGAAACTTTCTCCTTACACACAACTAGGGTTTCATGGGATCCTGAAATTAGCCAGAACTAAGGTCTGCAAAGAGAGTGATAGCCTCACCTGGGGCCTTACTGACACCTAGTTCCTAGAGGGGATAGCAACTGGATGATTCTTCCCAAACTCGCACAGTGCATCTGAAGTCCTACCCTGCTAGCTGCAGTCTGTCCCTTGCTCCTTTGTTTCTGTAAAGTCCTTGGGAAGTGAGAGGACAGTTGAGGATCAAGTTTTAAGCCTAGGACTGTGATTTCAGTGAATTGGTTATCACCATTCGTGTATGTATGGGGAGGAGAAAAAGTGCGTATGTTTTCCAAATGCATAAAGGATGTATAGTTTGTTATTTCTTTTCTTTGTACTTCTTTTTTTGCAGTAATCTAAAAACTTTATATTATAAAGGAGCCATTCAGACTATCTCTCACCCTCTCTACCCCCATGCTGTACAAGTATTAGCATGAGTTAAAGATTTCAGTACTTGTCCTGTTTGCTGTCTTGTGTACTTGGTCTAGAACAAATGAATTGTGTTTTATTTTCATAGCAATACAGAGCTTATGTGGCCTTCCCAGACTTTTTCCGGAACTCGACTGCTCTGTGGTGGAAGAGGGAAATGGAAGAGGTCTACACTAATCCACAGAGTCCAGAGAAGAGCTTGAAGTTCGATGGCATGTGGATTGTGAGTGCAGGGTGCTTGTCTGTGTACACACGGTTAGCTGTTGTGTGAACCTTAACCTGCATAGGATCACTGACCTTAGTCAAGACACTAACATTCCTTCAAGAAAGATTTTGGACATCTCAGACTGTACTTTTCCCAAATCAGCCCAGACACTGTTTATACAGTGCAGTTGTATAAGGCATAAATTTCTGCTGTGAAATACCTAGGGTGATTTACTAATTTATTAGAACTCTGCTTGCACTGCAGGGAATCTTTTTATACAACACTCTTGGGCAGTCAGTAGGTAGAGGGGAATTGCTATTTTTAGCTAATATATTTCCTTCATGTGATGATTCTCTCTGGCCAGCATCACCTGGAACTGTGAGATGGTGAAATTATTTATCCACAATTGAGTTGACATAGTGTTATTGTCTTTATAACTACACCATTTATATGTGTATATGTGTGTGTGTGTGACATTTCTAGGATATGAATGAACCTTCGAGCTTCGTGAACGGGGCAGTTGCTCCTGGCTGCAGGGATACAACTCTGAACCGCCCTCCCTACATGCCACGTAAGGACCCGGGCCTCCTTAATCAGCCAAGACATGGCTAGACAAATTCTGCCCACCCCCAACCTGCAGAGGTTTATCCTGACCACTGAGGGCCAATCCTTATAGAACTCTGTTTTACTGGGGGCCAGTAAATAGCACAGACAGGGCTTTCTTGCATGGGATGTGTTCATTTTATTAGAGAATTTCTGGAATTGGGCCAAAAATCATTTTATTATATGTAGTAGTTGTCCAAAGGGGTTTCAATTCCAGAGGTGCAATGCATCATGGGCAATGTCACCCTTCTGTAGTTCTCCCCTAGTTCTGTCCATCCTGGCCTCAAGTTACATAGTTCAGCTTTACATAGTGTATGTGGACTATAACGGCTGTATTTTCTGTATCTCTAAGTGATTTTCATAGGAAGAGTTCTTAGTTTCTCAGGCCTATAGTAATTTATCCACAGGAATGTCTTTTGCCATCAGTGGGTATGATGAAGCTGATTTCCTTTTTCATAAGACCTTTGGACTATGTAGTTACCCTTGTGCTTGTATGTCTCCATTTCAGTTATTTTCCTTGACTTGTGAGAAATTGCATGAACTTTGCATTATTTCCAAGTCTTAACTTTCTAAATGTAAAATATAGATAGCCCTTTTTAGTCTGTGGAGATTTTTATAAGAATTATAAAGATTACCGGCTGATGCTATAATCTGAGCTACTCTAGAGGTTGAGATCTAGGATAGTTGTTCAAGTCCAACATGGGCAGGAAACTAAGTGAGACCCTTATCACCAATAAACTACATGAAAAGCCAGAAGTGGTGCTGTTGCACAAGTGGTAGAGGACTAGCCTTAAGCAAAAGAAGCTGAGGGATAGCGCCCAGGCCCACAATTCAAGCCCCAGGACCTGCCTTCCCCTTCCTCCCAAAAAGCCTGGAACTGGGCCTGCTCTAGAGTAAATGCATGAAAAGTCTCTGACATCTGTACTTTTTCCAGTCGTGTTGATATGGAAATTACCTGCAGCACCAGTGCAACTCACCAAGTGCACTGTTCTGTGAGGTAGAGAGGCCATTCAGAAGTGAAGTTAGCCTTAAGGTCCATAAAGACATTTTCGTGTTGGAAAATATCAGCTCTGTGTTTCCTCCCTGTGCCCCTTAGATTTGGCAGGCAGGGACAGAGGCCTGAGCAGCAAGACCCTGTGCATGGAGAGCGAGCAGATCCTCCCAGACGGCTCGCGGGTGCGGCACTACGACGTCCACAGCCTGTATGGCTGGTCCCAGACCAGACCCACCTACGAGTGAGTTGTGTCTCCCTTCTTCAGCTGGGCCCGAGGATAGAAACAGTGATGGATACAGCTTCCCTACTTAACCTTTCAAACCCCATTCTAAGAGCCCACCAGAAATGAGTGACATCATTGTAGTAATTTTTGTTCTTTCAATAAATAATAAATGACCTAGGAGTGAGGTTCTTGTGTTAAAAAGGCATGCTTGCATCAGAGAAGGACTGACAGTCCTGATGGTGGATTGATGTATGCACAGTGATACACCAATTATTATTTAATATACATGGTGTTACATGTAGATATTAGTTAGTGTCATTATATTCAATGTGTTACTCACCTTAGTGTGAACACAGGAATGTGATGGGCTAGACAATAATGTTTCACTTTAATAGTTAATTATCTCTATTTATTTCATAGTATAGGCTAGACATTCTTTCCAGTTCAGTAATGCCAATTGCCCTAAGGAAAAAAATTAGAAGGAAATTTGCTTTATTCTGTGACTGACTGGTGGAATGCCATGGAGGTCTCAAAGACAGGATCGGGGAGGGGGTGGCTCAAGCTTCCAGTAGGAGAGACAGAATCCATGAGTCCTCCATAACAAACTAATTTTAGGATCTGTCAGGCCTGCTTTACTTAAGTTCATTACATGTAGAAAAGTATACACATAAGTGGTAGAGTGTGGGTGTGAAAAGACATTTTTCTAACTACAAGGAGTCAGGGGTAGGCTTTGGGATTATACTTATTGATTCAAATCTTTGTTGCTGTAATTTTTATTGGTTCCTTAGTTATTGAGTTCTTATTTGCCTTTTACCCCAAGATTCTTACTTGAGGATGCTGTTGTTAGATTCTTATCTGACAATTCCTGTCTTTAGGCTGTGGGTCTTCAAACAGGAAAAGAGATTCAAACTACAGAGTATGCACTACACTCATGAACTGCTGCTCTGCAGGAACTAGTTGGGTGTTGATAGTAACATTGCAGTAATCTTTCTCTGGGGTATGGTACCCTAATAGGTCTGGTAACAGTTCACTATTAGGTTTCTGTCTTGAGGAAAAAGTGTAGAGATGTGGCAGTTCACATTTCTGTGAAGTCTCTGGGGTCAGAACTTAATGTTCAGTAAAAAGGACAGAAAGGCTAACTCTTACCTTTGCAATCCTTTCCACTTTCTATTCTGGAATCCCTCCATCAGCCAGTCTCATTTTCTAGATTGCCATGGAAGATGGAGTGTTGTGTCAATACACAGGATGGCTTTGTCTTTTACACCACGGCAGTAGTTTATTGCATGATGCACTTTTCATGAAACACTGAAATGGCAGTCTTCTCTGAATATCTCCCTCAACCAGAGGGAAATACATGCTCTCCATTCAGACAGCAGCATTGCTTTGATCCAAGTTCCCAGGACAGGAGTGAGGAAAGAGGATGCAGGTGCTCTGAAGCCTGCTCCGGCCTCAGTTCTTCCCCGCTTCCTCCAACCAGGGCCATGCAGGAGGTGACAGGGCAGAGAAGCATCGTCATCACCCGCTCCACATTCCCTTCTTCTGGACGCTGGGCAGGACACTGGCTGGGAGACAACACAGCTGCCTGGGACCAGCTGAAGAAATCTATCATTGGTGTGTGGCTTTGCTCCCAGGGCTCTGCCCCTCCCACCCAGGGCAGGGGTTAAGAGCCTGGTGAGGGAGGAGGAGGAGGAGGCAGGTCAGGAGAGCCTGGCCTGACCCAGCTGTGCTTCTCCTTGCAGGCATGATGGAGTTCAGCCTCTTTGGCATATCCTATGTAAGTGACCTTGGCTCCTCTTGATGGACATGGAGATGGCACATCTCTGAGAACTGTGCAGGAGGCTCGTTGTGTTGTGTCTTGTTTCAGACAGGGGCAGACATCTGTGGGTTCTTTCAAGATGCGGAGTATGAGATGTGTGCTCGCTGGATGCAGCTGGGGGCCTTCTACCCCTTCTCCAGGAACCACAACACCATCGGGACCAGGGTAGGAGTCTGCTCTCCTCTCCCTGCTTTGTGGCACATGAGCCTCAAGGCGTAGCTCATGCAGTGTGTATATTCTGGGGACATCCTCCAAGTCCTCTACCCTCATCTCAGGAATCATAGTCCTCAGTATTGAAAGGATGATTCCTTCCATTAGAAGAAATCATCTCCCGCATTCTCCAAGAGTCCATTATGGAGAAGATAGAGCTTTGGTGAGCTTTGAGCTATTAATAATGTCCTCTTAAGAAATGTCATCCATATTTATCTTTAGTTTAGTTGTGTGTGGTTGATAGGAAATGAATTCCAGCAATGATTTCACTAAGTCCCATTGTTTTCCCACAACAAGTACAGAACATTCTTCTCTTTGTCCTTTAGAGACAAGACCCTGTGTCCTGGGATGCTGCCTTTGTGGATCTTTCCAGAAGTGTCATAGAGACCAGATACACCTTGTTGCCATATCTCTACACATTGATGCACAAGGCCAACACAGAGGGTGTCACTGTGGTGCGGCCTCTCCTCCATGAGTGAGTGTCGAGCGGGAATCCTGCTGAGCACTGGGCAATGTGTAGCGTTGAAGGAGATGCAAACCTTTCTTCCAAATTGGAAATATGGTTCTTCAGTCATTAGCACTTCAGGCAGAGACAATAACAGGAAATGTTATGGATACAAGGCTGTTTATTCAGTGGTTAATTATTGACAGATAAAATGCAGCACAAAACAATTTATCTTTCACATAACCATGAGAGACCCTTTCTATCTTCTGTAGCCCTTCCTGTCAGTTTGGTTATGTGGATCCAGACAAAAAAATGGTCTGGTCATGAAGGAGGGCATTCCAGGGCCAGATCAGGATGATGAGACCAATCTTATGTTGAAAATGTGCCCTCAGATAAACTTCCTAGGAAGAGACTTGGCTAAGGAGGGTGAATGCTGAAAATGATAAACCACTGAAAAGGAAACTGCACAAAGGGCTAGGCAAGGGAAAGGCCTCCCATGCTCATGGACAAAGAGAAGCATTTTGTGAAAATGCCTTTGCTGGCACAAATACTCTGCAGATTCAGTGCAGTACCCCTCAGAACTTCAGGGACATCCTCCACACAGTACCCCAGTTATCCTGAAAACGCATATGAAGGCACAAAGGTTCCCAAACAACCAGAGAAATGCCAAAAGCCAGGCGCTGGTGGCTCACACCTGTAATCCTAGCTACTCAGGAAGCTGAGATCTAAGGATTGTGGTTCAAAGCCAGCCTGGGCAAGGAAAGTCTGTGAGACTTTTATCTCCAGTTAAACACCAGAAAACTGGAAGTGACGCTGTGGCTCAAGTTTTATAGCGCTTTCCTTGATCTGATGAGCTCAGGGACAGTTCCCTGCCCCAGAGTTCAAGCCCCACGCGGGGGGCGGGGGCATTGTGGGGAAGGAAAAAAAAAAAAGAACAATTCTGAAGATATCACAATATCTGACTTGAAAGTGTTTTACAAAACTATACTAACACAAACAGCTTGGTACAAACATATGAACTGATATTTAGACCTGGAATAGAATAGATGATCCAGAAAAGGCAAGACTCTAACAAATAGTGTTTGGAAAACGGTATATCTATACCTATAGAACTAAGACTAAATCCTTATCAAATGATATTAATCTATTCAAAATGGATGAGGGATCTTAATGTAAAGCCTGAAACTGTGATACTATTCCAGGAAACCTAGCGGAGAGACTTGAAAACATAGTAATATAGGAAAATGTAATTGAGCATGCTGGTATATGCCTGTAATTCCAGCTACATGGGAGGCAGAAATGAGAGAATTTTGGGGAAGATGGAATGAAATTATGTTATTATCTGGAAAATGGGCAGAACTGGAGATCAACGTATTAAGTAAAATACACTAGTTTCAGAAAGACTAATACTGCATGTTTTCTCTCATATAAAAATATAGTCCTAATAAAATATAAATGTCAAAAAATATGTAGTTCTAGGTCAGGATGTAGCTGAGTGGCAAAGCACTTGCCTAGCAAGTGCAGCATCCTTGGCTTGATCCCCAGCACTAAAACATAAAAGACAAAAAATACAGTAAAAAATATAAGAAACATACGTCCCATGGTTTCCCTTATTTGCAATAACTAGTATATGTCTGAGACAAGCAGAAATGGTCAGATAAGTTGAAGTTAGGCAAAATGAACCCCAAGATAAGGACTCAAATGTCTTTTCTTTCTTACTATTGTTTCTAACATATTTATAAGATATTTCTTTGTTGCTTTGTAGCTCCCTCTCCCACAGTATAACCCCTGTTTCCACTGTATTTGTTGTTGGCTTAATTTATGGAGGAGAAGGGAAAAATAAATTGTTTAAATAGGGATACAGGTGGATCCATTGCAACAATGAGATGTATAAGATGTTATGTCAAAAAATGAACTTTACAACTTTGGCAGAGGGAGCGGAGGGTGGAGTGAAGGGAGGAGGGATGGGAAGGGGAAACAAAGGAGGAGGCAATAATGCTTTATAAGAAATGTACTCATCACCTTCCCGCTTGATAAGAAATGTACTCATTACCTTGCCCATGTAATTGTAACCCCTCTGTATGGTATTTTCACAAAAAGAAAAGAAAAGAAAAAAAGTTTCATCCTAAAAATGATATAAATTTAAAAGAGTGGGAAAATATAGTCCCCCAAACCGATGTGAAGTTGAAAGGGTGATTACTGTGCCTTGGCAAAGCAGCAGGAAGGGTGGGGTGGGGGTCAAAGGAGAGGGTGACGGCGGGTGAATGAGTGCTTTGTAAGACTGTATTGAATTTAATAAGAAAACCCACTAAAATGGTAAGAAAGAGCAGGACAGGAAAGTACATGTATGGCAGTTCTGCACTGACACATGATTGCACAATGAATAAGCTAATACAAAAATGCTACAAGGAAAAAATGTGTTATGGTGAGGAGCTACGAAGATAGTTTGTAAGAGAAAATGTCTAAGATATTGCTGCCATTGGAGGCCCATGATTTCCAGAAAGTGAGGATCTGACCCTCCTGAAGCTGGGGGAATAAAACGGCAGGAGCTGTGGTTGGTCTTTGGACTTGGGCTTCAACTTGAGCATTTTACTAGGGGTGGTAGAGCTCTGACGATAATACCATCATGCTTTGTTTCAGGTTTGTGTCTGACCAGGAGACCTGGGATATTGACAGTCAGTTCCTGTTGGGTCCAGCCTTCCTGGTCAGCCCTGTCCTGGAGCCTGTGAGTGTGGAGGCCTGGGATGGGTGGAGGCTCCCAGATGTGAGGCTGGGTGACAAGGGGAGGAGAAATCTGTTGTAGGGATGATACTGAGACATGGCATCTTATTCTCCCCTTGACTCTTCCCTCCTGAACAGAAGTCTATCCCTTAGTCTATCCTCCTTAATAGATCAGCCTATGGGTTCTAGGTCACAGAATAGTCAGGAAGAAAAATTAACTCTTCTGATATATTTGTTGCTGCCCCCATTTCTCCATTAATGAAATAAGGAGCACTAAGTCAGGTGGGGCACTGGTGAGTGAATTCACCCAGGAGCTCCTCGGAGAACAGCTTGTAGCAATGGGGTCATGTGGTGCTGCTGGCCAGCCCCTGCTTTCCTTCCGTGACTAAAATGCCTTAATGACACATCAAGTCTATTTTGTGCCTGCATATTTTTTTTTCTCCCATGTTTCTTCTAACTTTTGTCTCCTTAGAGAGGGACTGGATCAGTCTGTAAGCAAATGTTAATCTCTTATCCCAAAGGGCTTTATTATAGCATCTTGTGTTGTGTAGATTTCCTGTTTGAGAAAGCAGAAGGAAAGGAGGCTTGCCCAACCTTCCTGATCTCAGGAGAGCTGAGGCCTGCAGTCCAGTTTCATCACTGATTTAGGACCCCTGCTCTATGCAGATTGCATGATCTGTATTGGGCAATAGTGACTAAACTCATGTCCTGTTTGTGTTTAATTTCAGAATGCCAGAAACGTGACAGCGTATTTCCCTAGGGCCCGCTGGTACGATTTCTACACGGTAAGCTTGAGTAAATTTAGATAGCCTGGGGAAATGATAAAGTACAAAGGTTTTGGATCTGCCAGAACTCAAGCCAAATGCTGACTCTGGAAATCCCAAGTGGTGGCCTTGGGAAGCTACTTTACACCTGCAGCCTCAGCATGCTCCCCTGGAGTGGAATGAGACCGATCGCTCCTGCAGGCAGTGCTGTGAGGTAACACGGTGCACCTGCCTCTGTGCCTGGTGTTCCTTACAGAGGAGCTTCTAACTCTCCACTCTTACCTGTCCCTGTGAGATTCAAAGACAGCCTCTGGGAGCTTGAAATTGTGCTGTAAAATGGCCTTTGACTGTGTCTCCTACTGTTGGAAGCCTGCCAAGTACAGCATCTTCTGATGCTCTGATGTTCATCAAATGTCTGTTTCTGTAATATCAGTGATCAAGGAAAATGTATCATGTAATTATCTATACCACAAGTCTGTGGGGAAACGCACACAGAGGTAGGGGCTCAGATTTCAAGCCTGTGCATCTCGTGTGCTACTGTATGCGAGGAGCCCCCAGGAGCTCTCTACTGAGTGCCTTAGAGGACAGAGCCTTGGGAAGCCATCACAGCGGTCTCTTGAGGAACAGGGGTAGTGACAGGCTGGAATTGCAATAGGAAAGCAGGCAGAATTTGTGCAATCCCTTGTCATTCAAAAGATGGCCATGGGATTAAATGCAAACTGGGTGTGGACAAGGAAAGTAGAGTTTGTTCTCTGCTTTGTCCTGAGTCATGCCCTGCCACTCACCCCCAATCCACTACAACTCTGCTATGTGCTCTCCAGCCAAGCCTGGACTTTTTGAGGAGGGAAAGGCCAATGTTTGCTTGTTTTTAGTTGTTGTTTTGGTGGTGCTGGGTATTTGGACTTGGGACCACAGGCTTGTTAGGCAGGTGTTTTACCACATGAGCTGTGTTTCTTGCTCTTTTTACTTTAGTCAGTTTCAAGGGTCCCCCAGATTTTTGCCTGAGCCAACCTGAACCAAAATCTCCTACGGATGTTAGTTCATCCGAGAGCATGGAGTGGGGCAGGAGGGGAAATAGAGACTCAGTTTTAACTCTCAGTGCAAGAAAAGGTCTAGAATTATTGTTATTGAGGGATGTGTGTAGGAGCCACAAGGAAGTAAAGAGAAGGTTTCCTGACTCCTCATCAATGCTCTGTGACTCAGAAACAAGCTGAGGGCGAGGGTGGGCTGAGACGCATGCCAGGAACTCATGTAGGACACGCTGTTGACGTTCCTAGGGGTTCTCACACAACAAAGATTGCACCCAGCAACAGGTGAATGCAAGGTTGTAGTCCCAGGTGTGTGCTGGACAGTGAGGGACAGGCAGCAAGATCAGAGAGCAGCTGAGATGTCAGGTACCTGCGCTGCTCAGGTTAGGTCTGTCACCTCTCACTCACCAGCCATCCCTTCCTCCTCTGGCCCACAGGGTGCACAAATCAATGCAAGCGGAGAGTGGAAGGTCCTGCCAGCACCTCTGGACCACATCAATCTTCATGTGCGTGGGGGCCACATCCTGCCCTGGCAGGAGCCTGCACTGAACACCCACCTCAGGTGAGTGGAGGGACCGGGCTCTGCTTTGCATGCTGGTTGCTCACTTATTTGCAAGGAGTGACCTCAATCCCATAGACTCCGCTCTCAAGACCCAATGTGATTTGACTGAACACTTGTATTGTCTTTTAAGCCCTCTTCAACTCTGCATTCTGAGTAATTATTAACATGTACTTTAGTGGAATTATAAGTCTAAGTAGACATTTTAAAAAGAGAAACAACAATTAGGATATTATGATTCATGGTGCTAGTTTTTTCAGACAATCTCTTATTTGACTCTCAAAAAAACCTGTTGCTGAAAAATAGCTAAATATCACGATTGACACGTGGGACCGAGATTCCTCATACAGAAGATTTAAAACTTCTTGATCTTTGTATGGTAGTTGACAGTGATGCACCTCAAGCCAGTGCTTGATCTGGGCCTAGAACGGGGCCCATAGGGCGAGTCCTTGGAGATTTTCCTTCTCCTTCGTAAAAGGAGAGAATAGTTTGAAATGGGCACTGTGTTGTCCCTCTTTACTGCCTAAGCTCAGTGCTTCCATCAGCCACACAGATAGTAAGTGGATGAACTCTGAAAGCCATGTCGGTCCATCTCATCCCTAAAACCTTACTCCCTTACACAGAGATGCAGATCAAAGTTGAAGCCCTAGGATATTTATACATAGACTCTACTGCTTGTGTTTTAGGAACTGGGTCATGAAGGACAAGGATTTCCATTCTCAGGGTTTTCCTCTCAAAGGGGTCGGGCGAAGCAAGTTAGTTTGCCTTGAACCCCCTAATTCAGTCACAGCTTCATTCATACATGAAACAGAGTCACGTGGCTACATGGAGACAGAACCCAGGCTACCCAATCCCAGGAAGCACGGCCTTTGCTACTTTGTCTTTGTGGCTGGTGACTGTGGCCTTGTTTGCAGCTAACAACTCTCTTCCATTTTATTGCAGCCGCCAGAAATTTCTGGGCTTCAAGGTTGCCTTGGATAGCGAAGGAACGGCTGAGGGCTGGCTCTTCTGGGATGATGGGCAAAGCATAGGTAAGTAGGGGTTGCCTGAGGTTTATGCCAGTCCACTCATGAGATTCTTGGCTATTTTATGAGCCTGCTTTTACATTGCCCAGATCAATGCAATTTTGTTTTTAATAACATAGTAATTTGCTACTTTAAATGTAGATCCATCTTTTTCATGATCCTTATGCATCATGCAAATTCATTCTGAATCTCTGTTATCAAAGTATTTTATTTCTTTTATAAGTCATAGGACTTGAACTCAAGGTCTGAACACTGTATCTGAGATTTTTCACTCAAGGCTGGAGCTCTACCACTTCAAGCCATGGCACCACTTCAGGTTTAGATAAGAGTCTCACAGACTTCCCTGCCCAGGCTGGCTTTGAACCGTGATCCTCAGATCTCAGCCTCTTGAGTAGCTAGGATTACAGGCATGAGCCACAGGCAGGTGCCTGGCTCAACTATTTTATTTTATTGTGGAATAAAATAGAATAAAAGGGACGTTTGTTCCTTGCCAGCTCAGATGCCTTGCATATGATTTGTGATCAAAGGCAGTTTTCGTATTGTATATATAGTTCATTGTCCCAGAAAGACAGTGTCTCTCAGTTGTGCCCTTTGTTGGGGGGTATTTCCCTCACTTTACAGGCAAGAGGAAGTCTCACATATAATTAGCTGTCTGGACCAGTGTTGTCCAGTAGGACTTTGTACAGTGATGAGAATGGTCTCTCTTCTGGTATCCAATGCAGTAGATGGCGACTAAGAGCTTAAACTATGATGAGGGCATCTGAAGAACTGAAATTTTTATCTTATTTAACTTTAAGTCATTAAATTAAATAAATTAATTAAGTAAAATTAAATTTACATTGCTACATCTTTCTGATGGCTACTGTCATGGACAGATCCGATCTAGAGATACTAGGCCTGTGGCCCCTGGGGAAATGGGAAATAGCGAGTTAAAGAGAAAGGTTGGAACATGGGGAAGAGAGACCAAGTCATGAGGGTGGGGAAGGGCCAAGTGCCTGACCAGTCCACCTTCACTGGACATGCGAAGCTCCACGCTCACCCGGTGCCTGTGGCATGCATTCATTAGTGGGCACAAACAGGGTTTTTCTAAGTTCTCTGGGTGATCACGTCTTAAGAGTTGGCAAATATCCATGGAGTCTTGATCCCCCTGAGGTACTGGTCTTAGTGTATGTGTAGATGACTACACCTGTTTTTAGGTGGACATTTAGGGCAAGGAATCCAGAAATTCTCAGGCAACTGGGATGATGTTGGGTGGTAGACCACAGGGTGAAGAGATGAATCAAGAGGGTTAGGAAACTTTTATAAAGCAGCTATCAGAAATACACATCCATCACTCACTTCAGATGTTTTGTCAACTGATGCTGGGTACAGGGTGTAAATTACTCTCCAGAAAGAGAGTTTACATTATAAAATGAAATTCTGTAAAGATTAAAACAAAACAAATATAAAGCCTAATCTTTCAACTAAGACAAGTATCCCATTAGCATATTATCACCAGGCTCAGGTTATATTTATCTTGTTATGTTTTGCAGATACCTACAGAAATGGACAGTATTATTTGGCCCGCTTTTCTGTCAGCCAGGTACGTGTGATTGTCACCATGTAGTGAGAATAGAGTTTTCTCAGGACGGTAGGATGCTGCAGGTCATAAGGGCACAACATATCACCTAGACATCTCCACTGCTTATCCTCTAATTCACACCCTTCCCTTCTACCAGACTTCAGATGGAGATTCACTGTGCTCCCAGAATGTTTTCTGTGTTTGAGCCTACTTATGTCTCACCAGTCATCTTTCCTTTTTTGCCATTCTGCATCTGTATACACTGTTTCTGTATTGTCTAGCCCTTGTTCCTTTGTTGAATGGACTGCACTTCTGTGACTTCTCTACATGTGGAACACGTTTCTTGGTAGTGGAGACTGTCTGCTATTGGTTTCAAAGCAACACTAACCCTGCAGGTGTCTTGTGAGCATAAAGGGAATGGAGGCTGGTAACAGAGAAACAGTGCTGAAATCGTAGGCAGTAGCCTCTAGGGACGCAGGGTGATTATTTGAGGTTATCTCACCCAATCCTCTACATTGATGCCTAAAAAGAAGATGAGGAGTAAAAAGGAACTCCTTTTGTTATATTTTCCTTTCTTATTTATTTTCAATTTGACAGAATACAATGAAGATGGATGTGATTTTCAACCATTACATCACTGGTACCAACCCTTTGAAGCTGGGCTATATTGAAATCTGGGGAGTGGGCGGCATCTCCGTAACCTCCGTGAGCATCACTGAAAATAACACGAACTCAGCAATCCCCTTTGAATACGACCCTGCTGCACAGGTTTGTGACCACAGACAGGCCCACTGCTATTTCCCAACCCCAGGCATTTAGTGCCTAAGCTTTCCTCTCTTGCAAAACCTTTCCTAAGGTGAGGGAAATGCCATACTTTCTTATTTGGAGTTTTTTTTTCTGTGTTTACTTCCTGTGTGGAAACTTTGGAAACCAACATCCCAAACAACCTAAACTGACATATTTTTATCAACTACAAGATTGCTCTTGTATTTCACATGCCACTCAGAAAGAAAAAAAAGGATGCCAAAGCTATGAAATAATTCCTTAGTATCACTGAAATTTTTTTAATTTTAATTTTTTGTCAGTCATGGGGCCTGAACTCAGGGCCTTTGCTCCTTTGCTCAAGGCTAGCTCTTCACCACTGTGAGCCACAGCATGAGTTCCAGTTTTCTGGTAGCTAATTGGACATAAGAATCTCATGACTTCCCTGCCCAGTCTAGCTTGGCACCGCGATTTCAGATCTCAGCCTCCTGAGTAGCTAGAATTACAGGTGTGAGCCACCCACGCCCAGTGTATCACTCAATTTTTGAACTTTAAACTTTCATAAGGTTGTTTGAGGCTTTTGTGAACATTAGAGTTTTATCTAAATATTTTTCCTATTTTAAGTGATACTGCAGATGAAAATATACAATAAGAAAAGATGCAATAATAATTCTGTATCAAAGTAGTTTAGAAGAGGTAAAAACTGAAGGAGAAGTATTAAAATAACCTTAACTGAAAATTTGTATAGCACATCTTTTTCCTTAATTATACAAAAATGTATTCAGATTCTTAAAATCATCTTTTTATCTATATCTGTCTATATTATTTAGAAGGAAAATACATGATGCTGGCTGGATATTGTGGTACATGTTTATAACCCCAGCTACTGGAGAGGCAGATTTAGGAAGATCACAGTCCAAGGCCAGCTCAGGCAAAAAACATAATAGGCTAGCTAAAAACAAAAGTAAAAAGGCTGGGAGTTATGGCTCAAATGGTAGAACATTTGCTTCACAAGCATGAGACTCTGAGTTCAAACTCTTCCTACTGCCAAATGTGTGTGTGTGTGTGTGTGTGTGTGTGTGTGTGTGTGTGTGTGTGTATGGATGCGTGTGTGTATGCCAGGAGTGGCAATTCAGTATTTCATAGAGATTCTTCCACTAGTGCCTATTAGAGTTTCTCCCAAGTCACCCACAAGCTTTATTGAAGTCTCCATCCACATGCTTTCCTGATCTCACTACGTCTTCCTTCCGCACATCATCTTTACCTGATGGCTGCAGTCCATCCACTGCTAACTCTAAGACTAGCAATGAGATGTACATGCACACAGATAGTGGCCCTTGTGTCAGGCTCATGGTCATTCTAGGGCTAAAATTTCACAAATAATTTTGATTTCATGAATGCCAACATGTGAAAATCTGGCACCTTGAAATTCATGCAGTATTCTCGTCCTGACACCTGTCACCTTGGTGGAAAGTGGGACCATGTTTCCTATGTGCTCACTTTTAGGTTATGTTGTTTTTAATGTGTAGCATTGCACTGTGTAGCTCAAGTTAGCTTTGAACTTACAATTTTCATGCCTTAGCCTTCCGACTACTGGGGTTATAGGTATGAGACATCATACCTGGCTTTTTACATTTTCTTTTCCAGAACAAAACTCCCTTTTCTAGACTTGAAAAGAAGTGCTCTTCTTTATTTTTGTATTTTAAAAATTTTTACTTTCTCAGATGATGGTTTGTCAACCATTTCCAACTTTACGAAGAGTGAGTTCTTAAAAGATGCCCACCTAATTCTGTTAAACTAATCTACAGGCTAACACCTGTGCACATGGTAAGACGTAGAAAAGGCAGGGATATTAGATCCTTCATAGGCAGTCAAGGAGTGTGAAGAGAATTTAGACAAAGAGCAAATATAAAGAGAGCTTTGAAGAAAACTGAACTTCAGAAGAATGGGAGGGGGGATTTTCTCTGGCTTGTGAGTGCTGCTGTTTCTCTTGGTGGTTATGTGTTATACTGGTGAAAGGCCCATCTTTGTCATTGTATAATCTTTGTCCTGGGAAACTCCTTCCTCTAGAAAGTGATGGGCAGTTGGAAGTGAGGCCATGCCTTATGAAAATAGTGTGGGGTTATGTGGATTATTGACTTGTACCTGATTTATTGGTATAAAAGAAATTTCAAACAAGTACCTTATACTTTTTCTTTGATTTCTAACAGGTTCTAAGCATCAATGTGACCAGCAGAGCCACCAGCCTGCATCATTTCAATTCACTGACATGGAATATCTCTCCATAAAACTTTAGTGTAAGATACTGATTATAAATATATCTGAAACACAGCCTTGTGTGTTGCTAATTGAACAATACCCAATATGAATATAGTATTTTATTGATTTTCTTTTGTGTTTCGTCCTAAAATTCTTTGCCATGGGATAGTCATAGGAAGGTATGGAAAATCGGGGGGGCGGGTTTCCATGTCTCCACATGGTGATTATGTAATAGAGATAATTTTTTATAATTACATTCACTGAAGCTAATGTGGCTTTCTAGTGAAGCATGTGTGTGTGTGTGTGTGTGTGTGTGTGTGTGTGTGTGTATGTGTGTGTGTGTGTGTGATCATTTCTCATGACCCCTTTCTCCCAGGATTTGGTAAGCATTCATTTGTTTTCTGTTCTGTGGATTCACTGATTCAGAACATTTCATATAAACAAAATCATAAAGTAAGTGGTGTGCGTGTGTGTACACTGTTTGGCATTTATGGTTTACGGAAGGCTCTAACTCTTGTGTTAAAGACACCACAGGGAGTTTGCCATGATAGTTCCTGGTCTGAAACTAACCAAGAAAGTATCTGGAAAAAAAAAATCAATACACTTGAGCTACTGAGCTATAGGCAGAGGAGGTTCAGATGGTAGAGTATGAAATGAGGGGAAGAAATGACAAGCACAAGAAAGGTAAGCAGGAAAGATCCGAGGGAACTGAGTCATATGAGGGGAAAAGTGGTCACATGATTACAAGGATCAGGATAAGCAGGCTCATGGGGAGGGGAAAGGAGGAGTAAACTCACTTAACAAAGACAAGAGGGTCTTGGGGAAATCCTTAGCATCATCTGAGGATGAGAATGAGATTTGTGTGGAGCGTGTGGATGCTAAAATAATCATTTACATTCACGGACGTGTGCTTTGAAGTGTATATCTTCTTTCTTTACACTGCTAAATGCACGTGACAACAGTTCACACACACCAATGTAATTTATATGTCACAGGAAGAAACAAGTGAATTTGCAAGACATTTTGTAGCTTGTAATATTTCATTCATGGGAAATCTCACATCAGCTTTAAGGATTCTTCTAGTTCAACAAAGACTTGCGTGACGATCACCCTTTTCCCCACATGTCTTCAATGAGTCTTCATAGATTTTAGGTTTGAGGAGGGGTGTGCTTGGATTGATGCCCCTGGGCTGGCCTGTCACCTGCATCAATCCAGCCCAGGGCAGCCTGACAGAGCACTGCAGGCCAGCATGTGCCTTCCATGATGAGCATGGTGGCCCCACCCATGTGTGCCAGAGGGGAAATGCTCTAGAGGACAGAACCAGAAGCACGAGGTGGGATGAGAGGAGGCCACCTGGACAGCCTGTGCTAAACCCGCATTTGGATTAAACTCACTTGGGTTGCTTAAGTCTCCGCTTTGGAGCCTTTGTGTTGTCATTCTTGTGGTACGTTTCACTCATGGCCCTGCCGCTGCCTTCCTTACTTGTCCAACATCTGGCACCTGACCTGGCTTTGGAACCCTGAATGTGACAGTGGGTGAGCTGGACCTCCAATATTCTAGGGAGACTCAGTAGGCAGAGAAATCCCTTCATGGTGCCCTGTCTTCTCTGGCTTCACTGGACTTGCGGCTGATTCCTTCCAGGCCTGGCAGGAAGAACCATAGTCTGTCTCCTGCCTCAGGCCTGGGGCTTACCGCATGGGAATCACCCAGGGGCCTGGGAGGTTGCACAGCACCTGTCCACATGACAGCCAGTGTCTACAGTGGGTAAAACGGCTCAAAAGCTTGGTATGCCCAGGAAAGGGCATACGACACTGCCATTAAACTCTAGAGGTCCCACAAATCAGTGCGTTTGTTTGAAACTGCGTCTTTGTCCCCTCCCACTTCATATCCCACCTCCCTGCTGATCCCTGAGAAAACGAGGACGATTACCATCAAGTTCTGAGACTCCACGTTCAACTTCCAAGAACCTTAACAACTCAAGGTGACAATGAATACAGGCCGATGCTGGGATGTTCACCCGAGGACTTCATAGAAGACTTCTGAATTACAATAAAGAACACAGGAGCAAACTGCTCTTATCTAGAAAAGACCTGATTGCCTGCCCCCAGTGCTAAGTCAGCTCCAGCCTCACCCCTGCCAGTACCTAAGGTCATAAGCTTCCATCTCTGTCGGTTTTGAGTCTCTTACATCAGGTAGAAAACAAAACGAGTCCTGTTTTCATTATCATCTATGAATTTACCTTCACCAGAGTTCTCTTGTCTTTGTATAGCTTTGAACCTGAACTTCAACATGAAAGACTTCCTCTTACCTGGAGGTCTCTGAGAGTATCTTGATTGCTTCCAAATTTCTGGGGACAGATTTGGGGGGACATGGTTCTGGTGATTGATAGGATTTGTGTGGCTTGTTGTTTGTTTTTTTTAATTCAACTCTACTTCATTCTGGTCTCCATGCCTTTTGGTGAGAAACTTGATCATCTGCAGAAATTATGTACAGTTTTCTGTATGTAGGTCCATGTTAACAATAAATCTTACTTATATGTTTGAAACAGAACACTATATAATGTCTCTTTCACAAGTCTGACATATCAGAATTGAAAAACATTTGTTCAGTGTAGAAATAATATAGTCTTTGAAAAACGAGGTAGTGCAGACTTTCAAACCAGAAACAGAAAGGGCATTGAAATACTTTACAGATTTGTCTTTGATTTGAATGTGAAGATCTAACATTTAGTAGGCTTTACCATTGAATCAGGCCTCTGACTGTTTTTGAGATTTTTTAAGGGACTCATTCTGTTCAGGTATCAGCCTTGGACCACCATTTTCCTATTTTTTTACTTACTACTTTTGCCTTGCTGGATGATGGGTGCCTATCACCATGCCTACTTTTTCCATTGACATGGACTTGCATATACTATTCCCAGTCTATCTTTGAACTATGGCCCTTCTAATTGCAATCTCCCAGGTAACTAGGATTACAGCCATGTGCCCTGGTGCCTGGATCAGAGTGTAATCCGTAAAACAAACTGAATGACAATCTCCTATAACCTACTTAGGCAAAAACTTTGGGAGTACATGATGATGATGATGATGATGATGATGATGATGATGATGATGATGATGATGATGATGATGAAAAGCATCTTTTTTGCCTGAGGGAGAGAAGGGGCCACTCTACTCCCATCTGTTTTTCATGGACTCTTGAGATGGTTTCTAATTTCTGTTTTCTCACTAAATTTACAATAAACTAGAACATGATCACATGTGTTCTCTCTTCTTTGTGTGCCTTCATTTGAGCAGTAAGTGCATACTGGGTTTAGTTAGAAAGCCAAGGGGAGCGAGGTGCTTTGTCATTCCTTTATCAGTCCTGTCTCCTAGGCGGAGATCTGGAGGACTGCAGTTCAAAGTTAGCCCAGACTGAAAAGCCCATGAGACTACATATCCTAAATAACTTCCAAAGACTTGGACTGGAGATGGAGAGCTGAGCAGTAACCCGAGAGAGCTGCAGGCGGAGTTCAAACCCTAGTACTAGGGAGAACAGGCTGAGGGAATGCTGATTTCAGAATCTTCCTCAGCTGGCCTCCAGGCAGGTCACCTTGATTGATTAAAGACTCAACCAAGCCAGGTGTCGGTGGCTCACACCTGTAATCCTAGCTACTCAGGAGGCTGAGATCTGAGGATCATGGCTCGAAGCCAGCCCAGACGGGAAATTCCATGAGCCTCTTATCTCCAATAAACCACTCAGAAAACCAGAAGTGGTGCTGTGGCTCAAGTGGTAGAGCGCTAGCCTTGAGCTGAAGAGCTGAGGGACAGCGCCCAGGCCCAGAGTTCAAGCCCCACGGCCAACAACAACAACAACAACAAAAAGACTCAACCAAAATGCTGTGCTGTCGGCTTTCTCAGGTAGACTACATGTCGCTTCCTTAAGCGACATACAGGGAGTTTGCTCCTTCACAGTGACCCTGTCTCTTTAGAGCAGTGGGTGCTCTCGTATTCCTGAGAGGCCTTGCCCAGGTGGTGGTCCTTCAGACACTCTGTGTCGTGATCTGGATGTTGTGGGGGTCAGAAGCGGGTGGGTGCTGGTTAGACAGCCCCTACAGTTCCAGTCCACCAACTCCTCATGAAGTCAAAATCTGCCACCAAAATGAGCTGTACTTCCTGAGCTGCCTGAGCCTTAGCTTCTGAAGTCCTTGAGAACTTAGATGACTGAGCACAGGCAGCCCCATTCGCCTTCATATATATGCTCACACACGTGACCACGCGGCACTCTGAGACATGTACTCATACACACGCTTACCACTCAGTCTCTCCCTCTCTCTTACACACACATGCACACACACACACACACACACACACACACAGAGCCACATTCACTCAGGGCACATTCTTGCACAAGCAAAGCCACACATTCACACTCTACACTTTAAAGTACATTTTGGCTTCTAAGCGGTTAGCTCAATGGCCACACATAAACGTTCCGTTTGGAAAGGTAAGCTGGATATGGTGGTGCCTGCCTTCACTCCTGGAACTAGAGAGGCTGAAGTAGGAAGGTCATAAGTTCAAGGTCAGTCTGGGCTATACTTGGAAACAAAATCAAGAAGGTAAAAAGGCGGGGGGGTGGGAGGGGGAGAATTAGGTTCTGAAGCAGTTTTGCATCAGGCCTTGGATGTTAGTTCTTTGAAAGCTGAGGCTTTACAATGAGACACCAGCCATCAGCTTGCTTTGATAGCTCTTTAAGATCTGTCAGTGGCTGACTTCACCATCCCTTCCTGCTAGCTAGCCATGGGGAGATACTGGGTCACAGCTCCTTTTTAAAATGTTGTTCAGATGCTGGAGGGGATGTGGAGAGAAGGGAACCTTACTGCACTGTTGGTGGGAGTATAAACTTGTTCAACCAGTCTGGAAAGAAGTATAGAGGTTCCTCAAAAGACTCCACATAGAGCTCCCCTATGACCCAGCAATCCTACTTCTGGGCATTGACCCAAATAACCACAAACAAGACCACACTAAAGCTGCCAGCACTACTATGTTTATCACAGCATTATTCACCATAGCTAAGATATGGAACCAACCCAGATGCCCCTCAGTAGATGAATGGATCAAGAAAATGTGGTGCATATGTACAATGGAATTCT